GCACTTGGAATCTATGAAAAAACTCTTCCTGCAAATCATCCTTCGTTAGCTACTTCTTACAACAACATTGGTTTGATGTATTATAAGATGGGAGAACACTCAAAAGCACTTTCATTTTACGAAAAATCGCTTGGAATCTATGAAAAAACTCTTCCCGCAAATCATCCTTCGTTGGCTATTTCCTGTAACAACATTGGTTGTGTGTATGCTCTCATGAGAGAGTACTCGAAAGCACTTTCATTTTACGAAAAAGCACTTGGAATTCAAGAAAAAGCTCTTCCTGCAAATTATCCTTTGTTAGCTATGTCGTATAACAACATTGCTGTTATGCATTATAACATGAGAGAGTACTTGAAAGCACTTTCATTTTACGAAAAAGCACTTGGTCTTCAAGAGAAAACTCTTCCTGAAAATCATCTTGATTTAGCTACTTCTTACAACAACATTGGTACTGTGTATGATAAAATGGGAGAGTACTTAAAAGCAATTTCATATTATGAACGTGCTTTGAACATTCTCAACATTTCATTACCACCAAATCATCCTCATATTAAAACTACGACAGAGAGTGTTGAAATTGTAAAAAAGAAATTATAAATTCTTTTTCTAAATAAATAGATGTTTTCTTTATGCAAGAGCTAAATTATTGTATTCTTTTTACTTACTCACACGCGCGTACAGAGAACATCTCGGTAAGTAATAGAAATATAGTGGATATAGCCGACCGGTAAGACAATACACATACATGACATGTACATGTATAAGAGGTCTTCACAGACATGTTTACATTTCTAACATTAAATACGAGAATATCCTCTATAATTCTAGAGGGTGGGAGTGTGAGTGGATGGATGATAGTGAGTGTAGGTGTAGGTGTAGATATAAAGGTATGGACTATTACTCTTAAACACCAACACTCTCACTCACACCCACACCGCAGCCACACCCACAAGAAGGTATTTTATAGTTTTTGTCTACATGATTCAGAATTGATTATAACTAATTGATTATTTCGTGTTCAAACGAATAACTTTATTTTAACAAAAAATAAACACAAAAAAAAACAATTTTTTTCTTTTATTTTCTACTTGTAACTGTAGTCAAAATATCTGACGTTGATTCTTTATGTTTACGTCTTTTCGGTAATGCAAATGCTGGCGGATTAACAATAGTTTTCTCATGATTTGATGGTAAAGTTTCCCTTGTTTTCAAATTTTTTAATATTATTGGTAATGTTTCTTCAAGTAGTTGATGTTCAGTTGCTTTAAAATTTGATTGTTTCCATGCTTGTCGAAGTTCATGAAGTATTATTTTATAATTTCCTCCTTGTTTAATACCTTTTAATGCAAGCATTCCAGCTGATATTGGAAAATGTGGTAATGGCCAATCGATTAATTGTTGAATTTCATTTAGATAATATTGATATTTAAGTAATTCAATTATTTTTTCTTTTATATTTGGATCAAATAAATATAAATCAACAAGCAAATCTTTATATGGTTTTAATGGATCAATGGATGATGAATTAAGAAGAAATATTTCATCACGATATACTACTAATAATTGAGATAAACGGCGACATTCATTTGAATATTTCATACGTTGTTCAAATTTGACTAACTAAATGAAAAGAAGTTGTTAAAACATGTATTAACTCTGAATGAAAGGCTAAATTTCTACACTCATTTATCCACACTTTTACCTCATGTTTTATAAAAAAAAGAAAAGAAAACTATTTACTTCGTCCATATTACGAAACAGTTTTGTTAGTATAGTAAGAGCATGTGGATGGGCTCGATGACACTTTCTCCAATGATCTTCTAGTTGGTTCAAATCCGCATTTGAAGGAATACCTGTATTTAAATTTAAACTTAGCATATATTGATAATATAATAAAAACAAAGTATCTTACCAAGATATTGTCCAATATCTTGCTCAAGCATTATTTTTAATACTGGACCGGCATTACGTCCTTCAGCAATACGTTTTAATTCAACCCATAGACGTTCACCAGAAATATCTAAATGAAGAAAAAAAGCAATGATTAATTATTATTTTATATTTAAAAAATTTTGTTTCTTCCATACGTCGTAATCCGTTTGCATTCTGTCTGATGGCTTCTAATGTTTCTTTATCATGTGAAGCATTCTCATTTGCAAGACGACCAAAAAATCTTTTCAATTAAGTAAAAAAAGCCCACATTTTCTTACTAGATAATAATTGATGAAAATTTTACCGAAAATATCTGAGAATACGAAGATAATCTTCACGTATACGTTCAACTGGATCGCCCACAAAACGAATACGAGAATATTTCAAATCATCAATTCCATCAAAATAATCATAAACAGTTCCTTCCAAATCTAAATAATAATATTTTATCGAAAAGAAAATATTTAATAAAAAAAACTAACCAAGAAATAAAGCATTAATTGTAAGATCTCTTCGACTAGCATCTAATTGCCAATCTTGTGTATATTCTACAACAGCATGTCTTCCATCAGTAATAACATCAACTCGTAATGTTGTTACTTCAAAATTTTCTTTATCATCAATACGAGCTGTTATTGTACCATGTTTTTCACCATTTGAATTAATCAATCGTATATTTGCATCTATTAACATTCGTTTAACTTGTTCAGGTGTTGCTGTTGTAGCAAAATCAATATCATGTGGATGTATACCCATTAGAATATCTCGTACAGCACCACCAGCAACACGTAATTCATATTTATTTGCTTTAAATAATTCAGCTAATTTAAGTAGTGATGGTGTTAATAATGTTCGATATTCAGGTGTATCAATTTTTTGTGTAATTAATTTTTTTGATTGAGCTCGATAACGAACAACTGTTGGTGTACGAGAATAATATTTAAGTGAAGAAATTAGATGGGCAAAAATAGGCTTGAATAAAAACAAGCGATTATAATGAAAACATATTACCATCTAGAAAATACATAATAAATTTTCTATATCAAAATCTATATTTAATCAATTCATTTCTCTTCAAAACATCTTTTTATCTTGTTTTTTCGATATAAATTCATTTACAATAGTTGATCGTTCAAGATTTCTATATCACGAAACGGAACGAAAGACTGGTCTTTGTTTTTCTCCAATCATGTAACGCTAATTGATAAATTTGACATAAACAGATGTCACGCATACATGATGAAAGTACAGTCCAAGAAGATAAGACAAATCTCGCAGAACCTAAGCGTTCATTTAACAACTCCCAGAATACGTGTTATCAGGGGCAGCAATATCTTTCTATTGCTACCCCTCGCTACTATGGCACGCCGCCTATGCTAATATATTCCAGTTAATTCATTATGTAATACGAATTTAAAATCATTTATCTCGATTATTGAAAAATATGTTGCTTGATTGTAACAACAAAATCGTAATCAAACTAAAAAAATGTAACTATATTTATTTAACTATTGAAATCCAAATAAAGTTTTTTTTATAGTAAATTAAATAATTATTTTTATTTCTTATATTCTTCAAATCTATTATTGACTTTATATATTCAAATTAAAGTTAATCGCGTATTAAACTTCTCATTTAAAACATGTTATTTCTATCAACAAACACATTTTCAACAAGCAATAACAGCATTGATTTGGATTCCTTTTTAATTTTTGCAATCGCACTTATATTCCATGTTATTTTTGTTATTATAATTTTAACATTCTCATTTCTTTCTCTCGATCATTTTCTACAAAATAATTTTTTTTTTCAATCACATTACTTCTGTCAGAAAAAAAAGACTTATTGAACAAGAAAAATGAAACGATCCGTTGAACAATTAAAACATATCGATCATCTATCTCGACAAGTACGTCATCATCGAATACATTTAAATCAAATGTATGATCAAAAATTATCTCAGGAATTACATACGCTAACTAAACAATATGCACAAACTCTTAAATATTCTAAAAAAGAACATAAACTTGAACGACGACGTAAAGAAGTATTTGATGTTACTATTCGACAAATTGCTCATGAACGACAACATCAATCATTATCTACAAATATAATACAAAATGAACAAAAACTTCCAAAAATTACTAATCAAATAAATGGACATAGAGATGAACTTTTAGAAAATTGTTCATCATCAAATAATATATTTTCATCCGATAGTTCCTGTCAGCTTTTTTCACAAGACTGTCAATTATATCCATGTCAACCAGTCTATCATTACACTAGTTTTATGACAAAAGATCATGATCAAACATTACGAAAACGAAAATTGTCCATTGCAGATATTGATCTTAATTTATCTCCTATTCAACAGTTATTTACAAAAATTGAACAAAAAAAATATCATCAAAATCGTCGACAATTAGCAGCAACAGTTAAAAATCAAAATTATCTTGCAAATCGATATGTATATATAGGAAATACAAAGGCACGTCTTGATGAACAAAGTCGTTTATTACATGAACGATTAACTGATAGAAGAACTTTTGGTTATGATAAAGAACAGCAGAAAGAATTACGACAATCGATAAAACGTCATTTAGAAATTTCTGCAAAATTTTTGGGATAAAAAAAAGAAGAAGATTTTTGTTTATTTTTTAAATATCTTCGAATTTAATTTCACTTATTGCATCCTTGTTACTTTTATCTTTTGATACAGCTGATGCCATTACACCTTTTATAATATCTTCAGTCATCAACATGCTACTATTCCATGCACTCTAAAAAAAAGACAGAAAATCTATAAAAAATAAAGAAATTTTCCTTTATGAACATACCGCAAATAGAAAATTATCATCAACTGTATGATCACGAGCATAATTTAAATTGATTTTTGAACCTTGTACAGCTACAGGACTCTTACGAGCAATAACACTTGCCAATGAAATAGCTGCTTCGAGAACAGCTTCACGAGTATCAAATATACGACTAGAAAAAAATATATTTATTATTTGATTTGAGATAAAAACGATCTCATTTATTCAAAGGACTATGTAGATCTCTTGTGTTAATATTTCCTTACCCAATAAGTCCAATTTGTTGTGCTTCATCACTATTAAATGTTCGTGATGTATAAACAAGCTCGCGGAAAATACTATGATTAGTAATTGATTTAGGCAGTATTTGTAGAGTACCTATATCAGCTGCTAAACCTATATCAACTTCCTATAAATATATCTAATGTTTTTGTCTATAAAAATATATGTATATACTTTAATGGAAAATGTTGTATCACGTGTACTATAACGAATATCACAACATGCTGATAAATCAACACCTCCGCCTATACAATGACCATGAATAGCAGCAATAACTGGTTTCTCACACTATAAATACCCGAATCGTTTTTATCTCAATGAATCTATGGATAATTTTATTTACCTTATCAACTGATCTTAAAGATGCTTGAATACTTTGTATCATACGTCGAAGATGTAATGCTTTTCGTGCTACATCATCGATTTCACCGAGTTCGTTAACTGAAACACCCGATAAATATTTTACATCAATACCTAGAAAATATATATTTTAATAAATAAATTCATACATGAAGAAAATTTACCTGTACTAAATGCTTTTCCAGAACCGGTTAGAACAATAGCACGACAAGATTTTTCTGTATTTAATTGTTCGAAACATACTTTTAATTCACTTAAAAAAGAAAATAAATAAATTGTTGTCAAAAGAATTTAAACGGATCTACTCGAATAATTGTTTGTTCATAGCATTGAGTTTTGATGATCGATTCAATTCAACAAGTGTTACATGTGGTTTAGGTTGGCTTAACTTCAATGTTTCATATGTAGGTAATGACGACATTGATCGACAGATTGATCGAAGAATTTGTTGATCTACATCGAGCAAATGTTGACTGATAAGGAAAAATAGTCAAAAATCTTACTTGGATACATTCGCTGCATCATGATTATACGCTGAGTAATTGTGTTTTTTAAAAACTAACTACTTACAATCAGCTATATGATAGGTATAGTATACTAGTTTAGATTCAAAAAATATTATTGGATCAAAGAATATTCATTAGTACGAAAGATTATATATGAAGAGAGGGCGCTAGACATCATTGCAATGGTTTAACAAATATTCGATTTTTGCATACTTATATTTCAATAATCAAATCAGTTCATAAGAAAAGTCTCTCAATGTTCTAATACCTTTTTCAAAGAAATACACATAACTGTAATCGATTGATTTATTCTACTGATTGTGAATATCAGAAAAATAAACTATATTTTATCTAACTATGCTCCGTTATCTATAAAAAAATGATTTACTATATGTCACACTTTATTTAACAGTTTTATAATATTTACTCTCTCTCTTGCAATTGAGTATTATATTGACTGTAAACATTTCCGATTGTTAAGAATAAAGAAACACTTTTGCTTTTTAACACATAATACCTTATCTTCACTAGAAATTTTAATGCGGAATTAAGGAACTTGATTAGTTGAAAATTTAATTCACATTTTTTTTTCTAGTGGAGACAAGGCCTTACTATTAGTAATTATCTAGAATTTTTATATATAAAAAATGTCATCGACTGATATACAACGAATAGAATTATTAATCCGTATATCAAACCAGATCAGTCGTTACTTTTCTATATTTATTTTTTTCGGTGGTACAATTGGAAATATTTTTAATATTATTATTCTGTCTGATCGATCGATTCGTAAATTGCCAAGTGTTTTCTTATTTCTGATTGCATCCATTGCAAGTCTTATTGCAATACACCTAGGTCTTATTACTCGAATGCTATCTGGATGGGCATCAGATCCAACTTATACAATAGGATGGCTTTGTAAACTACGTACTTTTCTTGTATTTGTATCGAGAGCAGTTGTATTTTGGTTATTCGTTCTGACCACTATCGATAGATTATTACTATCATCATCAGAAAATCGTCAACGTAGATTAAGTACAATGAAAAATGCACAACGTGGTGCACTATTTGTAATAATTATGTCCATTATTATTTATGCTCAACTTTTCTATTGCTATGAAGCTAATTTAACAAATGCACCATTTCAATGTTATGCAAAATCATCATCATGTCAACTTTTAACAGATATGACGTTTGCATCATTTACTACAATAGTGCCATTATTATTAATGCTTATATTTGGTTTAATGACAATCTCAAATATTCGTGAAAGCCATCGTCGTCTATGTCAAACATCTATAGAAACAATGACTCACAGATTATCACCATCTCAACAACGATCAAAGAAAATGGAACGTCATCTTTTATTCATGGTTTTTACACAAGTTCTTGTTCTTGCTATACTTACTCTTCCACAAGCTATTCAAAGATTACATGCGGCATTCATTGGTCCATACAATTCTCAATTACAAGCAACTAAAGATATGTTTGTGTATAATATTGTTCTTCTATTAACTTATTTAGCTAGTGCTATGCCATTTTACATCTATACATTAACTGGTGGAAATTTATTTCGAAAACCCTTATTAAACTTAATGCAACAAATTTATCGATTAATTTTATGTCGACGATTTTAAATTAGTTAGATACAAGTATTGAACGTACTATTTTAATTGCGGAAATGTATACTTAAAGAATATATTTTCTAATTAAAAATGTATGAATTGAATTTGTTTCTTTTGACGATATTTTCCTTTAATCATCGAAAAAAAAGATATGCAATCAAGGCGCAAAGTTCAGTAATTTCAAAAAATACCGAACCCTGGACTGACATATCATTTTTATGAATAAAACTTATGGTTAGTTTCATAATCAATATGATATAATGCTTTCTGAGACGATAATTAAAAACATTTCTTTTAAAACGTATACAATATAATAATTTTCTATCAATCCATTGTTATTTCCCATTCTTTTTCTATTTAAAGAAATTGCCATATGGATGAATAGTTTTGAAAAAAAACTACTATTGTATATATTATTATAGAACCACTAGTTCCCAGAACAAATAAAGATATAATATATGAGATCTTAAGGTTTTATCTAAGCTCCTGTTTACTACCTATATTAATAACATTTATAATCTTGTCCTTGGAAAAGTTATTTAGTGCTAAGAAAAGCTGAAAATAGATGAATTAAAAAACCTTGTAGGAAAATTTATATATTATTAAAAAAAAGGTATTGTTCATAATCCGTAAAAAATAAGAGTAATGTAGTTTTTCAAGCAATATAAAATTTACTTATAGTTTAAGATTATTATTAAGAAATGTTACATGGTGAACGATAAACAAAACTTTTGATTGACATCAGAAAAATTAATGAATATTTTCTTAGCATCAATGTCATTGATTAACCTTTATTGAAGACAAACATGACAAATGTTCTTTGTTCATCTTCTTCTTTACTACAATAGCATGACATCTTAACAAAAAACAAATATTTACTACATAATTAAATAACATGACAAGAATAGATGTATAAAAGGTAAGAGAAACGACTCTTTCCGTTTTCAATATAATAAACCGAATGTAATTTTAATTATAAAAATTCTTCTATGTAATACTAAAAATAATTTCATGTATATATAGCATTTTGACCATAACGAATACATCATGAATTTCTTTTTTTTTTCAACATGAATAATTACAATCATTACATCTATTTTCTTATCGAACTATAGATAATGTTAAACATAAATGTTTCTAGAACACTTCTGTCGAGGTCAAAGTTATTCAGATAATTATTTTTTTCTTGTCTTTGATTTTGTTTTACTACAGTTCCTTTCATATCAATACACTACACTTAAACAATTAGTACCCTATAGCACTTTATATATATACAATCAACGAACGATGATGATAATATAAATAAATATAAAGCTATAACTTCATTATAACTGATGATTATTCACGGTCTTAACAAAGACTTGTTATGTATCGTCAATTGAATAAAATAACATTTATCTAATTGATATTATGTCATATGTAAAAATTAGTTTTTCATTGCTTCGTTATTGTCAAGTAAAGATTTTTCAGTTGATTGAACAAGATCATAGAATGAAATATAAATAAATTAGACATGAGAATTACTATTGATTGTCGCTGCAAGCTTAATGAGAAACAACACGAATATGTATACATATGATAAGATTGTTCTGAGCAACATAAATGAAATGGGCAGCGGGCACAACGCGTTCCATTTTTTTTCTTGATATGGATCAAGAGTATGTCTCTGCCCAAGGCTACCGAACTAAACATAAAATATAACAATTGAATTTTTGTTTTTATCAATGACATTCATTGTCTCTCGTTATCATTTTTGCATGACTCAAAATTAATATCAATCAATCATTTATTAGAAGAATTCATATGACGACGCACTTATAGAGCAAAGAATAAATTCATCTTATCTTCATAGTACTACCATTGTTAACTAATCGACAAGGCCATACCGTGTTGTAAGAATAAAGATTTACAACAGATGTCAATTGCTTTTTTTTCTTCTTCTTCTTAATAAGACTCGTATTCTTAATTTAATACATCGAAGACTATTTCTATGTACGTATATACAATTTTCTTTTTCTCATTCAGACACTCTGTTCTAATTTATGGATCGTGTCAATAATGTTGTTGTCGCGACATTAATTGCATCGATTAGAGTGAGACTGTCCATCTGGCTGTGAAGAAGAAGAAGAAAAAAGAGAGAGCGAGGGTCAGCTTGACTTTCATCTTCTTCTCAATACAGACATCATCTTTTAACATGAAATTTCACGTCCGAATAATTTTTTTAACATATGTTCTACATGCACGAGCTATCCGACAGGTGTTTGTTCCATTTTGTTGTTATTAATATAAACCTTCAATTTTATTTTTATTCAACATAGCACGCAAACTTATATCCGTTTGAGATTATTTTCTTTTGTTCTCACCGAGAATATAGCTTGTAACGAGTGTTCATCATTTTACTCCCTTCTTCTTCTTCGTCGATGAGAAAGAGAAAGAGAGAGAAAGAAAAGAATACAGAACGTTCGTCTCTTTTCTCTTCATTTCCGATTTAGATAGGTAAATGAAAAAGAAAAGAATATTCATCATATTAAATATTTGCTTTTTATATTCCAAGGTAATACGTTTCTGTCACTTATACTACCATACACTTTGTTCTGTAAGTAAATGTTCGAGTACCACTCTTCAATATAATTAGAGTCTACAGCTTCTATACGTGCATGTGTGTCTTTTACAGAGAATAATAAGTATTAAAATATATAATAGATTTGCGACTACTACTACATACTTTGAAAAGAATTGCGCATCTTTCTGGTAATAAATTCTAATCCATTCATTACATATGTTATTATTGTGTATATAGACAGTTTGTCATCGATATAAGTAAAATGTAAATAGGGGAATTTTTTTGTTGTATTCTCCCATCAGATAACATCTCGACATCACCTTGCGAATGTCTACGTGTCTGTCTGATCAATAATTGTTCTATGAACTCAATCGATCATTCTTTTCTTTTTAAAGAATTGAAGTGTGTATAAACATTTCATTCATTTTATATTTATCATCTATTTGTTTTGTTTCATTTTTCTTCATCATATTATTATTAGTTTTGTGATAAAATTCTTTATCATATTTATTTAAATCAGTATGTTCGAACATATAATTCCTTCGAGACAACAGCGTATGTACAACTAACTAATAATTGAATTAAATTTTGTTATACAATAAAAAAAATTTGACAGTGCCATTTCTTCTCATATTTCAAATAGACATAAGATATAATTGTTTCATTCTATTGTATTCTATATAAAACGACAGAGACAGACAGACAGACAGAGTCAGTACAAGTACTGAATAAATAAGTAAACACATATAAGAAGATTTCAGAAGAGTTAAATGTTGACGTTTTTATTCCTATTGTTCATCATTCATTTTAAACACGTACTTTTTTTGTAATTAGACTATCATCATCTACAAAGAATATCATTAGTCTTTTTTTTCTCTTCACTTATAACTTGATGGAAGTTGATGTCAAGGTTAATCTTCTAATCAGGCTTAAAATATATATATATATATGCGTATACATGAATCAGTATTCTTAATGTTCAATTATCTTTGCCTTTCTTTCTTTCTTTTTTTCTTCTTCTTGATAGGTTAGTTAGTTGAGAAAGTTTTTAAGCTAATTACAACAATGGTCAATCATCATATAAAGGCCACTTTTTCGATGGCTCATCAATCATTTTATTGCTGCTGTGTGTCGGTCATCAAGGCTATTTATTGACCAGCATATCAATAAATAGAAAAAAAAGAGAGAGGGAGAGAGAGAAAGAAAATAGTGAATACATTTCAAAACATACTTCACTAAGAAAAATAAGATATGAATAAAACCAACCTTTTTTTTTTCACCGGTCAGCGAGTCATCCATATGTTGAATAAGATGTATATGTACACTTTTTTTTCTTCTTTTCTAATCTTGTTCACTTACGTATACACATATACATCACGAAACGAAATCATTTATCAAGATTTGAATAATTTTGCGTAACATGACTAGTTGTTTCTCATAGTATGCGTATGAAGCCTGTATAAATCATAAAATTTATTTTAAATGTTTCTTCATCCATATCTCATCTCAAGTAATCCAATCAACATGTCATTGTTACTCAGCAGGATATAATTTTATTTAATCAAATGTATAGAGGATATTGATGCGTAATGATTATTATCAGTATGCCATCTTTATAATATAAACAACTTCGAAATTTTCACACTTGATACAGACAGTGATAAATGGTTAAAAATAAAATCTTCATCATCATCATCTGATTCGATTCGTTTCGTATTCTAACAAACACCTGTTAAGATAGAACAACTGATTCTATTTCTTTTCCCATATATATATATAAATAACGATCTATCTGATATTTTAGATACATTCATATTTCTTCTCTTCTTGTGAAAGACATGTGGAAAATTATATTATTATTCGTATTTCACTGTACAACAATGATTAATTCAATGGAATTGAGTAAGTAATGACTAATAATAATATTTCAATAGTTATATAGATTTGAATACTTATTCAATATTCTAATTTCAATTGTTAAAAATTTTACGTTCTATTGACATGCAACTAGCTTTAAACAATAATTAGAAATTCTTTTCAATATTCGAGAACCTTTTTTTTTAATATTTACTTTGATTTGAATCATAACAGTGAATTTTGAAGTTTTTTTACCTTAACATTTATTTAAATACGAGACTATAGTCAAAATCAATAGAAATGAATTAATTAACAAATTTTACGATTGAGATCATGCAATACAAAAACGAAACTGGATCGGATAATAAAATTTTAGCTTGAAACTGTGTAGTTTTTTTTCTTGAACATCACCAATCGACTCAGCACAGTCCAGAGTATCTATTAGAGCAATCAAAAACAGATGATTATAGTTTTCAGGTAGAGTTTTTCACGAAAACTTACACGTCCGTAAAATTCAAATTTGGAGCACACTTAACTTGCCCAAAAACCCTTAACGATTCCTTTTTATGACATCTTGTATTTTATTTTTTAGAAAGTATTCATTCATGTCAAAATCCACTTCTTGCTAGTTCAAAAATAATAACTAGTAGTACAACTACTACTTCAAATTCTTGGTGTCCATCTACATTTGATAATAAACGATATATACTTTTAACATTATCTAATTTAACTTATATAACACGTTTAAATACTCAATCAATATCAAAAGATATTTTTTATCATATTGAATATGCACGTGATAATCTTATTGATGAATATACAACATGGCATTCATATCGTTTATTAGATAATAAACATGAAAATATTGAATTAAATCCACCAATAATAGCTAAACATGTTCGATTATTTATTAAACAAACAAAACCAAATTTTTGTATTCAATTAGAATTTTTTGGATGTATATTTACTGATGGTGTAGTGTCTTACAGTATGTTACAAGGTACGAATCAACTTGAAGATGATACATATGATGGACAATATGATGAAGGTCATCGTTATTTATATGGTAAAAAAACATTTTAATTAAATAAAAATCATCATATTCATTTTATTCTTATTAAGATGGACTTGGCCAATTATCTGATGGTCAAACAGGACCAGATAATTATGAAGATCCTCGTGGTTTTCAATGGGTAAAATATTTCCAAATAAATAATTTGAAGCTTATATAATATTTTTATTGTTTTAGGTTGGTTGGCGTAAACCACGTTCAGCAAAATCGAATTATTCAATCGGAATTTTATTTAAATTTGATACATTAAGAAATTTTTCTCGTTTAACAATTCATGTCAATAATTATTTTCCAAAGAAAATTTATGTTTTTCGTTCTGTCACAATTGAATTTTTAAATAATAAAAATTCATCATTTATAACGTATTATAATCAGCATGATGATCAATTTGAAATGGCAAGACCAATAATGATTGATTTAGAAAATCATATTGCAACACAAATAAAAATGCATTTCTATTTCGATAATAATTATATATTAATGAGTGAAGTGACATTTGATTCATTTATTGTACCAACAAATTTAATTCTTGAAACCGAACAACAATCAAAAACAATTTATATTATTATTTGTACATTAATTCTATTCATATTTTTATTATTATGGGTTATTATTATTCTAATTCGAGGTTTATTTAGTAATAATTCAAAAAATAAAGGATATTATTTAACACCAGTACATAATCAAACGGATTCATCAGCATCAACAACATCAAGTGAAATCGATGTTGGTTCGTCACATCATCGTTATGCAACTATTAAATCTGCTCATCCATATCTTGTTAGTACTAATGGAAATGGCAGCACATCTTCTCATTATTCAAAATTACTACCAACAGCAACAACTTTATTACGAGCACCATCAAACATTCAACAAAATCATATCGAAGGTGTTTGTGGTAATAGTACATATGGTACACAAAGATTATTTACATTTGATATACATCAAAATCAATGTATACCAAGTCATAATATTACTATAGAACAAAGAATAGAAAATAGACATCAAATTCTTGGCGGTGGAGAGGTAAATAACTATATAAAATATAAAAGAGATTTGAAAATAAGGATTTTCCTAGTTTTGCATTACTTCAGTTTACAAAGAAATCTTTCAGTTTTAAATCAGAGTTAGGGATGCGCAGTTTCAGCCCTAACAATACTGACACCGACTTCAGTGAGCCCAGTGTCAGCGTTGTCGGTGCTGACAGTGCACAGTTTACTGAAACTGCGCTTCCCTAATCAGAATCTATTGAATACTAGATTTGTAGATCGTGACTAAAGCATGATATACTGAAACTATTCTTTATGCGTTCAAATTCTGAATTGAATTGAGTGTTCTTAAATGAAAATAGTTTCGTTTGTGTATAACAATGTTCATTATGCATTGTAGTTTTATTGAGTACTCAGTCTAGAAATATATAGTTTATCTAAAACATGATAATTGAGAAGTTTTTCTTATTAGCTTCGTTTTCATTATTTAACAATAGTTTTGTATCCGTTTTCAAAGCTCTTTGAATAACACGTACAAAATCTATCTGAACATGATGAATTCCATAGATGACATGACGAATTGTTATCGAAATCTATTGTATTCATAGAATATCTATCATTACATTCTTCCATTTGTTAAGAAAGTATACGGAATAGCTTACTATAAGAAAAATCTCCTTTTTATTTTAAAGATATGTCAAGGTATTCTACAAATCAATCAATCATCCATACCAGTAACTATTCGACGTTTACTTTCAAATGCATCAGTACAATCAAGGTAATGAAAAACAAGCTTCTAGATTCTTTCAATTAAATTTTTGTTGTTGTTTAGAATTTCATTTTATAATGAAATAAGTCTTTTAACATCATTATGTCATCCAAATATGATTCATGCCTATGGTCTTTGTTCAGAACCAACAATGTGTTTATTAACTGAATCATTTGATAATTCATATATGAATCTTTATCAATATCTTCTAAATTGTAAACATGAACAACCAGAAGAAACAACACTTTATAATACAACATTATTTTTTGCAACACAAATATCATCAGCATTAACTTATTTAGAATCATTGCATATCTATCATCGTGATATAGCTGCACGAAATTGTTTAGTTTCAATCGATCTTAATATAAAATTATGTGATTTAGCAATGTGTAATGAAATATATGCAGATGATTATGTTTTAGTATCAGTTGGTAATGATATAAAAACACGAAGACCTATTCGATGGTGTGCTTGGGAAACAATTTGTTTGGTAAAAGAGAAGAAAAGGATTTTTATTTTTATAATTTTTAAATTTTGTTTTTCATCATTAGAATCAGTTTACATCGAAATCTGATGTTTTTTCATTTGGTGTTCTTCTTTGGGAAATATTAACAATGGTTGAACGACCATATGGTTTATTAGATGATGAACAAGTTATTTATAATTTACGAAATTTTAATCATGTATTAATTATACCATCATATGCAGAAGATTTAACAGAATTAATTTTATCATGTTGGAATAAATATGATTATGATCGACCTACATTTTATCAATTAAATCATGTATTAAATCAAAAACAACAATTATTATCGATTAAATCTGATAGTTATCAGCAGATTGACTGAATTATTTTACTATTATTTGACATTTAATACTAACCCCGGTTGTTATCTTTTTGTTTATGCGTGTTTTTAAATAAATAAAATGAAATTAAAGTAAATCAAACATTCCATCGGAAGTACGAAAGTAAGGTTATGATCCAAATGGAACAGCAGTTCTGATGATTGTCAGGAAAACATTTGAATTAGATATTGATTTCGATCGGGCATTACATTCTAATACAACTATATTTTATGATCTTCTTTCATATCGATCTATACAGGTCCGAAGCTAAATAGAAAACTAACTACAGAATTCAGCTCACAGCTCTGTAACTTCGCTTTTGGTAAGGAATGCCATATTATTTGTTTTCTTCAGCCTTTATTAAAAGAATTAAATTAACATTCGACTTGAACGCAAATACAAAATGTACTTGAGTACACTCTAGATTTTTCTTTGCTATTATTGTTTTTGATAGTGGATCGGACGAAAGGACAATATAAAGTCACTTCTATCAACTATCATCATCTTGCCGATCCTCTATTAAAAACAACAATAGAAAATAACAGAAAATTTTTGAGTGTATTCAAGTATATTTTGTATTTATATTGAATCTTCTTTAGGAAGACAATTACTATACTCAGGAGTGGCGCGACCGAGGGGTGTCGGCGATGTGATACCTCCCCCTCCCCAATCTTCAATAATTTCTATGTTTTGATCAACAAAATCGGCAAATCTTCTTAGGTTTTTTATCAAAGATAATGCTACACCCCCGTAAAAATTCAAAAAACTTCCTTACACCCCGCCCCCCGATGTTGGCTGACTTGCGCCACCCCTGGCTATACTATTATCAATAACTCTGTAAAAAAAACGAAGGCAAATCAAATCGCAAAAAGTATTATGTTCTTCGGTAAAATGTTTTCTGTAAAAATCTCTTCTATTTATTTTAATTCAGTGAAAATAAAAATTACATTATGAAAGAAATGTTCGTATTGATAAGTTTTTTCATTTATAAATTCGATGTCATAAATGATGTTTTCATTTCAATTAAAGTAAGTTTAATTAAATCTGCTAATGCTTGCGGATTTGTATCAGCACAACTTCGATAAGCACTGACACAGAATGTTGTTCTACAATAAATGAATAAATCATTCTTATGATATATTTTTCTTTGTATCTTACGCATCACTACTGATCCGATAAAAAACTCCATAACCATTTAAACACATTGGCGATGTTCCACCGACTGATATAGTAAAACCAGTACAACTTGTCGATAAAATAAAATTACCATTTCCACCACTAAATATAAATTAATCATTTGAAACGAATGAAAACTTTGTCTTTCCTAGTACCTTTTAATCCACGATGGATCATTTGTAAGTTCAAATTGCTTTCCTGTTAAACTTGCTATCATACTTAATCCAAATAAATGACGATCACAACCTTGATTTTCCGATGCTTCAAACATCAATTCTTGATGACGATTAGCAGCATGTAAAAATAATTTTCTTCTATCTTTTTCCTAAATAATATTTATACTATTCAAATAGATATAACAATTAACTATTACTGTAAATTGATCTTTTTCAATAGTCATTGAACGACACCATGCAATTACTTCTCGTGAACAAGTTCGTGATGTTTCAGTTCTACCACGATAGAAACGTCGTGTTGCAGCTGTTTCATATGTTGGTGCAGGTTTATAATTATGTAATTTAAAATAAGCTAATTGAAGACATAATTGAAAGAATGTATCGGGATGAATACGAACATATTGTTTAATATCTTCTTTTGTACATTGTTCTACATTAATTACTAAAACTTCAATATCATCAGCTAATTGAGAAAATAAAGTAGTTGCACGATTTATAGAATTCAATATGTATGTATCGGAAATAAATCGAAGTTCTTGGACAGTTTTTTTATCATAAGAATAAGCTGATTTTGACCATGAATTTGTTTTCTCAAATGAATCAATAAGATATTGCACATGATCACCAATTTGTAATGGAATGCTACCTTCGAAAGCAGAATGCTATGTAGAAAACATATTTGTATAAAATTTGATTGTAAAGATATATATATTTACATCACTGTTAGTTACAACAAGACCATTTCGTGTGATTATATAAACAATTGATCGATCAAACCAACGTGAACGAGGATTTTTTAACATGCCAATATGTGCAAGCTAAATATTTGTATTGTTATATAGTTAATATACATTGAAACTCATAGATAGATGTAACGATTTTTTGATTTTTTTTTTGTTATAAACTATGAACTATTTAACTAATCTAATACAATTATCAATATAGGGAAATTTTGTGGTTGTACTATTCAGAAGTTATATTCATTGAATTCACAATCCTAGTTACCTCTGTAAAATTTTCTGGATTATCATTATCAAGTGCAAAGACGAGTAATGCTTGTTCAATACTTTGAAGATTTCTTTTATTTTGTTCATCAATTTGACATAAATGATCACGTATCTAAAACTCATTGAAATTAAGATTAACGAAAAAATATTGATTTTTATATACTTCTGCCCATTCATCCCGTGGCAATGCAGTTAATGCACCTAATCCAAGTCCAATAGTTTGATCACTTCGCTGACTAATATCTTTTAATCTTTCAAGAATTTCAGGTGGTGTTAAAAGTCTTTTTGATTCATATAAATCAAATGTATATATATGACCATTACGAATAACTATAACATGAGTTGGTGGAGATTTTTCATCTTCGGAAACTATTTAATTAGAAAATTGATATACAAAAACAAGATAATTGTTCAATAAAATCAAACCAGTTCGAAAACAACTAACTAATTCATCACATTCTTTATGTGGAATTCGACATGTATTAAAAAAATGTTTTAATTGATACATAGTCAATGGCTGTTTACCCACATATGATATTGGATAACGTTCTCTTAAGAATTAAAACAAATTAATTTTTTTTTTCGAAAATATTCTATAATTAAATATACTCGCGAATTGTTTCAAAAATAAGACCACATGCATGCATAAGTTTAGATGTTCGTTCAAGTTGTGAATCGATTTCGGGTGATTGTAAACAATTAAAACCCATCATATTAATAACTGGTGCAATTGGTAATCGACATTTTAAATATATTTCTTCATCCCACCATCGTGCTAGCTAATAGAATTGATAAATAATCATATTATTAGATTCGATATAATTATTAGCAAGCTGATGAGTATAGTTTGTTTATTTTTATCTTACCCAATTTCTTTCTTGTTGTTTTTCAATGTTAGTCTTTAATTGTTCATGTAATTCTCGTCCATTTCCTCTAGCAAACTGTTGAACAATTTGTTTAGTTTGATCATATTCATTATCATTCGCAACAGCGCGTACTAAAGATACAGATGTATATGAAAGTTTGTAAGTATCTCTTTGATGTGCTTTTTATCTTTACCCGAATCAAGATAACGTTCAAGTGTATGTTCTAATGTTGGCAATGGTAATGATGGAAGTTTATTATCATATTCAAATGTTTTCTTCATCATTTGTTTTGATAAATGAATATATGAGTTTAATCAATGCGTATTTATTTATTTTAAAAGAAAAAGATGAATTCATAGATAACATAAAAGATGCATAGCTTTATCTTTTCTTTATATCTATCACGTGCATATTATGTTAAACATAAAAAACAAAATTATTGCTCTTGTAATACGTCGATGTCATTAATATGATGATATTCATCGCAGTGGCGGATTTAAGAGGGTGATCGCCCCCCTTCGGAATTTTTTACAGCAGTAATAGGTTCACACTACTTCGATTGGACTCAAAAAATAGCTTTTAGCCAAAATCGCCCCCCCCCCCTTCCAAAATTCTAGATCCGCCACTGATTCATCGACCACTATTCATTGACTTTGTTATTGACAAACACGAAGAGTGATTTTAAGACAATGACGGAATTGTATTATTATTAGAAACTCTAGTGAGAGCTTTATCGAGTATAGTACTAGATTATTATATTAAACCATCTACGTTGAATTGCAAAGAATCCGTTACATTTTTCTTTTTATAATTAAATTTCCCAAAAAAAAATTTTTGACAAGTCTCTTTCTTTATATTATCACCAATAATTAATTTTCTTGAAAAAACAAATTCAACTAGCGCCATCTGTGGATTCAGTCTTGGTTGGTTATCTTTCGTTAACGATGGATAGGAATAAAAAGGAGAACTCAACCTCAGCAAGCAAAGATAGAAGAAGAAGAATAATACTAAATAAATAAACATATCAGACTTTTCTTTTTTCGTTTTTTTTACTTATTTTATAGATCATGATTTAATAAATATTAATTAATTTTATTTAATTAAAATATGTGATTTGAATTTTAATCCAGAACAACAAGAAAAAAAATCATGTGGAATGAAGAATTTTGGTTACCAAAAAATACAACTTGGAATGATTTTGTTGAACTTAGACAAAAAGGTATTCGTATACCACAATTTCATGATCTTTTATATGTTTATCCATTGGCCGGTGTACTTTATATAATGAGAATTTTATTCGAACGATATATTGCTCAACCAATTGGTCGATCAATTGGTATAGATGATTATAAAAAACATCCTACACGTATAAGTGCATTAGGAAAATTTAGTGAATCATTTTGGCGTTTCGTTTTTTATTTAAGTATATTTATCTATGGTCTTATTATTTTACAAGATGTAAAAAAACACTCAAACTTTAAATTTAATAAAATTTTTATTTTCTTTTTTTTTGTATTTAAGAAATCATGGTTATCTGATACAAGAAATTGTTGGTTAGATTATCCAAATCATCCATTAACAAGTGATATTTTTGGATATTATATGATAGAACTTGCTTTTTATTGGTCATTACTTTTTTCACAATTTATTGATGTTAAAAGAAAAGATTTTTGGCAAATGTTTCTTCATCATATTGCAACAATAGCACTACTTTCATTTTCTTATATTGTCAATTTTGTACGTATCGGTTCATTAGTAGTTGTTATACATGATTGTGTTGATTATTGGCTTGAAGTAAGAGCTTTAATTGAATTAAAAAGATTTATATGAATTTCGTTTTTGGGTTTAAAGGGTGCAAAAATGGCAAAATATGCAAAAGCACAAAAAATATGTGATACATGTTTCGGAATATTTGCACTTATGTGGTTTATAACACGTTTATGTTACTTTCCGTATAAGTAAGTACAATAGTTAAATTAAAATTATTGTATTTTTCGAGAAAACTTCCAATTAGGAAAGGAATGTTTGTTAATCGTAGAAATTTTGAAACAAATTTCGTTATCAATAGATAAGATATTATAGTACGAATAGGTATTTTAATATATATAGAAGTACTATGAGGTTATCTTTGATTGGTATGTAACATGTTTCAATTGAGTATAGAATGATGTACTCATTAATTTCGTTTGATATGTATCTGTCAGAATTTTTTTCGTGACCGATAAGCATTTATTTTCGAAAGTATGACTCATATAATTCAAGGTCTTCAAAGAAACGTGATGTTGTTCTAGGTCTCGTTTTGAACAATATATGACTTGAATAGATAATGGAATTCATAAAATTTGCTAGCATCAATATAATAATATTCGACTATAATTAAGTTAGACAGATGGCATTGAATAGACTTTCTATCAAATCAAAGAAATTATAATACGATATATAGTAGTATAATTCTTAGACTTATTATACTATACATATATTGTTTATATAAAAACGTATAATATTTTCAGATTCGAATTCATCTTACTTAAATAGAAATATTAAATCTTCCTATTTTGTATAGATATCTTACACTTATGATTAGCGAAATCCTTTTAATAAACAATAATCATTCCATGCGATATTATTCACTCTATTAAATTCTGAATTCGAATTACCTTTTTAGAAAGAGATCTTCTTCTTATAGAAGAATATTATTTTCAAGTGTAATGGGTATGATTTTATAACTCTTTCATTTGTATAAATTAAAAAACAAGACGTTTCTTCTTTATCTGATTGTATTTTATTTACAATAGATAAATAAGAATACATTTTAAAACAAAATAATATTAACTCTATATTTAACTAATTAATAATTGTCTTTGTATTCTATCATATTTAGAGTGTTATATACAACAACATTTGAAGAATTAAATATCCTTGGCTTATTTCCTGCTTATTATGTATTCAATGGGCTCTTAATACTTCTTCAAATTCTTCATTATTACTGGTTTTATCTAATTTGTCAAGTGGCAATTACAGCATTTCGAGCTGGAGAAGTATATAATAAGAATTTAAATTGATATATATATAATTTGTAAAATATTTAATCTAGGTAACAAAAGATGGACGAAGTGACAGTGAAGATAGTGATAGTGAACAAACAACTAAAGCAAGTGCAGTTCGGAAAGACAAATGATTTACTTTATTCTTTTTTTTTCCTGATAAAAATTATTTATCTCGTTCTTTATATACATATACTTATTCGTAAAAACAAATGAATGATATGAACATTTTAATTTTCTTGTTTGAAAAAAAACAAAACTTTCGTAAAAACAAAATTACATTCTTTCTTTTTTAACATTTGCTTCTTGTTTCTTTTTTTTTCTTTTGATAACCAACAATCATTCAAACACAAAAAACAACAACAAAAGAGATTATAATGTGCCTTTTTCTTTTTTGTTAATATTTATATAAAAGACACATGAAGAGAAAAGAAGCCGGTGTCTTTGTTATATGTGTGTGTATCTTATCTACTACTGTTCTTCTTATTCTAATTGATTTGTTATAAAAGTCTCGTTGTTTTTTTTTGCAAAGTTTATATATGTTTTTTTGTTCAGAGAATGATAAAGAGAAAAAAAAGACATGCATGTGTGCATGTATAGTAAATTTGTTTGTATTGGATGTTGAATAATCAAACTAAAAAAACATTTTTATTAAATTTTTTAAATAGATCATATTCAATCGAATGGTTTCAATACTACCTAATTAATTTTATTGTTATTGACAATAGCATGATCATTAAGCGGAAGAAAATATTTTTAAGTACCTATTTATGAGTACTACGATATACTATAAGTAATGAAACTATTTTCATCTTAAGAAAAAAGAATAAATGGAAATCAGAATTTATTGTGATCGTTTTATGTTTGTAAAGCTTAAAAAAATTTCGTTTAAAATGATATTAAAGTCGTTTTTGGTAAAAAAAATGTCGAGTAATATCTATTTAATTTATTTGTATATGAAATATAGTCTTTGCTATTAATAACTCTAAATTTTTTTATTAAATGTCACGTATAAAACTATGAAATTGATTGACATAGAAAAAAGAATGTTCCTATTTCAGGGATTACTTGTCAATAGACGAACTTTTCTAATAATATGTAATAAATGAATGAGTACCACTTGTATTTTACAATTATAAAATAATAATAAGGTAGAAATAAAAAGCATTATTTTACCTTGATTGTAGAAAATCGCAAGAATATTTCCTACTATTACATTACTCTTAACAAATTGATTCTGAATCAAAACTAATTATTAATTTTTTGTATATAAAATCATTTTCAATTAAGACGTTGCTAACTAATGAATTTACGAATAGAAACTATGATATTCTTTGTCGATACAATATTTTATATTGAAATGTTCTAATTTAATATTATACATTTGCAATATCTATAATATAATTCCTAAGATCAGTTTCATAATTTTACTATGAGCATCTATTCTTAATATAAATGTTACATAATTATTTATCATCATATTAAAAAAAACGATAATTAAATAATAAAATCGTTATTTTTTAATAATGTGGATAGCGTAAAAATCTATTGTATTTTATATTATATAAAATTTTGTTTTTCAACAATTATTATTCATAAAAGATTCTATTCATTATATGAATTAATATAATGCTAAGAGCATTTTGTCATCTTCCTACACAAGTATCAAATGGTATGTAGGAGAGAAGAAAAGAAGAAGAAGAAGACAATTGTCTTGGGGAAAACTACTTATTTAAATATGATTTCTTTTTTCTACTTAAATTCATAAAATATTCATCTTCGTACCACACTATATCTTTCTAAAGTTAGAAAATATAATTGCGTGTAAGAAAATTTATCTATTAATATAGACGGATTTTTATCAGGAGAATGACTAGTAGTAGGTGCCAATCACTAAGGATCAACGACTTTATTAACATGCATATAAAAGAAAAGAAATTATTCTATTTAAATACGTCTACCACGCATACTTTATATACAGACATTAAATAAAATCGAGAAGAAAGGTAGGAAATAACAACAAATAATTTTTTTCTCTCTAGTAAGCTTCAAGCATATATGTTATGTAGTATAAATAAAAAGACAATTCTTTCTTATATTTTAGCTTTAAAACTTTACCCATGGCACGTAAAATAGTATCATTATTAATCTTTTTATTTATATTATCTATGTATCAAATAAATCAATCATTAGCATTAACCATATTCCATAATGAACCAGCACCAGTACTGAACGATCGATTATCTCTTCTTAAAGAATATATTCATCGAGTAATTATTATATATATGTAATTTTCAAAAACAAAGATCTATTTTCATTTATTTTAGTTAAATCAACAACAAGGATCTACATCTAATTTTATTCAAACAGATAATAAAGAAATAGTGCCTGATAGAAATTGGGTTGAACATGATATACGTACGTCTAAAAAAGCCAATAAACGCATGCTTTGCTTTTTTAATACTGTCACTTGTTTTGGTTAAAAATTACAAATAAATTAAACTTTAACATTATATTTTAAAATGATTCAATGTTATCTTTTTCTTTTTGCAATAAAACAATTCGAATTTAACAGAAAAGAATGAGAAAATTTTTCTCGTTTGTAATATTAAAGAAATAATTTTAGATGACACATCTATAAGCATACTCCCACATAAGTGACTATTTGAGTACATCTTTTTTTTATTAGGATTTCACGATAATTAGTTTTAACTGAAGTTTATGAGCAGCTGCTAAGTCGTACCTTTTGTTTTATTGGTACATTTTCATTTTTCTTTAACTATTAGATAAAGGAAAAAAATATCGTTCTACATGAAATGAACAAGTATATGTTATGTATACATATCTCAGAAACGGAGAACCTTTTTACAGCTAATTATTCAGAAGAAAAACTGCTCTTGTAATTGAATGAGAAGTATAAGAAGAATTGGAAAAGATTCAAATCTCTCTTCGAAACCTTGAAATAATGATAAGACAGATATTTTTGTTTTGATACTTGGTAGAGTCTCGTTCTAAGGACAAAAATTTAACCACAGAGTCTACGGTCGAATTTTTAGATTTTTTGCTCATATGGTTCGACCGATATTCACTAATTACTGGTTAATTAATTTTAATTAAGTCGCAGCTGGAAGCGCCATGCGCTTACATACATCTTGTAGTAAAGGAATTTATTCAGCAGGAACATCCGTATAAAAAATTACAGTTCAATGAAAGCGCTAATTGTCCTATTTTGTTCCTATGTATTATTCGAATGATTATGTGAATAGAGAGAGAACATGTTAAAGCTTAAAAAACGAACTATTGGTTATTTCTTTCGAAAATTCAAGTTTTTTATTTATTTCAGTTTTACTCTCTATAAAATGCGATTATTTTTATAGTATAAGCTGTAAAAGTCAATGACAGTGTATATCACAAAGATAAAGTTTAGTGTGAATAAGTAATACTAAAAAGAAAAGTAATCTAAATAAAATAACAATATGAGAAGCTATTTGGATTATACAACTAAAATAATGCTTGGATCAGTAAAGATTCTTAATAAAATATGCAACATTGTAAATGATTTATAAAGGTTTATCTATAAATATCTTTCTTTGTGCATAAAATAGATAAATTCGGATGGTACTTATATTCTTTAACAAACAAATTCTATGAAATTTATGTTAATTCATGACTACAGTTACGGTTTTTTCTGTTAGTATTTATAATTTAACAACAAAAAAATCGTAAAGGTAATATACAATAATACTAAATCTTATCTTTGATTTTCATGGGAGAACCCAATTTACATTCAATTAATATGCATGTCATTTTCATATGTTAAATTTTATCCCCATCAAATTTATCAGTAGTTTTTTGTATGTAGAAAACGAAATTAGTATTATAAAAATGAAATAACTTTTGGTTCGTGAGACATTTTAATATATATTTACTAAACAGAAGTTAATAGATTAAGTATATTACGAAGTATTTGCAGAAGGATTTTTATTTTAAATGACTACAAATTTATGACGGTATTTTATTGTCATTTTTATTTCGAAAGATCAAAATATTATGATTTACAGTTAACAAATACGATCATAAAATATCATCATTCATCTTGTTATCTTCTATAAAACAAGTCAAAATCTTCTTTTCATTACTTTTTCTTGTAACGATGGTGAGCCGACAAAGGTTTGTACATATACTTATTTCTATATTTAATAGTCGATCTTATATTATAAAAATAATCAGAAATGAAAAAAGAAAACTTTCATTATTCGATTTCCACTTTACATCAAGCTGTTTCTTAATCTGCACTTAGAAAAGAAGATTTTTGTCATGCGAAACACAGATGTTTATATGTCTCTGCCTTATAATTATAAATATTTATATAGTCTAACGGAAAAAAATGTCATTACTTATTTTCTGAGAAAAACAACTAGAAAGAAGAATAAAAATCTATCAGCTGTTAATGTTTGACGTGTATAAAGGTTTGCTTTCCAATGATGATCGTTCAAAACCGTAAGTTATTTTAAATTTTCACTGATAGAAATACAGTTCTTATTAAATATGAAAATAAATTAATTATTTGATATTTTTTTTAGCAAAGTTCTGTTTGCATTTGGTGCTTTACTTGGATTATTTCTTATATCAACGATTGTACTCGCTACTTTATATGGTCTTGAAAAGAATAAAGCATCAACTACAACTACCACAACTACCACAGGTATAAAATATATTCTTCTTCAGTAGAATTCCATTGATAAATTTATCTTATTTAAGTGAATGATGAAGCTTGTTTAACACCCTATTGCATTAAAGCAGGTTAGTTGACGACAAAACAATAAATTATATAATATTTTCTTTTGAATTTTATAGCAAACTATTTACTAGAAAGTATTGATGAGACAGTTGATCCATGTGAAGATTTCTTTGAATTTACATGTGGAACATGGTTAAAAAATCATAAGATACCTGATGATGGTAATTTGAAAAATATTTTCAACTATGTCACAATGAGTTTTATTTTATTTTAGCTGGATCTCAAGACACGTTCAATGCTCTACGAACACAACTAGATAGTGATGTTGTTGGTAAATATAAATAATAGATTAATTATTTTTCTTTACTCGATTAATTTCATGGTAGACTGTTATATTAGATGATAGGTGATGGATCATTGATAAAGAATACTCTTTGCACTGTGTATGTCACAATGATCGTTATACGAAGAAACAAGATATTTTCTTATCAGTAGAATGTTCGAATAAATGATAATGAGTTTTTATAGGATTATCATGATATTCAAATAAATGTCAAGAAAATATAGGACTGTTTTTTCTTGAATTAATATGACATCGGAAGTAAAAAAATTTAGTGTGAAAACTATAATTTTCGAATTAGAAGGAAATAATTAACTAGAAACAACATAGTACTAGTCGCTTCTTTTCTTTTTCGTTTGCTGACATATTCTATATTTCCGACAAATATCGTTTATTTTTTATAAACATTATATTTACTATGCAGATTATTTCCTTTCATTTACCATTCTATAATAGAAGACATGTGTTGACAATATATTAACTTGTCGTATAATAAATGTATTATGTAGGATGTTAGAGCGATAATTTTTATAATTAATCGAAATTAACGCATAAATCAAAACATATTATTTTTTCTACATTCGATTTAATGAATCGTATATTAACAGAAAATGATCAAAAACTTGCGAATCTACTCGAATAATTTGTTATATGATGATAAAATACATATAGCACTATCATATTATTATGACAATGCTAATCTCAAAATGCAATTGAATTTTGTCATACTGTACAGTGTGTACATATAATCTCGTTTGGTTCTCTATTAGACTTTCCTATATAATACAGGAAGAGGTAGAATTACATCATACTTAATTATATATAGCTATTTTCTTCATCCGTACAAAAACATCTATTTATCTATGCTCTGTTGATTGATAATTCTAAATTAATATAAATATATTTTATTAGATCGATTTTTTAATTTCACAACCCACTCGTTAGAGGATATATTGATGTACCATCTCAATAATCTTGTAAAACACTTCATAATGTACTATTTTTAAACGATTGAAGTTTACTGACACCATTAGAAGAATTTTTTATGTTAAATCATAAATTACATTCTATATATTTAGATATCTTAACATTGCCACTACCAAATGAAATGACCAATATTCAATCTATAAGAAATGCACGTATTTTATATGATTCATGCAATAATGAAACAAATATTGAATCAGACGGTGTCAGTGCAATATTATCTCTTGTTAATAATGAATTTGGTGGTTGGCCGATTCTACAAGGTTCATCATGGAATGCTGCATCATTTAATTTTTCGAATTTATTACTTAAACTACGAGAATATAGTAACAATATAATATATAGTTGTGGTACATCAACTGATGACAGAAATTCTTCTGTATATTATATTCGAGTAAAAATATAATAACTATACTATATGCATCTATCGCATCTTTATTACAGGTATCACAAAGTGATTTAGCACTTGAACAACGATCAAATTATATTAATGAAACAAAACTTGTTAGTGCTTATCAAAAATTTATTCAAGATTTTGCTGCAGCATTCACTAATGGTACAAATACAAATACAACAATGATTGTGCAGGATGTTACAGATATTTATAACTTTGAGAAAAGTATTTCGATAGTAAATAATATTTTGATTCATTATAAGAAATTTAAAACTAAATTGATCAATATATTTGTTTAGCACCATTTGACACCTGCAGAACAACGTGCAAGACAAAATGAAACAGTTCGTACAACAATTGGCAATCTTTCTCAAACCTTTAGTACAAGTGTAAATAATTATATCTTATTCGAGACAGTTGACTTTTATTTTTGTTTCATTTAGTTTGATTTTACAAATTATTTACGACGAGTTTATTCTTCATCGGGTGTGACCTTGAATGATAATGATGTTGTATCAATAAGTGAATTGGATTATTTAAGAAATGCATCATCAATTATTAATCAGACCCCAGCACGTACCATCCAAAATTATTTTATATGGCGTTTTATGATGAATAGAGTATCAAGTATGCCAAAACGTTATCGAGCTACCAGAGAACCATTTGATCGTGAATTTCGTGGTACAAGTAGTGAAAAATCACGTTCATTAACATGTGGAAATTATGTTAATGGGAACATGGGTTTTGCTGTTTCGAAAGTTTATATAACAAGATATTTTGATGAAAATGCTAGAGCTCAGGTACTAAAATTAAATTTAAAAGAGAAATCAGTTATTCGAGTTTTCTTTCGATAATTTTAAACAGAAGAACATTTATGAGTTTAGTTTTATAATTTAGAAAGATATAACAATTGATGATAAAACATTGTCTTTTACTGTGCTTGAAATAATTAACTCTTTAAAAGAATCTCTAAAAACATAACAGCTGTTTAATTCTGTACACCTCTATTCGATATACATCAGTTCTTTATACTCTATCCCAGACAAAAAATTCATATTAGCTAAATAGAATAAACTTGTTCAAAACCTTCGAACATTCTTTCGAATAAGTCTCCATTGACTCTTTCAAAATTTAAAATAACAAGGCCTTTTACTTCTGATAACATAATTTCTTTTTCCTTTTTGTATTAATTAGTCCTTAGAAATGATCAACAATATTCGAGATGCTTTTATTGAAATGGTCAAAGACTCAACATGGATGGATGCAACTTCAAAAGGTCGTGCCATTGAAAAAGTACACGAAAAAATAATCCGATATTTTGAAATAATAAACAAATTTTTTTTATAGGCATTAGCAATCGATGAAAAAATTGGTTATCCAGAGTATCTCAGTGGTAATAATATAACGGAACTGGAAAAAATGTATGAAGAGGTAAGAATTAAATACATATATTATTATTACAGAATAATCGATTCTTATTTATTTAGTATGGTTTTACTGAATCATATGCACCTAACGTCTTAAAACTATTACAAATCAAATCTAAAGAAGGTCTTTATAGACTTCGTGAAATTGTTGATCGAAAATCATGGGGTACTAGTTCACCTACTGTTGTTAATGCTTTTTACACGCCATCAAAAAACCAAATTAGTAAAATAAAATATTATCCATATTTTTAAAATCCTTATTATTTTGCTTTTTCCCACAGGTTTTCCCGCTGGTATTCTTCAGATGCCATTTTTCAACAAAGATGCACCTAAGTTAGTTCTTTCCTCAGAATCTATTTCAATACGAACATTTTTTCTTTGTTATTTAGATATCTCAATTATGGTGGTAAGTTTGAAGTAAATAAATGAATATTATAGAGAACTAAGTGAGATTACAGGAATTGGTGCTGTCATTGGTCATGAAATTACTCATGGTTTTGATGATAATGGTCGTCAGTTTGATAAAGATGGTAATCGTGTACTATGGTGGACTCCTGAAACTATCGAAAAATTTATCGAACGTAAAACATGTATTGTCGATCAGTATAGTAACTATACTGTTGCTCAAATCAATCGCACAGTAATCAACTTTTATTTTTCTCTATAATTTTATTCAATATAAACTTTAGGTAAATGGCAATCAAACTCAAGGAGAAAACATTGCTGATAATGGTGGAATAAAAGAAGCATTTTATGTAAGTTATTATTTCAAATTCATTTAGACGATAGGGAGAAATAAAATATATGCGGAAAAGTTGATTTAATCTTGAAATATAAGTCTAATATTTCCCTATAGGCATATAAAAAGATATTATCATCAACAGATGATCTAAGTTTACCTGGTTTAAAAAATTATTCTAATGAACAACTTTTTTTTATCTGGTATGCTCGATTTCGTTGTTATTGGGAATACAATGATTATCTAGCATATGTTAAACGATTGATTAAAAAGCAATCAACTGGTCATGCTATCGATGAGTTTCGGTAGATAAAAATTTTTTAATCTATGTTTCCCTTCGTTTTGATGTTCACCCCTTTTGTTTGTAATATTATTGCATGTTTGTTGCATGTGCATGTATGCTTATTTATAGGCCTTTCAAAAATGGGCAAGAGAAAATGGAGATCTTAATAAAAAATTACCTGGCTTGAAGAAGTATTCAACTGAACAACTGTTCTTTATGAATTATGGACAAATTTGGTGTTCAAAAATGACTGATGCAAATGCGCTGAATAGAATTCAAACAGGGGTTCATTCACCTGGAAGATTCAGGTATACTAATTTATCTATATAGAAAATACATAATGAGTTGATTTTGAATTGTAATATCATAAATCTAGGATTCTGGAAGATGTACATGCATCTTTCGTATACTCTTTTGATTAAAGAATATTCTACCGTATAATATGAAAATTTCTTGAAATCATTGTTGTTTAGCATGTATGTTATTTATATGTTTATCCCATCTGGCTTTGTGCATGTTTTTGTTATTGTTCTTTTTAATATCTTAAATGAAATAAATGTATTTATTATTTCTTTTTTTAGAGTAATTGGTCCAACATCGAATTTTCCTGAATTTGATCGAGTATTTAATTGTAAACCTGGACAAGGAAATAGTCGAGTGAACAAATGTACGGTTTGGTAATTATCAACAATAAAATATATCATTATCCGAAAATGACTTTCAAATACAAAAGTACAACATATTTTTTCAATTATAAAAAAAATCTTTTTCTTTATTATTCTTTTTTTGTTGTGGTGGTATATGTGCAAAGAGAAAAAGATGAACAAAAAGACAAGAAATATATATTTTATTGAATAAAAAGAAGAAGTAATTTTAATATACAATCTTTTTTATTCTAGTTTTACGATCAACAGATACATGTTGAACAGGATCCTCTTTAAAGCTAAGGGATTGTTTGATTTTGTCTCATTATTTAGATTTAAACAGTTGTAAATATGTTTTGTATAAAACTAATTATTCTTCGAACAAATGTTTTCAGACAATTAGTTTCAAAACTTTTCGAGAGTATGGATGTGAATGAGAGTATTCTATTCATCGAAGGAACTCAATCACACCCACACCCAGGCGCTTCTTCGGTATTTCCGTCTTGTGCCTACAATTTGCACTGATAAGTTCTACTAAATTCTGTTGTATCGTTGTGTTGATTAGTATTCTCAATTTAACTATTATAGCGAATACTAATATATTCATAGCCAAATGAGTAAATCAGAAATCTTCGGTAGTATACATCATCATATATATTTCCAAACAAAACTATGAATGGTTTCGTAGAACTTATATGGAGCTTTTGAATTTTGTATGAAATTTCTAGATGGTTTCGCAGTCAAAGTTCGGTGGAGCAACCATTTTTTTTACAGTGTAGCTTATTCATGAAAATTTCACAACATATAAAACTCCTTATTTATTCGAAAAGCAAGTAATTTATGTTCAGCCAGCCGTTTCAGTTTTTAACGCTAACGCTCTATTGAATATTTTCCACTTTCACTCAATAAAAATTTACATTGTTTATAAAAAGGATGGTATGAATATGATATTACGCTTTAAATTCAACTATTAATCTCTAAAAACTCTACATCTAGAAGTATGTAAAGGAATCTTGAATGACTATATTCATATAGAATATGTGTATTCTCTTTCTCGTAGAGAAGAGTCCAGTAAACATAAATTGTTTGTCTGCTTGCTTGCTTGGTTGTGTGTCCGCAGGGTCAAAAAAACATCGAAAATCATTTTTTCGAAAAAGACATTTTCAGAGGTTTTTCGGTGCAGGGAGTTCGAATCTGAGGTCTGTTGGGTGACCATGGTGAGGGGTGAGTGGGTGGGTATGGGTGAAAGGTCAAAAAAACATTGAAAACCGATTTTTCGAAAAAGATATTTTTATAGGTTTTTCGATACGGAGAGTTCGAATCTGAGGACTATTGGGTGACCGTCTGGAGGGACGGGGGTGAAGAGGGGTCAAAGGTAAAAAAACGTCGAAAACTGATTTTCACGGTTTCCATTTGTTTTTCGGTAAATGCGCAGAAAATGCATTTTTACGAGAAAGAGCTAAGCGAGTCCTCGGAGGAGCGTTACTTGTTTGATAATGCTCTTACCAAATAAATCTAATGATCTAACATGTTTCTATATTTTACCTATATGTTTTTTCAGTATTTCAAGTGTTAGTATTGATTCAGAGCTCGTATAAAACAAAAACTTCTTTGAAATATATTCATTTAACATATTCTTAATAGAGAATGATATATTAATGTTGAAAATCACGTACAATATAAAATTAAATTTTGATCAATATGATGAAACTGTTGTCTAGCTACTCTGATAACAGCATAAAAGAGCAGATTTTTTCTATAAAATACTCATCTTTAAACGCTCTGCAGAGCCTGTATATCTGATTAGAACTCGAAGTAATTGTTTCTAAATTCTATTAATGTTTTCACTGCACAATCTTAAGAGATATAAGTGAAAACACTACTTAAACAAGTTTACTCACGATTTTTGCGTAGTTAGAAACATTGGAAATTCTGAAATGGTTTGAGTTGTAGACCAAATGATCCTCTACTAAAAATGGAAATATTACGTATTTAAGGTAGTAGTGGTCGATTAGGTAGTTTAAGAGTGTATGGTTCAAATTTTTTCAAAACTCACATCAAATTTAGTATCGCTCGATGAACCTTTTCATGAGGAATTATAATATGATATTGGATTTACCGTTTGACTTTAATTTCACAAAGAAATCTATCAAAACCCGTAGGTCAAAATTTTGCAAAAAGTGTTTTTTGACGTTTCACTGTTAAAAGTATTTTCAGTCTTTTTTTGTAAATTGTACCGGGTGATTGAATTTCCATGGAAATGCCCAGTACAATCTGTAAAAGTGAATGATAATGTACATTAGATAGATAAAGTTTAGCATGAATAAGTGATACTAAAAAAAAGTAATCTGAATAAAATAACAATATATAAATCTCTTGGGATTATATAACTAAAATAACACTTGCAGGCTCAGCTATAAACATCTTTTTTTTTGCATAAACTAGATAAATTAGTATGGTACATATTCCTTAGCAAACAAATTCTATGAAATTTATATTAAATATGTATTTATATCTTATATATATAAATTTTTTGTGAGTTAATAACTACAGTTAAAGTTTTTTCTATTAATATTTACAATTTAACAACAACAAAAGGGTAAAGATAATATATAATAATAGTTAACCTTATCTTTGATTTACATTGGAGGAGCTACTTCACATTCTACCAATATAGATGTCCTTTAATATATGTCACATTTTATCCCTATCAAATTTACCAGTAGCTTTCTGTCTGTAGCAAAGAAAACTAGTATTATAAAAATGACATAATTTTTAGATCCCTGGATATTTTAATATCTATTTACTAAACAAAAGTTAGTAAATTAAATGTATTATGAAGTGTCTGCAGAAGGATTTTTACTTTGAATGACCGTTCTCTTGTACTTTTATCTTATCATCGTTCACCTTGTTATCTTATATAAAAAGTCGAGGTCTTCTTTTCATTACTTTTTCTTGTAACGATGGTGAGCCGACAAAGGTTTGTATATATGTATATTTCTATATTTAATAGTCGATCTTATATTATAAAAATAATCAGAAATGAAAAAAGAAAACTTTCATTATTCGATTTCCACTTTACATCAAGCTGTTTCTTAATCTGCACTTAGAAAAGAAGATTTTTGTCATGCGAAACACAGATGTTTATTTGTCTCTGCCTTATAATTATAAATATTTATATAATCTAACGGAAAAAAATGTCATTACTTATTTTCTGAGAAAAACAACTAGGAAGAAGAATAAAAATCTATCAGCTGTTAATGTTTGACATGTCTAAAGTTTTTCTTTTCGATGATCGTCCTTCATAACCTTAAGTTTTTATCCTTTTCACTGACAAAAATACAGTTTTTGTTTTATTCTTATTAAGTTTGAAAATAAATTAATTATTTGATATTTTGTTTAGCAAAGTTCTGTTTGCATTTGGTACTTTACTTGGATTATTTCTTATATCAACGATTGTACTCGCTACTTTATATGGTCTTGAAAAGAGTAAAGCATCGACAGGTAAAAAATATACTGTTCTTCAATAGAATTCCATCCATAAATTTATTATATTTAAGTGAATGATGAAGCTTGTTCAACACCCTATTGCATTAAAGCAGGTTAGTTGAAGATAAAACAATAAATCATATAATATTTTCTTTTGAATTTTATAGCAAATTATATACTAGAAAGTATTGATGAGACAGTTGATCCATGTGACGATTTCTTTGAATTTACTTGTGGAACATGGTTAAAAACCCATAAAATACCTGATGATGGTAATTTAAAAAATATTTTCAATTATGTGACAATGAATTTTGTTTATTTTAGCTGGATCTCAAGATACATTTAATGCTCTACGAACACAACTAGATAGTGATGTCGTTGGTAAATATAAATAAAAGATTAATTATTTATCAATACTCGATTAGTTTCATGGTAGACTATCCTAAGACCATAGATACGACAATCTAACCCTATCGGAACCTAGTTTTTCTGACACTATCTCAATAATCTTGTGAAACACTTCATAATGTACTATTTTTGAACGACTAAAGTTTACTGACACCACCAGAGAAACTTTTTATACTAAACCACAAATTTTATTCTATATATTTAGATATCTTAACATTAAAATTACCAGATGAAATGACTAGTATTCAATCTATAAAGAATGCACGTATTTTATATGATTCATGCAATAATGAAACAAATATTGAATCAGACGGTGTCAATGCAATATTATCTCTTGTTAATAATGAATTTGGTGGTTGGCCGATTCTACAAGGTTCATCATGGAATGCTGCATCATTTAATTTTTTGAATTTATTACTTAAGCTACGAGAATATAATAATAATATAATATATCGTTGTGATACAGAAACTGACGAAAAGAATTCTTCTGTATATTACATTGGGGTAAAAATATAATAGCTACACTACATGTATCTACTTAATCTTTTTAATAGGTATCACAAAGTGATCTAGCACTTGACCAACGATCAAATTATGTTGGTGAATCAAAACTTATTACTGCGTATCAACAGTTTATTCGAGATTTTGCTTTATTATTAACTAATGATACAACAACAATTCAACAGGATGTTACAGATATTTATAACTTTGAGAAAAGTATTTCAATAGTAAATCATATTTTAGTTTATCATAAATGATTCAAAAATAAATTGATCAATATATTTGTTTAGCACCATTTGACACCTGCAGAACAAAGTGCTAAGCACAACGAAACAGTTCGTACAACAATTGGTAATCTTTCTCAAACCTTCAGTACAAGTGTAAATAATTATATCTTATTTGAGACAGTTGACTTTTATTTTTGTTTCATTTAGTTTGATTTTACAAATTATTTACGACACGTTTATTCTTCATCAGGTGTGACCTTGAATGATAATGATATTGTATCAATAAGTGAATTGGATTACTTAAGAAATGCATCATCAATTATTAATCAGGCTTCAGCACGTACCATACAAAATTATTTTATATGGCGTTTTATGATGAATAGAGTATCAAATATGCCAAAACGTTATCGAGCTACCAGAGAGCCATTTGATCGTGAATTTCGTGGTACAAGTAGTGAAAAGCCACGTTCATTGACATGTGGAAATTATGTTAATACGAATATGGGTTTTGCTGTTTCGAAAGTTTATATAACAAGATATTTTGATGAAAATGCCAAAGCTGAGGTATTGAAGTAAAACTTAAAAGAGAAATCAGATATTCGAGTTTCATTTAGCTAGTTATAAATAGAAAAATTCTTGAGAGTTTAGTTTTATAATTTAGAAAAATAAAACAACTGATGATGTTTGAAAAAGATCGTTTGATATTATCTTTTACAGTGTTTGAGATAATTAGTGAGCTGCGCACTTGTAATAAATGCAATTATCAATAAGAAAAGAGAAGTAAATCTTGGGATCGATTAATATAAATCTATTACCATCATTTAGTTTCTATTAAAATTAAATAATTCTTTTTCCTTTTGACTCTTGAGGTATAGAAAGCTGAGTATCATTTGTTTGTTTTATATATATTTATACAATTCAACATTCGATTTTCGCTGATTATATCAATAGTCTAGATAAATAAAGCACGTCAGGAAAAATATGATAAGATTTTAGTCTTGATCTGGATTATATGAATATTTTCGAAAACTCATAATAATAATTGCTAACATCAGTTAAATCTTAAGCAGAATTTCCAAAAATGTAACAGCTGTTCAGATCTGTACATTTCTATTCAATATAAATCAGTTCTTTATATTCTATCCCAGATCAACAATTCATATTATATAGTCAGAATAAACTTGTTCATAAAGTCTAAACATTCTTTTCGATAAACATTCACTGACTCTCTCACATATTTAAAACAACAAAATCTTTCTTTCATCTAGAAATTCTATGCATCCTACATGAACTTTCACATCGATATATTAACACTATTTTTACTGATATTCAAAACGTCTAATAACATAATTTCTTTTTCCTTTTTGTATTAATTAGTCCTTAGAAATGATCAACAATATTCGAGATGCTTTTATTGAGATGGTCAAAGACTCAACTTGGATGGATGAAACTTCAAAAGGTCGTGCTATTGAAAAAGTAAATGAGGAAATAATCAGATCATTTCATATGATAAACAACACTTTCTTTTTTATAGGCATTAGCAATTGATGAAAAAATTGGTTATCCAGATTACTTGAGTAGTAGTAATGTAACAGAACTGGAAAAAATGTATGAAGAGGTAAGACATAAATACATATATTACTATTACACGATAATCTATTCTTATCTGTTCAGTATAACTTTACTGGTTCATATGCAAATAATGTCTTAAAAGTATTACAATTAAGATCCAAAGAAAGTCTTCGTAGCCTTCGTGAAACTGTTGATCGAAAATCATGGGGTACTTATAGTCCACCTACTGTTGTTAATGCCTTTTATATGCCATCAAAAAATCAAATTGGTAAAATAAAATAATCTTCATATTTTGAGATTCTCAATATTTTGCTTTTTTTCACAGTCTTTCCAGCTGGTATTCTTCAAATGCCATTTTTCAACAAAGATGCACCTAAGTTAGTTCTTTCCTCAGAATCTATTTCAATACGAACATTTTTTCTTTGTTATTTAGATATCTCAATTATGGTGGTAAGTTTGAAGTAAATAATTGAATATTATAGAGAACTAAGTGAGATTTCAGGAATTGGTGCTGTCATTGGTCATGAAATTACTCATGGCTTTGATGATACTGGTCGTCAATTTGACAAAGATGGTAATCGTGTACTATGGTGGACTCCTGAAACTATCGAAAAATTTGTTGAACGTAAAACATGTATCGTAGATCAATACAGTAACTATACTGTTGCTCAAATCAATCGCACAGTAATCAACTTTTATTCTGCTCTATAATTCTATTCTATTTAAACTGTAGCTAAATGGTGATCAAACTCAAGGAGAAAATATTGCTGATAATGGCGGAGTAAAAGAAGCATTTTATGTAAGTTATTATTTCAAATTCATCTAGATTAGAAAACAATCCACTGGTCATGCTATCGATGAGTTTCGGTAGATAAAAAATTTATGCTCCATTTCTTTTTTATATATACCCCTTTTGTTTGTGGCATATATATGTATACTTATTTATAGGCCTTTCAAAAATGGGCAAGAGAAAATGGAGATCTTAATAAAAAATTACCTGGCTTGAAGAAGTATTCAACTGAACAACTGTTCTTTATGAATTATGGACAAATTTGGTGTTCGAAAATGACTGATGCAAATGCATTGAATAGAGTTCAAACAGGTGTTCATTCACCTGGAAGATTCAGGTATACTGATTTATCTATATAGAAAGTATAGAAAATACATAATGAGTTGATTTTGAAGCGAAGTATCATAAATGTGGGATCCTGCAAGATGCGCACGCTCGTGCGCATCTTTCGTACATTTCTTTCATTGAAGAATATTTTATTATAAAACATCAAAGTTTCTTGAAATCATAGCTGTTTGGCATGTATGTTATTTATATGCTTATCCCATCTGGCTTTCTGCTTGTTCTTGTTCTTCCTAATAAAATCAATGTATTTATTGTTTCTGTTTCAGAGTAATTGGTCCACCATCGAACTTTGCTGAATTTGATCGAGTATTTAATTGTAAACCTGGACAAGGAAATAGTCGAGTGAACAAATGTACGGTTTGGTAATTATCAACAATAAAATATATTATTTTAAGAAAATGACTTTCAAACGCAAAAGTACAACATATTTTTTCAATCATAAAAACTAACTTTTTCTTTATTATCTGTTTTTGCTGTTGCTGTGATATATGTGCAAAGAAGAAATAATTTAAATATAATCGTATTTAAAGCTAAGAGAATATTTAATTATGTTTCGTTATCTAGATATAAACGTTTATATGTATGTTTTGTACAAAACTGATTTTATTCAATTAATTTCAAAACATTCGCAAAGTATCAACGGATATATTTTTATTATATACAACTAGAATGAAGACTTATATTATAATTCGATTAAATATGAAAGAAAAAAAGAATTATCAGATATAAAAAAGACATCACTTGATTATAGAATTTATATGAATAGAAATAATTTCATAAACGGAAGAAAAACATATATAATATATATTTATCACAAAAAAAATTCGTTTGGAAGAAATGAAAATTCTTATTGTTTCGTTCAACTCCTAGAATAGAAAATGAAAATATGAAGTTAATAGATATGTATTATTAATCAACAAGTTTAATAAGTATAAGAAATGAGAATTATAAGTGCAATGCAAAAATGACATGCCAATGCATTCAATAGAAAAAGAAAGAAAATCATCAAGTATTTTTTATAAATATGTATCTGTTTGTATGAATATATATATATGTAGATAATAGCATTAGCAGCAATTTCTTACATGAAAATAACTAGAAAAATTTAGCCGACATTTCTGCCGACAAATTATGCCTATCGAAGTTAGTAATTGACAACAAATACAATAGAATCTAAAAAACTTACTGGCTAAAATATTGATCAGCTTTCGGATCAAAAACATTTAAAGATATAGAAGAACCTGGACCAATTTTATCTAGAGAAAAACAAAAGTTTATGTTTAAAGTTTCATTACGAATATATACCCGCAACAAATATTTTGGGCATATCAGGAATCATATCAATAGAAACTGGAGGCATGCCAGGATGAAGAGTACGTACAACAGGTCCATATGTAACATCCCATGTATCTAAATTACCGATTTTTTGGGGTATGTATAATGGAAAACGACAATGAGCAAGAGCAATTGAATTGATAGCTAAATAATGAATAATAATAAATCGAAATGATATATAAGATCTCTTACTACTCGTTCGTTGTCGAACAGTAGCAAGTGCTTGAATACGAGTAGGCATAAATGATGGACGAGTTTCTTTCATTGATAAAACTAATTTTTCATTTGGTATATCAATAGTAAGTTTTTGCCAATTATGTACCACTGCTTCTTTTTCACCTGAAATTTATTTTAAAAATTATATTATTGAAATAAATAAATTAAAATCCACATACGAAGAACAGGTGCAGATACAGTTGATACATCACATATTTTTTCTCCAGCTCCATAAATTTGAATTTCAACCATTAATGATTTAACATCAATGTCTGGTCGAGATCCTCCATTCTAAATACATATATGCATATTAATTTTTTCAATATTAAAATACATACAATAGAAGAATTAACAGGTATAGCTAATGTTAATGATATATCTTTAATACCAATTGTTTCTAAATATGCTTTTTTTCTATTCGACATTTGTGGATTATGATTATTTTGTATCATAGTTGATTTTGTTGAATATAAACGTTGATTCATAGCTGGAATATATTTTGGATCATCATTTTTTAAAGCAAGATGAACAAAAGCTGCTTGAACATCTAATGTTTGTAAAAGACATGGTTCTTCAAGAAATACTTTTCGCATTTCATCATAATCAGTCGCATACATAAAACGATCACGAAGTAAATAAAGTACAGCTTTTGTTGCATGTTCTATATATTGTGTATTCCATTTAATCATAAAAAATTGATCCCATAAATAAAGTGCACAATTTGAATTGAGAATACCAAAAAACATCTAAGAATATTTTTATATCGTCTTCATTTAAGTTTAGAAAAAATTTATTCAAATAAGATTTATCTTTCATCTGATAAATGTTTCCTTTTTGATGATAGAGTTAAAACCAAGGAGAGAAAAGCGAATTTCGTCCATTCGAAATGCGGTCACAATCCAGAGGAGTCATGGGATACAGTGATAATCCATAGGATACGATTACAATCCGAAGGGTATATATAAAAATGGGTCCTCTGTATCGCCACTGAATCCCATAGATCCTCTGGATTGTAACCGTATGCCGAATAATTGGAATCCGTTTTTTTCTCTTTGCAGAGGATCCCGGAATCCCACAATCCGCTTTTTCCCCATGGGTAAAACTGATCTTAAATATTCATAATAGAAACTATTTATAGATCTAAATCAGGAAATGTTGTATTGTCTCGGAACTATGAAAATCATCACATAAAGCAGAAGTCAGATTTGAATTCTTCGATCTCGATTACTCTGCGGTCAACCCTTATAAAAAAATTCCTTTCATATCTTTACCTAATTTTTAGATCAATCAGTGAAGTGCAGACATACAAGCATGCAGACAATTTATGTTTGCAAGACTCTTCTCGACGAGAAAGAGAATAGTAAGTTTCGTTTATTCACACTTTTTATAACAATTACATTGCGAAAGATTTTTCTGAAGATGATATATTAATTGAAATGCTTTCTAACATTTGGAAGATAACGTCGGTCAAAAAAATTTTTTTTTCGAGATAATTATTGTTTCCTAACGATCTCTCTTCTATTATACATAGTTTTTCTTACTTCTCCAATCCATTTTCGAAGAAAAATAACTGGATCAGCCATTAACTCTCTTGCATATTGTGCTGTACTACCACTATGTTTACTTTCTAAAGTAATAATTTGTGTAACAAAATCCTATTTTAATCATAAAAGAAAAATAAAATAAAATAAATTCATTCTAATTATTACTTTTTGATTTATTTTTGTACGTATTTTCGCTATGGTTTTTAAATGATCATAAAATTCTGGATCATTTGATGATAAATCTGTCATTATTTTACTAGCAATAGAAAATACATTTGTCCATTCCGGAAAACAATGACGAACAAATAAATCCAGATGCATTGCAATAACATAAATTTCTTCATCTAATCAACAAAACATACATATTGAAAATTAGAAGATAACAAAAATACCTTTATTTGCTTCATCACGATATGATAATTGAAATGGTAATAACCAATAAATAAAATACGGTTCATAATCTTTTTTATATGTATAAAGTACATTTAAAATTTTTATAGTAAATCGTAAATGATTTTCTTCAAGAAATGGTTGTAAAGCATGAACTTTGCTATATGTCTAAAATACATATTATTTAGTTTTTATGATATGAAGTTAAGCGCATTGTCTTTAAAAATTGTTTATCCTCTGCTGTATATAGATTTAAGCAAGTTGAATATTTAAATTCTTAATTAAACAAAAGATGTATTATTAATTAGCGTGCATATTTGATATTTTCAAACAGTTTACAATGCATATGTATATATTCAATCATAATTCAAATCCGAAAGATTAATAATTTTTAAATTGTTACATTTTTTATACAGAATTCATTTTACGAATAAAACGAAAATCAGTGTTGACTTTGGAATATCTATTATTACATCGTATGAAAAACAAATAAACATGTTTATTATATCCTCCCACTAAATATATCTCATTACGATTAAAAAAGAGATTATTTTTATCGATTTCGTTATGATTGATCGTATCATTAATGTCTAGTCATTCAACCATGTCTATATTGTTATGATGATTTTCTATTAATCTTTCTCAAGGTTATCTTTTTATGTAACGAGCATGAATAAAGAAATACGAATAGAATCCTACTTCTATAACTGCATTTTCAATTAAATTTGTTACTGGTGTATTAGATGGATTAGTTAATTTAAGTTCAGTTTTACCACGCGTTATACCAGCAGCAAATTCTCGTCTAATTTGAAGTTCAACAAGACTCTAAAAATAAATAAATTTTTATTTTTTCTTGTAATGAAATAATATTACAAGATCATAATCATATGGTTTTTTTTCAACACGAAGTAAACATTCCGTCCAAATAAATTGACGAAGTGAAAGTGGAAGTTGTTGACCAAATAATTTTTCAGTAATAAAAATAACACGACGAGGATCACGTTTAAGTAATGCAACGACTGAACTTGATACAATATCACTATATTCTGATGTCATTGGATAAGGTGTAGGTGGGAATTCTATTTAAAATAAATTATTCTATAAAGTACTATTCAATGAAAATTGTATACAAACCAGTAATCATTGGTAATTTTCTTGAATTCGTCTTTGAATCTCTTAGAATTGATCGAAGTTTAGAACTGCTATTAATATCATCGTGATATTTGCTTCTATTTTTGTCTTGTAATTTTTGTTCTTCTTGTTTAACATTGTCTTTTTGTTGTACTTGATATAAATAACGTTCAAGTGCTTTACGTACTATTTGATAGGTATACTCAAGAAAATTTTTCATATTATTTGATAATTTATTGATACTTGAAAAAGAAAAAAAATAATATAAAATTTTCCTCTTATTTCAATTCTTACTCGTCATCTTCCGTAACCGCTAAATAAATTAAAATGTTTATATAAGAGACAATATTTGATAAATTTATATCAGTGGCGGATTTAGGTGGGTAATGCCCCCCCTTCCGAATTTTTTTTTGATTTTGACAGCAAAAATAGGGTCACACTACTTCGATTGGACTCAACAAATAGCTTTTAGCCAAAATCGCTTCCCCCCTCTCCAGGTATCGTCCCCCCTTCCAAAATCCTAGATCCGCCACTGATTTATATATATTAGTACCTGCGCCTATTTCAAGTGCGGATTTATGTGTTTGTATTTGTAACCATGATTTTGCTTCATTTTCAAGTTTCCGTCGATGTTCTTCAGTTATAAGAGGTGGACGCTAGGTAAAATACGAGTAGAGTATTTGATTCTTATCAATTAAAATATACTAACTAATGAATTTGGATCATAAGGTTCAGATCGAAGTAATTTTATATGAAATAATCTACCAAGTAATTCAATTAACATCTGACGACGTTCAGGATTATTAAATTGCTGACGAACTTTATTCGCTAATGCTGGTTCAAGATCATCAAGAATCTATAATAAAATAAAAAGTTGAATTTAATAATTTATCATAGAATTTTTATTTATTACTTTTTGCCATGGACTATCAGGTAGAATTGTTTGTTGATAACTCGAATCAAGCCATTGAATATTAAATGGAAGATATTTTATATTGTCTTCTTCTTCAATTATTGTTTTATTTTGGCTATTAATTTTATTAGCCATTGATTTTAATAATATATAATAACAAGAAACAAAATGTCTTTTTGACAACAATTAAAGATAACGAGTAGAAAAAAACTTCACATTGAAGAGCTTTCGTTACCATGGTAACAAACAAGGAAATAAAAAGTATATCAAATGAAATATTGTTAATGACCGTAATAGAAATATGTCGATTATTTTTTCTTTTATAATTAACATTTGAAATATGTAATATATTTTAATTAAGCATTTGAATTCTTATTGGCAGTTTTATCAACCAACACGATCATTATTTAAATATTTACGATTTTATTTTCTGTTCAAAATAACTTTGCGTAGTATAAAAAAATCCATAAGAAAGAAAAGATAAAGAGGGGGACAAAGAAAGAAATAGAATTATTCTTCTACAGACACACACACAAAATTCAACTTATTGCATCATTTTAATTTTTTTTCCTGTTAAGATTATAAAACAATAAAGATTTCTGTGCTATAAGTATATGCAAGAAAAGAAACAATGTATTTATGGAATGATACAATTCTCACAAATAAAGAAGAAGAAAAAAAAATAGATAATTCACCGGAAAAGAAAAGAACTATTAGAAATAATCATCGACAATAGCATCGTTAAATGATAAATTTGAATAACCACGTTGTTGATTGTTTGCATCTGTAATCGTATTTTTCGTTTGTTCAGTTGGACTTTTATTCGATGATAAAAGAGGTGACGTTGAATTAATATTTGTAGCTAATGAACGTTGTTTACTCTTTGATTTTGTTTTAAATGGAGCATTAGTAAAGACATTTGTTGTAGGTGATGATGTTTCCGAAGAGAAAGATTCAGAATGAGAAAGTTTGCCCTTTGAAGTACCAATATTATTTGTTGCATCAATAACTAAAACAAATCGAAGATTTATCAATTTAAATGGAAAGAGATTTATATGAATAACTGAACACGGAGAGATATATTGTTTTTTTCATACTGTACAGTGGCGGATCTAGCTATTCGGCAGACCGGCGATCGCTACCCCTTCGAAAATAGATACTTTGACAAATATCGAAAACAGGTAGAACACTGTAGGTTTCTCTCCTAAAAGATAATACTACTTTCCATTTTTTTATAAACCGCCACCCCCTAATGAGAATCCTAAATCCGCCTCTGATGCTGTATGAAGTGAATATCTGATTATGAGGATGAATAATAGAAAATTTACCAAAATTATTCGATTTAATTTCTTGTTTTTGATAAGGAGCAAAAGCACTTGATTTTTTTCCAATAACAATACTATTTGCATCAAATAATGATGGATTAATTGTATTCGCTATTCTATCGATATTTGTCGATGAAGTTGACATTTGTTTGTTTGCTGGTGAATGATGAAATGGTGCACGTAGAAATGGATTATTAATATTTGTTGAATGTTGAAATGATTTTGTTGTTCGATTTAATTCACTATTAGAATCTTCATTGGCAAATTGATTATAATTATTATTGGTAGGACTATCATCAAGATTATTTTCTTGATTTAAATATGGTTTAAAACTATTAGATTTGTCTTGTTGAATGGATGTAAATTCAATTAAAGGCTTAACAGAATTTTTATTATTTAAATTCGAGAATAGGATAGGTTTTTCCGCCTCCTCCGTTGACGGATGATGATAGATAGATTTTGATGTTGAAGATATTTGAGAATTTATTTTCAAGTTCTATGAAGACAAAAAAAATGCATTAATTTGAAAATTAACTAAGAAAAATCCTTACTCGATTTTCTGATGAAAATGATTTGTCATCATCAGACATTGGTGATAATATTTGATCATCATCCGAACTAAATTGAGAATTCATTGTTAAATAATTATGATTTTTGAATTGATTTAAATTTGTTTTTGAATAATCAGCATCATCACCACTTGATGCTTCATTTGGAATAGTGATATCAACGGAGGAGGCGTTGTGAAAAGACGACTGGACATTCGATGGACTTACTGTTTGAGAAGAACTACGTCGATGAGTATAAATATTAGAAGAAGATGGTGGTGGTGGAAATAATTGTTGTTGTAACGTAAAACCAGATCCAGCTGAAATTGTTGTTGGTGGTGATGGTCGTGCACGAGATACAATCTGTTCATTTGTTGTTGCTGATGTTGTTGATGTAACAGCAGGAATATTTGTTAAACTGATTGCATGAGAGGGTATTTTTGAAAAATCATCATCGAACATTAATTGAGCTGCTGAACCTGATCGTGATGGATTTGGTATTTGAGGTGGAGGAACAACAAGAGCTGATGATTGTTGATTGGGTTGATTAAAATTAATTAATGATGTTGATGGTGCTATCATACCACGTGGACGTTCACGTGGATTAACTGCTGTACCGAAAGATAATGATTCATCAAGCACATTAGTCGATGTAGATTTCGTTTTTGATAAAGTATTTTTATCTCGTTGATAACGAGATTCACTTTCGGTTAGTGGCATGGGAATTGTTTTGAATTCAGGAATTTTTGATTGACATCGATTAGGAATTGGACATTCAATACCAAGTAATTTGTATGTAGCATAAGAAACCTATTAAAAATAGATTAGATATAAACAATTCAAAGGAATAGAAATATTATTTTTATTCAACAAGTTTAGAATCTTATTAATCTATCTCACTGAAAATAAAATAAGGATTTTCATACATAAATACACTACTATGATAAAGAAGATTTTGTAAGGGTCACGAATTATTTTTTTTTATCATTATATCTAATCTATTGTTGATAATCAAAATATTTTTCTAACCTGCCATATATCTGGTCTTTTGTTAATATCAATTTCTAACATATATCGAACCAGTAAATTTAATTCTCGACTATAAACTTGTGGTGTATCATCTGGTATAACAAATGTTCCATTTTGTATAGCTAATATACTTTCACCAAATGGCATTGTATTGTACATAAGTTTATATAAAAGACAACCCATTGCCCAAATATCAGCTTTAAGTGTAATTGGTAATCGACTATATAAATCAATCATTTCCGGTGCACGATAAGATAATGTTGTATAACGTTGAATTTCTTCTTCAAGTTGTTGAATTATACTTGTTGTTAATTGATTAATTGGATATTGTTGAAAATCATTCGTTGTCGAAGATGGTAACAGAATTGCTGAACCAAAATCACAGAGAACATGCGTTTGATGAGAATCAATAAGAATATTTTCCAATTTAATATCACGATGTAAAATTGGTTGTGGTCGACGAAAATGACATGCACTCACAGCATTACATACATCGGCAAATATACGTATAATTTGACGTTCATTTAATGTTATACCAACATTACGTTGTTCATTCAGACGAGTCTATTTTTAATAAATGAAAAATTAATTTTCGAATTACTGTGTAAACTTAAACGCGCACTTTAAAAGTACGTAGTCTACAAAAACATGTGACGACATTGACAATCTAGTGCAGACAGAAAAGAAAATGTCTCATGCTCGAGGTGATGTATTTGTTGAAAAAACACGAAATTTTTAAAAAATATTATGTTGTGATTGTGAAGCTTTGAAGAGATAAACAAAAACTACGTTCTTTCAATTTGTGATTTCTATATCATATGAAAATATAGACTATAACATAATAAGAAAGACCTACGGACACATGCTGTGAGCTATTATTATTCTCAAGAAAATCTAAATAAAGATTGTAGACTTATAAATATCAACGTTCTCGATTTTAGCGAAGTTTTTACTTTATTTATCCAGTCGAGAAAAAAATGTTAAATACAATTATACAATATATTATTATGTTAACTTACAATTAGTGCTCCATGTAAACAATATTCTGTTAATAAAAGTATTTCATAGACAGCATCATCATCATCATTAGTATCATCATTTCCATTTCCTTCATTATAATAATAACGTTTTTGTGTATTTATTGGTGATACACGATGTATAAATGAATCAACATATTTAACAATATTTGGATGTGATGAAAATTCTTTTACGAATGATATTTCACGTTGACAAATTTGTAAATCACGTTGATTATTAACATACATACGTTTAAGTGCATATTTTTGTTGATTATATGAACGTACAAGAAAAACAAATGCAAAACCACCTTGTCCAAGAATATCTTCAACAATAACTTGATGATGATTTATAGTTAGAATTTTTCCTATATATGATGTTATATCTGTAACATTTGTCGATGATTGATTTATGTCATTTACTGATTGATTAAAACCAGACCGTACGGGAATTTTTTGTGGACGTATCATTGACTAAGCCGGTGCTTAGTTCATAATACTTGCATATATATTTTACATCTAGAAGAAGATCGAGTTATGTAAATTTTTGTTTTTTTTTTTGTTAAAATTTTTCTATACATATATTTGAATTTTTATGTATGATAAAGATTGTTTTACTTAAAGAGGATGTAAAGGGAAGAAAGTTACAATATATGAGAATGATCGGACAAGAAGAAGAAAAACTGATTATTTATGTTTTATTGATTTGAAGATGCTGTTGCTTGGCCTTGTTGATTATTATTATTATTATTATTATTTTCATTATTATTTGTATTATTATTTGCAGTTGATGGTGATTTATCAATAGATTTTTTTTTCTCATCATCATCATTATCATCATTTAATTTTAAATCATTTGCTATTTGATCAACCATTAATGATTCTTCAACTAATTTACGTACTTTTGATTCATATAAACGACGATTTTCTAAAAATAATTTAGCTGCTTCATTATTTGCTGGAGAATTTGGATTTGGATCATTTAATAACGAACGAATCGATGTTAATATAGCACATACATCATATGTTGGACTCCAATTTCGTTGTAAAATATCCAAACAGATACTACCATCAGCATAGACTAAAAATAATAGAAATTTTACATTAATTAAAAAAAAAGAGAGAGAGAGAGATTTAAAAACTGTCATAGACACTTTTTGATATATCTATATGGATGCCTTAGAAAAGTAATTTTATTAAAAGCATTATTCGATTCTAAAGATAAAAATATAATGGAAAAGAAAAGAAACTAATTATATACAAGATTAATCTGACTTAGATTTACCGAAAATATGAGAAATTACAGAAAAAACAATGATGTATGATGTAAAAAGATAAGAATATAATTTTCTTTATTGTCTTACGTAATACACTAGACATAATTTGATTAATAGAAATATTCTATTCTTTTCGAATCTATATATGTTCATACCTTAATTAAATTTTTTTGTAATGAAAAAATAAATACTTCGAACATCTGAATTGATCAAAACATCAGTCAAACTTAAATAATGAATAAGGTCAAAGACATTGTAGAGTTCAGGTATATAAGGTCTTGAATATTTACACATTCATTATTTTTCTAAACGGTTACATAAGGTAATACTAGAACCTTTCTTTTTGTGTATTGCTATACACTTCAAGACATTGGGTGAATACCAATTCATTTGTATGTACTCGCTTAAAGATATAATTTTCAAAAAAAAGACCTTGATCAATTTTTCGATTACTGTCATTATGCTTACTATAAATTAATATGAATCAACACGAGTTTATATTGTAAGATTGAAATCATTTTTTTTACGTTCTATAATATAGCTGTAAATTCAGCGTGTATCTTTTGTTTATTATTCTGTCTGAAATTTTTTTTTTCTTTATATACTTACCATTTGGATGAAACATTTTACAAGTAAATCGTACATTGGGTGGTGTTAATGGATAAGTATCTAAATGATAATTGTTAATATTTTATGTAATAATGTATTTAATATATACCTGTGAATTCCATTCGAAGTGTATATAAACCATCTTCATAACAAGTATCAGTCGGTCCATCAATTAAAGCATTCCATACACGCATATCATTATCAACAGGTGTTGCATTAATACCTATTCAAATAGTAATTGCGGTAAAAAAAAGAACGAAAATTTTCTTATTGCAATATACCTGGTAATTCTTCACTTTGAATTTTTTGTAAATCTTTAAATAGACGTCTTTGACTGGTATTTGAATTCGACATTTTGCATTCGTTCGAATTTTTATTTTATATATCTAGACAAATGGGTTAGATATATGTATATACAGATATATATTAAAAAGAAACAAAAAAAGCTATACATATGACTTGTTGTGTAGGCGAAAGAAAAAACAAAAAATAATCAAGCTGTACAATTAACTAGCTAATAAATGTTATTACATAAACTTCTAGTAATAAGTTTATTCGTTGTAATCTGATGCAAAAAGAACGATGAGAAATATAAGAAAATAAATAAGAAAATTCCGTTTTAATGATAAATCTATATAGTTTATTAAACGATAGAGATCACTAGATGTTGAAGTAAAAAATGAATGGATAAGATGAATGAAGCAATAGAAGTGATTGGTATAGAAATAAATAAAAGAATATAAGAAGATTAGAGCGCTATCTATCTTACTAGCAATATTTTTGCATATAACAATCGGATTTTTTAAATATTATATTGTTCAAAAGGAACTATGAATAAAAAGACAACATTACAAAACTCAATTGATTACCATCAATTTAATGGAACATAAGATTGTTTTTAGATTTTATTAATTAACCATGCTAACACGAATAGTAAAATCGAATATAATAAGTATGACTGAAAAAAATATGCATATCATTTGTATAACTGATTCATTACGATACAAAAGTCATCGTAGTAGTAGTAATAGTGAAGTTCAACATATTGATCCATATAAAGCACGTTATGAACGTTTATGGCAACAAAAAGCAACTCTTGATTGGTTACCAAAACCAGAAGGAAATTGGCAAGAAATTAACGGAAAGAAACAAGCTTATTATAATAAAATTCTCACTAGTGGTGTGATTACTTTCATTCTTTCATTTATTTATTTACGAGTAGTAATTGTATCTAGATCTGGTGCATTAACAAAACCTCCATATCATTTGATTGGAAATGAAGATTTTCCCGGTTCGAAATATAATGATAAAAACTAAAAGTAATACTTGTATTCATCAACATATGTACATTTTTACGTTATCTATTTTGTTTAATTAAAATATTGTTGTTCGTTTTTTTTTCTTGTTTATTAAAATCAATGTAGATACTTTTCATTAGATAATATTTTATATAGATCATTGATAACTACTACTGAATATCTGATAGATGAAAAATTGTTATAGATGCATATCATGTTATATGATTTATAAATCGATAAAGTAATCTAGAGTAAGATTTTTTGCTTATCAATTGATAGATAGATAAAGCAGCAACATATTGACTTCTCGTATATATTCAGCCTCATTCATTGTACTATCGGTTAGTTTAGAAATAGTATTTCAATTTTTTTCGCACAATTGATGATGGTTGCGAATTCAAATGGAAGAACAAAGCTAAATTTTATAAATCAGAATAAAATATCGTTGTCGTATGTATACAGTACATTATCTTAGAAGATAATATCTATTTGGTTAATTACTCACATCATTCACAAGAAATCTGATGAATTTTCATTTATAACAATCAGTAAACTTTTATTTTTGATAATCATATAACAATGATTATGAAAATTTGTTTCATAATCTTTAAATAGACAATATCGTATGACTGGTAATAATATAAATATTTACTTATTGTTCGTATCTTTTTGTCATGCTTTTTTCTTCACTTATTTAAACAAAAGCCCATTCATAATTACCTATCCAGTCATCAAAATGAGAGAGAATATTCGTGAGGAGAAAATGCAATCAACATAAATAAAAAAATAAGCGTCATTAAATATGAATAATAACAATGAAAATTTATAGTCATGATTTATTGCGTAAATATATCTATTGTTGACATGTTTACACTCTTGGAATTTCGTCATTATAGTAATATATAATAGATTTAGGTAGATGAAAAATATTGATAACCAATTACTAAATGATTAAAAAAAAGAGAAAATTAACAAGTTTCTCGCCTAGACTCTAATTAAGATTGTGCTTATTGTTAAGGCCTATCTATGTAACAAAAGAAAAAAATATATTATTATTATTCTCTGAATATAAAGGATCATATAGTAGAAAGTTACATATTTAATTGTAAGAATACACCAACAAGTCGATCAGTTAAATATTTTAGCTATGAAGATTCGTATTCTATCATCAACACAATTTTTCTTATTGAAAGATGAACAGAGCAATTTCGATTATTTCTTATTGTTTTATTAAGAAACAAAAACTATGATCATTAATTTAAAAGACATGCTCAACATCAATCGTAAATATTTCATGCGACCACTTTATGCTGATCATATAAAGATTCCGGTAAGCAAACAGTACTTTTGTTACTTCCGATGTATCTAGTCTTCTATATTTTCTAATCAAGAAACTACCTTATAAGAATATTTCAACTGAACTTTAACATATAATACAACAATATGTTCTAGTTGGTTACTGTTTATCGACAGTATAATTTCTAATATCTGTTTAATAATGATACTGTTTAATGGATGATTGTAAAGAAATGGTTTATAAATAGTTTCTATAATAAAATATGTTATAATGAATGTTTAATGTACAAATCGAGGAGACAAATCTGTATTTTGTCGATAAAAACATTCATACACAATGAATATCTATCTTGTTACTACTCTTTAACTTGTATTATTCATAAGTCATTTAGTAAAAATATAACTTCTATTTGAATAGTTCTTATTCTTGAAATAAATATTATCTACTACATATTTTAACGAAAAGTAATAGTTTTGAAATAATCATCCGATTAGTTTAATTAAGACAGTTTCTAATGTTCAATTGTGATAAAGATAGATATTCAAAAAATAAAATAACTATGCTTATTTTAAGTTATTATGAGTGCAAATTTTTTTCTTCCGCTGAAAAATAATAAATAATACAAACATTTCCAACATTATATTTTGTCTTAGATGATCAAGAACTTAGTGTTAGACATGTAATTATTTATAACATTACATCATCGATGTTTGTCACATTAACACGTGATTTTGTAGTGAAATAGAAGGTTATCAATGCTTTTTTTGATATATAGTGAGTATTATTTACGCACAAGAGAAGTATCTTTCAATATTATCCTTGAATAGATGAAGGTTCTATCATATCTACTGATTCTTTGACATTTATACAAACAGAACTGTAATAAATCTGAAATTAAAAATGGATATCTGTTTTTTAAGGACGATATTTATCTTACACTACACATAGAATGTAATTGAGTATATCATGCAATCGTTGTTTTTCAACCAAACACATATCATACAGGTGCGTCATTGTCATTGACAGTATAGGAACTTATTATATATTCGTCCTGTTTTTCATGACTATTATGTTTATTTCCGAATGTGATATGTACAGTTTAAAAATATGAAATATCATATTTGAATGACAAATAAAATTAAGACGAAGAAAAGATAGTATCTCAAATTTCATTTTTATAGACTTTCGTAACATAAAAGGAAGTGAATAGATAATAACCTTGGAAGCTAATGACATCATTCATTAATTTGATATATAAAACAGTATTTATAAGTAGCTTCCTTCTTTTCAGTTACCATTATGAATCAGTACATATATTCATCTAAGATTAAATCTATATAATAAATATGCACTTTGACGAAGAATATGAAGATAGTATTATGTATTGGATAGGTACTAATCAACTTCATCTATACTGTTTAATTACAGAAAATATTTTCCGTTTAGTTAGAAAAATTTATTTATTATTCAAGTTGAGTACATCACAATGGATAAAGTATTGTTTATAATTTCTTATTGTCTATAATATATCGAAAAATAAGGAGAGAAATCGATTTCATTGACCTTCATCATATATGTTTGTCACAATAAAATATTACTCATACTATTGTTGATTACTATAAAAATATTAAAAAGACTAGGCGGACAATCAACAGTAGAACATTTAAAAAGATTTAAATATATTTGAGAAATAATTCATATCATAAAAATAATGAGTAAAGCTTGTATAAATAAATTTGAAAGGTATCTTATTAAGTAAAACAGTATTTTTGATTATTATGCACTTTTTGCATAAACATGATCATCCTTCGCTCATTACTCTATAACACATTAATATTACTGTCTTTTTTTTCTTATTTATGGCTAGTATCAATCTGTCATATTCTCTTAATATTTCGGCATATTGTATGAACAGACGTGTCGAATAAGATAAAATATATGCGCAATCATGCGAATCGATGATGAAAATATTACTTGGTAAAGACGCTAGGAAAAAAAAACGAATTCGACCAATAACATTAGTTTATTCAAGGTTTCTAACGAAAAAACAAAAGAAGAAAAAGAGTCATGACTATCCTCCTATGAAAAAAAATAAGGTAAAAAAAGGTATATAAGGCTATCATTTTTCTCTATGATTATGCACCCTCTTTCATTTGATTTTAACATCAATACCCAATAGTTGTTAAGATGTACGCTCCACCACCAGCTGCTGCTAATCGTCGGTAAATACATAATATTTGAATCTTTCATATTGTCTATCTCAAATTCTTGTTTTATTAAATAGAGGTGGCTTAGCTGCCAGCGGCCCACTTTTGGCTATATGTTGCCTCGGCTTCATTCTTTTTCTAATTGCTGCAACAATTGTTCTTGCATTGATACCTGTGTATCTATCAACAAGAGGCAGCAGCAGCTCAAGTAAAGATATCATTTATTCTAAAAATGTTTTATTTTTTTCTAATATATTTTGTGTACTTAGGCGCAAACACCGCGAGTTACCAATTACAAATGACACCTTCAGCTGATGCAAGAAAACGTTCTCTTGCAACGCTAGTCGAAGGCACATTTGCTGATAGTACACTCGCTCTTCTCATACTTCTCGTAAATATATACTTGAATATATGAAAATCGAAAATTTTACTATAAATTCATACATTATTCTAGATAGAATCAAAGTTGAATTTAAATCATGGTTCATGTCTCATTCCGAGTTGTACATCGGTATTCACCAGCCGTAGACGACGTGGATTGTATGTATTCAGTCGAATAATGTAATATATCGAATATATAATCTAATTTAATTGTTTAAAGTGGTCTTCTACGTGAACGTCGTGGTCTTTATCCAAATGTCTTTTGTCCAATCAGCTTCAGTCGCAAGCATTGTGACAAATGTGGCAATAAAGGATTTCAAAATAGCATCAAACCTTTCACAGGAGAAATTACTGAAGTTATAATCATTGATACTTTTGGTAGTACGAAAAATTGCGGCGCGATTATATACTCAATTGTTATCAACTTTATCACTAGTGAGTAAAACATGTAATATATATATGATACTTAATCTTTATTATTTTAGGTTTCACTAATCCATCAGTTTCAACATCAACCGCTGCAAATACTGCAAAAGTTATTGGTTAATTTTATTCAAAAGACATTCCATACACACTTATTTTTTCCTTCCTCTACCTTTTTTCATACTAATCTTATCTATTTTAATCCATAACCAAAAACATTTATTACCTTCCAAACTATTTATCATGTTTATATACTGATTGAACATATCGTTAATAAATATGGTAGATATTACTCATCACAACAAAATACACTTTTTCTCCTTTTTTTTCTTTTATTATTATATTTCTGTTTATAACAACGAACAGAAAAAGATTTTCACCTTTTTTTTCTACTTTTTTTTTCATTAATAAACTATTTCTTTCACCATTGGTAGTTAGTTAATCATTGTATTAATTGATATGCAAGAATGATTTCGTTTTTTTTTGTGATACATATGAAGTGAGGTATTTTGTCTTTAACATGTATTCAAGGACGATTGATGATGCAAGCCTTGATTTATACAGATGAATATTGACAAAAAAAATTGCGTTGTATAGATATATACATATATATGACGATTCGTATCATTTTCAATAACATGTCGAAAGAAAAAATAATTTTATTATATTTCCTTTTCTTTTGCTCTTCGTATCTCAAGCGACTATTTATTTTACAATGAAAAATCCAATGGATGATTTATATTCATGTTTAATGTAAAAAAGAAAAGGAAAATTATGTATATATTTCTATGCGTCATCCAATTGAATGCGTCTATCAAGATTAATTTTTATTTCATATGTTAATATTGATTATTAAGTTAACGCTGAATAATAACATTGATGACCATATAAAATTCAAGTTGATTTACATTTGTTTCAGTTTTTGTAGTTGAATAATTATTTAATAAAATATTTTTATGTATGATTTTTGTGAAAAAATTTAATTATGATATAAAAGTGTGAAAAACAAAAATCATTTAATACGCCAATTAACTATAAAAAAAAATAAAAATATAGGTGCACTCGACATCAAAATATTTTTTTTCTTAATATTGACGAATATTTTTAAGAAGAAATAAAGCTATACTTAATTATTTTGTCAAATGAATGAATGAATGTTTACTATAGATTTTCGAAAAAATAAAATGCTCGATGAAGTTAATTTAAATAGCGATTTATTGTATGATACACGTCTTATTACTTCTGTTCGAGACTTATAAATATTACATTGAAATTAAGCTCGATATTAATCAATCGACTACTTCTAAATCAAATTTATTAAAATCAACATATGAAACTTAATTAAATCAGATGGGTATATTTTCTTTGTGATGTCTAAAATGTTGCATTAACGAAACTGTTAATTACAGATTATTTCTTTGTACTGATTACGAAATTTCAACGTTTGATGAAATAACCTATAAGTGAATGTATATAGTACGTTATTAGTCATACCAAACAATCTTTTTTAACTAGAGTAATTATTTGAGATGCAATTAAAGTAGAATGTGAAACGATGAGTGAACAAATGTAAATATAATTATTATGATGAAATTAGAACAGTATGTCAAGACTAAACGTGTTTTTTTTTGTGAGTGAAAATATTTTGTGAATGTCTTCGGGTTGATAAATTTCAGTTATATTGCTGGAGAAGATTTTTATAGAATAAAATAAAAAAAAACTATGCTCATCTAGACTTGTACATATTCGAAATATAACTCAACTGATATATATGTGGACTCCAAAATTAAGAAAGCTATCATAGAAAATGTTATATAAAAACTGATATCAACATTTGATTTATGTTATCTGATTATATCAAACTTACAAGGGAACATATGTGAGTGTACTCACGGAGATGGAGTTTAAAAGTATTTTATCGTGAAGTGACCATGTTGAATACACCGAATATCGATAATTTAGCTGCACGTTTTGAGGTCGAAAAAAATAGCACTACTTCACATTTTTGCCATATGTTATATTCTATTGTCTGATATCACGTTTTAACGAGTTCTTTTTCTCAAACTTGTGCAAAACATGACAATAGGATATAACATATGGCAAAAATGTGAAATAGTGCTATTTTTTCGACCTCAGTACTGGCAGCTAAATTATCGATATTCGAGATATTCAACATAGTCACTACACGATAAAACCCTTTTAAACTCTATCTTCGTGGGTACACTCAAATATGTTCCCTTGTTAGTATAATTTAAAATAATTGACGACCATTTAGTCAATTGGAAAACCTCTGATAAACCATGTATAACTTTACAATGAATGAAATTGTATTCGATACAAACATTTTCTCAATATTGCTTTGATATTTACTTCACTTTTTATCTGAAACTAAGTCATATTTATTATTTCGAAAAATAACGATTATAGTCGATGTATACAATACGATAAAACGATCAATAAAATATTGATATGATACTATTAATCGAACTCAGAAAGATGAATGCACAAAGATAATCAGATATCAAATATACTTGTCTAATTCATTGATGAATAAAAGTCTAACGAATAAAAAACTTCTTTTTGTCAATTATCTAAATTTTTTTATAGTAATAGTCAATGTAAGTATATGTAAATCAAACACATGAAATGATATATCATTACTTGTAGGTATCATTATATGTTAGTTCATAACCACTTTAATTATCAGATCAGATATTTCGAATTTAATTAAAATATACAGGTTTATGGTAATTAATTTGCAATGTTCACTATAAACAAATCTTTCGCATTAAATTTTTGCGAAGAAAATAGTTTTTTAAGAATGATAATTAGTTCTGTTACATAATCAATTACTTAATAGACAATATTTACAGATTATGATTGAACTACGAATCGAAGAATTTCCCATATATTCTACATAAGGATTGTAATTTATAGAGAATATCAGAAAAACGTCTATGAAAATTCAAAATTATATCGTAATCATTTTGATTTCTAAAGACCAAGTGTTGACGGAGAGTGTGCTTCATGTGAAGTATACGAGAGAATGTTGTTAGATACAGAAAAAGAATAATAAATAGTGTTCAACAAAACAGAACATGATGACATTTTTATAACATTTAGTTTTACTATTATTACAATTTTATGAAAACCAAGTCTAACGATCTGACATTTCTTGTTTTTTGCTGAAGTTCTTTGTCAAATTGGAATTACAAAACTATTCTCACTTCATCAATAACTTATTTCGAAGAAAACTATTTACACTATGATTCAGTACTTCTGAAAGATTTCATTAAACTTTCATCTGACGTTGCTAGTTGTTCTTACTATAAAACAAGAGAAAAACTGGTAGTTTATATTCAATATATACTTATTCTTATTTTAAATTCAATGAAGACTCTATTGCATCCATGAAACGTTTCAACAAGAATAGATTTTGCTAAAAAATAATAAGTTCTCTTTCTCACAAAGATTCCTAGCTTCATTACTGTTTACTTCTTTAATTTTTCGAAAATCTTCTACAGTATTGTCAATGCATTGTAGTACTAGTTTTTATAAAAAAAAAAGCTAAAATCTATTCGAAATTCAATCACCAATATAACTAGTTGTTTTTTTACTTCCTATGAGGATCGAAATTTATCCGAAACTAGATGAAATGAAAATTTCCTAGTCGTTGTCATATTATCTACCATACGAATGCATTCACCTTGAGAAACTGATTTATACTATTCGTTCACTTAACGTTAAACTCACTTTACACGAAACTAAACCATAAAAATATTACTGAAAACTTGTTATTAAAGATTAAAGTAATTTTTCTTATGTAAATATCATAAAAATGAGTTATTAACATGCATCACTTACTTAACTAAGCCCAAAGACCAATATTTTGTTGTTTTTGAATATCTCCACCTAGTCAATATCGATAATACAGTATTCTTTTCCAATTTTTAAGTAACGAAATGAAGTGAATGTACATACTTTATATACATACACAACTATCTACTTATTTTCTCTCTCTTAATGTGCAATAGACATTAAGATCGGAAGTATATGATAAATACAAATTTACGATTTATTTTTTATCTTCCTATCCCTTATGCTTACTAAATTTGTAGAGAACCAACAGAAAAAATACACTATCAAGGTAAGACTATGTTAATACATGTAATGTCAATAGCAAATGTACATTATTAATGTATCCTATAAATACAAGAAAAATATACTAATCATATTGGTTAAAACTATCAATCAAATGTAATATTTAAGATCATTGTATTCAGCGTGTCTAGATAATTATATATCATTAATACAATCTTATCGATAGAACTAATCGTTATATTTATGATAAAAGTTATACTATCAAAACTAATTTTTTAAGGACGTTTGAAAAGTAGTACCTCTTGACTATAACAAATAATTAACGAAAGAACAGTTTTAAAATATCCAAATTTTATTTTTAGTTACTTTCTACGTCTTCGTCAAACATAGTACATTGTATAATCAATGACAAATATTTCTCTTGGATGTGAATAGATCTGATTAGATAATATTATGAAATTTACTTGTAATATACTTTAAACTGCTATATAGTTAATCATTAATCTCTTTCATTTATTGCTTTCTATCATGTTACTATCAACTTACTTATAAAATATATATAAAAAAAAAGAAAGTAAAAATAAATTTTTTACAGAAAAAATACAGTTTGAATGAAAGCAGACATTCTCGAATAATAGATTTACAAATAAAATAATAAAAAGAAGAAAGAGAGTAAATTCATAAAAGTTAAAAAAAAAATTTCAGTTAATCAAAATTTAGTTTACTGTTTCATAATCATTCGTTTCTTTATCATGTTCATCAGATATTTTGAAAAGATTTCGCTCAGCAACGCAGGCAACCATTGCGGCACCTTTACCACTACCTAAATATTATCAATCACTGATTATATTTATCATTTACATATATATATTTGTAACTCACCATCATCAGACAAAGCCAATTTGAACTAAACAAAAATAAAAAATATCATCATCTATTGATATTAGAATGAAAAGATCAAACTGAACTATATCAAATTGATTACGAAATTTTTACTGTTAATATTTCACAAATCTGATATAAAATTATGTGTATAGAGAGATTTTAATTAAACGTAGTGCTACAATAAAAATTATTAACTTTTGAACCAGCTTTTATATATATATATATACGAAGTTCAGAAAGTATTCAATTTATATACGATTTATTCCTGTTTTGTTTTGATCGATAGAAAACTATGTATATATTCAATTCGAAATATTTAACTTTCGTTACCTTTATGTCTTTGTTAACTAATGTTTCCATACATCTTTCCATATTGCGTTTAAAACGTGGATGATATCGATAGAGTGATCCATCAACACCAACTGTAATATTCGATTTTCCAATACGATTAATTAATACAGCTAAACCTATTTATGAAAATAAAAATCTATATATTTTGTATAATTTAATATCATAAATGTAACATACCAGCACCAGCTAATCGTGCAGCTCGTTTTGATACTTGTCGACAAATATGTTGAACAATAGTACAATCATCAAATGTTGGATTATGAATACCAATATCTTCAAGTACTCGACGTGTATTTGAAAATTGAATACCTAAATAATAAATAGAACGTTTTCCCTTTATCAAGTTGAAATAAATTTTAAATTACCTTCATCAGTTTCAACAGTTGAAACAAATTTTGTATAAAAACCACCTCGATTATAAAGTGGAGTTTTATAATCTCCATATGTATCACGATGACCAAGAAAAAGTAGTTCTTGTTGAAGTAAATCTAATATTATTAAACGTACAATTTCACCCATATACATTCCTGATATCATTTTTTCAAAGCTAAACAATAATCAAAATACAATTAATTCAAATGATGTATATATATATATATTATTTATTTACATTTGTTTGCCAGGATTTATTGATGAAATATCAACTTCTTGATCATATTTTGTTCGTATATGTTTTAAACGACTATTATCACCAAATGCACCCCATTCCATATTTATAATAACTTGTTTTGGTTCATTATAATCACCATTCCATGTACCAACTTTATCTAAATTTTCAATATAACATGCATTTGTTCCTGTACCTAATATAAGACCAATAGCTGTTGATGGATCTTTATATGCACATGCCATTAATGTGCCAACTGTATCATTGACTAGCGCTACACATTTAGCATTAATACCCTAGAGAAAAAAATTTTAATTTGTAATTCTATGAGAACTAGGAATATGGATTAAAATAGGACATTTTCATCGCGTCGAAATTGAATTAGTTATTCAGTACAGATTACTGAGTATTATATCAGTCGGAAACCATTGTAGAACAATGCTTTTCTGGAGATAATCATGTATGATGTTTAATTTACTTTTGTATAATAGATAAATGAATAAATTATTTTACCTTTTCAACAATAGCTTCTTGTAAAAGTTTAACAACATCTTCATTAACAACACCTGAACAACTAAAACCTTTTGTCCATGCTGTTAATCGAGCAGATGCGAGACCTTCTTGTTTACAAGGAAATGAAAATGTAAAACCTATAGAAAATGTTCATATTATCATTTCAAAAAGTATTCTTAGGTTTATTTTTACCCAATGGATAACATATTCCTGAATGTAATAAGTTTTCTTTTTTCATAAATTCTGCTAAACATTCAGCTAAATGTCGAAATAACTAAATTAAAAAGAAAAAGAAATGAAAACTATAAGATCTTTCAAAATTGAAATATTAATGGTATACATTTTTTCCATCTCCAATCATAATTGATTGTGGAATAACAAAAATTTTCGATGTTAATTCAATTTTTGAATTTCCATGTAAATCAATTAAGAGAACACGAAAATTTGTTCCACCTAAATCCAATGCAAGTACATGACCCATTTCTGTACCATTTGGAATATTTCGTACATATGTTGGAAACATTTTGACAGTTGCTTGTTTATGTGTTATGGGTGAAAGACCAGCACTCATTTCTTCTTCTAATATATGCATTATATGTATCAATTGTTCGTCAGAAATTTTTAATGAATCAAGTACTTTTTCGATCTAAATGATAGAAAAAAGTAAATAAAAAATCATTTTATATTTGGACTCTTTTTATTTGAATCAAAATTCATGATTATTGAATTACTCTCAAAAATAGTAGTTTATATAAGTGTTGTCATGTGAAGTTATTGTCTTTTTGAAACTATTCATTTTTGTGAGATATAAAATAATGTCTCAAGAATAAAATATATAGTTTGCTCAAGATGCTTGTGATACTCTAATGATAATGAAAAACCTTTGTAAGTCTATGTTCGGATAAAATAATTCTTAATCTTATAGTTTTTCAATAATTGTTCTGTTTAGGATCGAAAAACTAGCGAAAAAGTGATTATAAGCTGACTTCGATATTTGGTTAACATTGACTAGTGATTTTCGTCCATATATGAAGATAAATATTTCCAACATTATTTTCATAGAGTTTTTTCATCTCAGATCAAAGAAAATCTAGTCAAAATTTATTTTGAATTGATATTTTCATTTATATTATATATTCTAACATTTATTATATGAATATTGCTTCTAGCAAGTTTTTGAACGAGAAAATGCCATGAGATAAACTCGAACATATCTAATAATTTCTCAATATTTATCCTACGAAGTATTTTAAATCCAAACAATCAACAAAAAGTAATGCTGAATATTAAAATTACCTGCGTAACATTTCTACTCGATAACTTAAATAAATTCTTCTTTTTATACAAAATACAGATTTAATAAGATAGTTTTAATTTACTTATCAAGACGAACAAATACTTTATATAACTTACTTGGTCATTTAGCTCAGGATGTCGATGTCGTTTATTAGAGTATTTCTCCGGTGCAGCTACACGATATCCAGCATAGACGGCAGTACCAATTATACAAGTTGTAACTAAGCCATATGCAGCTTTTCGTACTATTGATGTTATTGAATCGTATGGAAGTGTTTGAACGAAATCCAGTGACATGATCTAGAACTACATACAAAAATAAAAATTCACTCTAATAATATTATACATAGTTGTTGACTGATATTTTTAAGCTTAGTACATTACCTAGTAAGAAACGAGGTAATGTAGAATAGTGAGAGTATTTATACGCTTGAAAAAAGATAAAATGGTAAAACGAAAGAAAATTAAAAGGATAAATTTACTTCTATACTATCCGACGAAATAATCACATAGTCGAATTAAATTTTTTTTTCATTCTGTTATTTGTATATTTAAGTACAAAAGATTCTACACGTGACCAGACAGTTTTTCTATATCGAAAAGAGAAAATCAAAAATAATGATAGGTTAAACCACGCCTCCGTCCATCGACTGTTTGAGCCGTCTGTAGTGATCAATTGCGCATTATTCTTTTAAATCATATGATAGTGAGTGCATGACCGTATATGAAACGTCAATTGTTGTAAAAGTACATGTATATAGAATTCATTTTTTACAGATAAAAGTATTTAAAATATAATGTTTATTTAACTTTTAAGAAGATGAATGTGTTAACATTCTGTGTGAAAACTGAAATTGAGTAATTTTTTACAATCTATATCTTCTCTATGAGTACTCATAGATGATTTAAAATTATAATGAATTCAAAATCTAGGCACAATTTATTTGATATGATATTTATATGTGCTTACATAAAGTCCAATTAAAATATATGGCTCTGAATTTTCGAAAAACATTTTTACAACAATAAACAACTTCAGAATAACTCAACATTTTCTAATATCTGTTTTAAATTACATTGTTAGATTTATTTGTTTATATGGAGTAATAACATACGAACAGTGATAAGAACACATACAAGTTTGTACGATTCCTGTAGAATATCAAAAAAAAAAAATAGTTTTCTAAAGTGTTTGTTATTCAAGAACTGTTTTTCAAAGTAGAAGACTCATATATTCTTGTTTATTTATTATAAAATTTACAAATGTTAACTCATCATTGCATGACTTGTTAGTATTTTTTATTGTCGGACGTATATGGTAAAAAAGAAAACATTAAGTGACTTTTTCAAATATTGAAATAAATAAAGACTTTGCCTTGAATACTTCGATATCTTAAAACTACATGGTGTTGAGAGTAGATATTGTAAATAAATTTATTTCGATAAAATTAAAATGAAATGAAGAAAAAGAGAAATAATCATCGTATTCACAAGTGTATATATAAAGATATATGAAAAATTAATTAACGAAATGTCCATAATGGATCTAATTTATTAAATGGGTCAGATAAATCTGTAACTGACGATGGTTTTGTTCGAAAGAAATCATCTCGTGTTGTTTTAAGTTTTATATGACTTTCTTCTGGACGTAAATTAAAGTTTTCTTCAATAGGAGTTAATTGTTTTATTGATGGCTTTTCTTCGATCATGGTTGATGTTGGAGTTGATGAAAGAATTGGACCTACATCATAATTTGGAGTTGGCTGTATAATTGGTTTAGCTTTATCCATAATTGTTTGCATTTCATCTGCAAGTAGAGCAGTATTTGTATTCGGTGATGTAGATTTTAAAGTTGGAATTGTTGATTGATGATGTATTATTGAACTAGCATTTAATACTCCACCTATAAAAACATGAAATACACTAATATAAAAAATATATTAAAATTAATTCTTACGTTTAACAAGACGTTCTTGAACATAACGAAGTAGACTTTCATAAACAAATTTCAATTGATTCATATCTTGTATTATGTGACGACGTTTTGTACGAAGTAAACGAATTATTTTATTTAAATCAGGAAATGATCGAGCTTCATCTATATCTTGAATGCTTGTAAATAGCGATAAAAATGGGCCTGTACGAGATACACCATTTCTAAAATGATAAACACAATTTTAAATGATATATATCTATTTTTCTTTAGATATTGACGAATCGAATTTATTGTTATTATAAATTCTATCAGAATTAGCCTCAAAATCATGATATTAAAATATTCGATATACAGTCGCAATACATCAGCTCTAAATTCGATGTAAACGAATGCAATTCGCTGAATATTTTTAATCATAATCCGACTAGGTTTAGATGCGATTACCTATAGTTTATTCGGAGTTTATAGAAAAGACTTTTCTATAAACGGCATCTAGCTTTATCACCAAAATTAATAAAGTAAGTTTTCAGCTGTTTCGAGAATTTTTTATGAAGTTATACAGTAGAATTTTTAGTAATAATCTTAATAAAAAATGGAATATGCTTATTGCCAAATCGAACTATATTCTTATTTTGAAATATAGACGAAAGTATAAATCACAAAAACATACAAACAAGTAACCAGAATTGTACTTCGTGGATTTCGTGATTGAATAAGAAAATGTTCTACTTCTTGAATAAATTTTAATAATTCAACTGGATTATCTGGCATATCTCTAGAATTTAAATCAAAAACTTATGCATTACTTTATAGACAAAAATAAAATATACTTTGGTGGCCATCCAAGATGTTCAAGCCATATAACAGTTCTCGATTGATTTGTCTTTAGGTAACACAAAAAACAATAAAATAATCATTCTATAAGTAATTTATACATACTTGTAAATGATGAACACGTAATATTCTATGATTAGTCAATTGATTTGGACTCTTTGTACTAAGTAATGTAATTGTAAAAGATGAAAGTCGAAGTTCTTCTCCCACTTTCTGTGGATATACATTCTAAAAATAAATAATTAAAAATAAGTTTTATGATAAAAGAATCAATGTTCATACAAGTGATTGCATTTCATCCAATCTTAATAGTACTGCAACAATAGCTACATGTTGATCATAAATCATTGACCAAAAATCTCCAATAGTTGTTGATAATGGATATTGAGCAATAATAAATGAAGTATCACGAATTCTCTGAAGAAAAAAAAATAACAATGATAATGATATACATAAATAAATTTTATCTTTTACTCCAATAGACGTTGCATTTATATAATCATTGAAATGTTTTTGTTGATTCGAATTTGTTTGTGTCAGACGAACACGTGAATTATCATCTTTAAAATATATTATTATTTTGTATTGAATTAATTAAATACGAGAACTTACAAGGAATTAAATCTTGAAAACGATTTAATTTCGAATTACATTTACCAATTGCACATGTTTGTGTATGAACCTCTTTTTCTTGTAAATCAGATAATTCCTATACAAATAAATTCATGGTTTTTTTTCATATTATTTTATTTTTTAAATTATATTATTTCTTACTTTCCATTCTACTTCAAGTGGTACTGTACCGTTAAGAATCTTTTTTGTCATTGTACTAACATGTTTTTCAAAACGTTGTACATCAGCTACGAATTGTTCAAGTTTATCTTTATCATCGTATAAGTCTTGTGGTGGACTCATACTAGACACAGGTGTAACAGATGGTTGAATTGATTGTTTATCTTCGATAATCATTGATAATGGTTGAATACAAGCTATTGGTTTACCATTACTTTTTATTTGTAATTCATCATCCATTGGACTAATTGGCTGAGGTTCAGGACTATTCGGTTCTGTATTGTGTGTTGATAGAGTTGTTTCTAGTTGCTGTTCGAGAGCTAATGATAATAAATCATCGTCAATTTTAGGTACAAAAGACTGATTTGATACTGTATTTGTTGATGATTTTGTAGTAGCGGGAGATGGGACAAGCGTAGGAGGAAGAGCATGCTGTATAGACTGATTCGATTCATAATTGTTATTATTGATTGATGAAGATGGAACTTGTGGTGGATTTGTTGAGAGTAAACCACCTGGACGATAAACATCCTGAGGATTAACATGAGTAGTTGGTGGTGGAATTACTTGTTGTTGTAGTTGTTGCTGTTGCATTAGTTGATGTTGTTGATGTTGCTGCTGTATTTGTTGTTGGTGGTGTTGCTGTTGCATTTGATGTTGCATTTGTTGTTGTTGGTTTTGTTGATGTTGCTGTTGCATTTGTTGATGTTGTTGTTGCTGCGGCTGTTGTTGCTGTTGTTGCTGGGATGATGATGGTAATGCTGATGGTGATGGTGCCGAAGTAAATGGTATATTTTGTGATTTTGGAATATCATAAGCTCCCACTGGTTGTGGACGGTAAGGATCAAATTTTGTTTGTGGCAAAACTTGTTGAGCAGGACGATTAGGATCATTTAAATTTTGATTCTGGTAAACGGTTGGTTGTGGTAAAGTAGACTGATATACAGGTTGTTGAGATGGCATTGTTTGTGGTGGTTGTACTGTTGATTGATGATTTGTTTGTTGAGGATATGAAGAATGAGCTGGTTGCTGAATCGCATTATTATATATCGGTTGTTGAAATGTTTGTTGAAGTGATGGATGAAACGATTGTTGTTGTGGTGGTGGTGGTGGTTGATAAGCAAACTGTTGAGTTGGAGGTAACTGATGAACTGGTTGTTGTGGTGGCTGATAAGCTGGCTGTTGTGGTAGAGATGATTGGTGAAATGTTTGCTGATTTGATGATGGCTGATGATATGTTTGCTGAGCTGAAGTTGGTTGATGAACTAGTTGCTGTGCTGGTGGTTGATGAAATGTTTGCTGTGATACAGGTGGTTGATGAAACATTTGTTGAGTTGGAGGTAGTTGGTGAACTGGTTGTTGTTGTTGTTGCTGTGGTGGTGGTGGCGGCGATGGTTGATGAAATGTTTGTTGAAATGGAACAGTCGGATGTGAAGAGTAAAATTGTTGGTGTTGAGCAAATTGTTGTGAAGGAGAAGGATTATAAGTCATTTGTGATTGTTCACTAAAATTTTGTCTAGATAAATTTGGATTTGTATCAGTTGATATTGGCTGATTATATTTTGGTTGTTGATATGATACTGAATGTTGTGGAGGAAATGATGGCGTTTGCGTAGGTGAAGGAACATATGGCATTGGTGTCTTTTCAAAGTGTGTTGGTGACTGTGGTTGATAATGATGTGGATTAAACGTAGGTTGTGACGTTAATGTTGGTCCAGTCGAATAGGAATGAGGAGATGATGATGGTGGTAGTGTATTACTGTAAAAATTACTATTATCACCTATATTTGACATTGGTGGAGGTATATACAAATTATCTTCACGATTAGTAGGTGGTCGTTTCGATGATCGACCTGTATTTGGACCCCATCTTTCAGGTTTCATTGCAGCCAAATAATCTTTAAGACGTGGTCGATCAGGTATAGCTGATGGTAAATTAGGTTCTGAAATATCTTGATTAGACCAAGTAGGTAATGGACTATGATGTGAAGATCTTGGTGATGATACTTGACGGTGTAACGATGGTCTTGCCGGTATTGGTGGTTGATGTTGAGATTGTAGTGTCGTAAGACGATCGATTAATTTCATTAATTTCACACTTTGCTATTTGAAAAAGAAATAATATAACCTGATAATACACAAATAAAAATTACTTTTTTATAAAATTCAATGCCTTCATGAGCTTTTGATAAAGTATCTTCAAATGACTTAAATGAAGTAATATATTCTTGAATTAATTGATTACGACTAACAAAAAAAAGAAGTAATAAATAGGTTTTTTTTCTGTATTTTAAGTAATGTCTAGAATATTTACGTTTCAAATGTTGTTCCAACTTTTGTTCGTACATCCGCAATATCTGCATTTGCTTCTGTTAATAATTGTAAAATATTATCTTGTGCTGCACAATTTTGTTTGATAATATTAACAAGTTCTTCATGTTTTTTAACTTGATCAGAAAATAAAGGCTATATAGAAACAATCAAATAAGAAAAATGAATAAAAAAAAACTTTAAAAATAAATTACTTTATGATTTTCTTGTCGTTGCATAAGTACAAGTTTTGTTATATCATCATCATGAATTTTCTTACGAAAATCATTGACTAACATTTCACGTTGTTTTTTCATTGTTTCAATCTTTTCATTTAATAATGCAAGTCGAGCTAATTTTGGTTTATTTGTTTCATCTGTGTAAATTAAAAATTAAAAATTAAAAAAAGAGAAAATACAATTTCTATACCATCAAGTTCCGTTATAACTGGTAAAGTTTTTTCTAATTGTTCAAGTGGTGATTGTAGTATTTTCAAATGTTCAATAATAGTCGTCATATGTCGATGTAATTCAATATTACTTTCATTAGCTTGTAACATCATATCACGAGTAGTTTTAAGATTTGGTTGTAAATCTTTGAATTCTTTAGTTGATTTTATAGAATCATTAGTTTCTTCCAAAGTCTTTAAAGATTGTTCAAATTCATCGATTTGTTCGGCCACATCATGATGTTGACTATTAAGTTCTAAAAAGTAAGCTTAAAATTCAACAAATAGTTCTAAAGATAAGAAAAACTAGAAGTTAACATAGTAATCTGCACGAAGAATATAATGAATCAAGAAAATAAAGCTTGGATTCTATATCGATAATCAATTTCATGATTTTTCAGTATTACAATTCTTGTCGGTCGACTACAACGTAGTATCATTTACTAATATTTCATTTCAAACATTTTGTGAAATATTCGAGCTATAGAATTTATGATCTTCTACTAATAATCAAGAGAATTCGTTCTAGTTTTCATTTGAAGATTAAATATGGCTGGAGTGTATCATGTAGTAGAATTCTGTTACACAACCGCCATTCATCAAAAGCAAATAGCTTTCGGTAATACATGATATTCCTACAATTTGTGTTATTCCAATAGTTCATATTCAGGTTTGAAGGTTCTCTGAAACTACAATAAATCTATACACATTTTATTTCGATATTTTTTCTGCGGTTTCAACATGAAAAGATGAGTAAGGGTTCATCCTTTAATGCGACTAATTATCGCGTTTGATGGTCTAATACAATTGACATGAACCTAGAATGTGTGATTATCCTATTCTTCATCCTATCCATTCACTCGATTCTACTATACATAGGAAATCTATATGTTTTTTAAAATCGTTTTAGAAACTTATTAATCATAATCAAAACATACGTTGCATAGCTGAGACGAGATCTTTGGACATATTTGGACGAGCTGCAACAGCAGCACAACAATCAAGTAATTCACGTGGTAAACGAAGATATTCATTATTTAATGGAACACGATCCAATTGTAAACATAGCATAAATGTTCTATAAATACATACAATATTTCATAATCATATTTTATTCTATTTTCTTACTCAAGTTCTCGATTTTTATTTTCCGTTAATTCAATAATTTCACGTAAAAGTTTCGCTTTTTCTTCACTATATTCTGATGCAGCTAAATGTGCATCCTAGAAAAATAAAATATATATTTTTATCAAAACTGATTCAATCATTACCAATGGTACTAATTTTTGAAAAATATCCGTTCCACAAACTTCAGGATCATGACAATCAAATGGTTGTGATTTAGCAACAATTGCACCTAAAATTAAAAATCGAAAATCTTTTCTAATCTAGCAAAATAAATACCTTGAACTGCTGGTAGACTTGATAATGCTGGTACTTTTTCAAAGTAAACACTATCATTATCTCGTTTAGCAACTTTATATCTATTAATAAAATATAAAATTTCATTTGTTTCGATTTCTTTGATACAAGAAAATAATAATTAATTTACTTTCCCATAACAACATCATTAGTAAATGTATGTGCATCTTTAAAGACATTTGCTTTATCTGATGAAATTTTTTCTGCATTTTTCCAAGCTTCTTTAAGTCGTTCAACACCAGCTTCATAATAACATACGCTTTGACCATATTTCTTATTTTCTTCTGCGACTAAACCAGAAAAATAATATGTAATCGCTAAATAATATGATAATTTATATGTTAATGATACACGCCATTCCTAGAACAATAGAAAATATATGTTGTCTTTGAATATATATATTTAAATCAATATTAAATTAAAGATTTCTATGAAAATATCCGTAAGACGTTTAATTTTGCGATCTTGATTGGTTCACATTGTATGAATAAAGTAAACGATGTGAATCCAGTACTGCTAATCGCATAGTGTAATAAAGAACAAAATAGTCTTTATACGAGATTCGAACTATATATCTTCAGTTTGATAGTCAAATTCACTACCATTCTACTATAGTAAAGTATCTTTCGTGACAATAGTCTATAGTTCTTTTGTATGTAAAATGTGATAGTAATATTTCAGGATGAAAAACTTGCTTAGATTTAGATATGATACACTTCTCCGAAAGATTATTTGCGAGACTTACACGAAATTTTTTTGATATAATTGAATTAATTCCTGGTTTCGTAAGATTAAGAAGTGCCATTTGATAAAATTCCGATATTTGCATAGCTATATGAGCATTCACTGAAGGTGCACGTTGATCAAGTAAAGATTTTTCCAATACGGCTTCATGTGCTTGTGCCTAAAAATTTCTCTATATAAAATTCTGTTTGATTAAGAAAAAAAATTTCGTTACCAAAAGAATATGAATTTGACATGTTAATAGATCAGGTGTCATATCCGATGTATAGGTCGTATATTGATCACGTACTTTTTCATAACATGCAGCAGCACAACGAAAATAAGTACAAGCATTTTTAATACTCTATATAAAAAATAAAAATTTGTTCAACAAAAAAAACTCTAAAATATTTTCAATACATCATGTGTTTTTCGTGATTCATTAACGCCTAATCGTGAATACATTGCACCAAGATTATATAAAATACATGCTTCTTCAAATCGAATATCACTATATGAATTATCTTCTTTTTGATAAGCGTCTTCCCTAAAAATTTTTGAAATGTATATTTGAAACAAATCTTTGCGAATATTTACCATGTAAATCGAACAGCACATTCAGTTTCAGGTAGCATTGGAAAACGATTTCGTAATAATTGTAATTGACAATAATATCGTTTAAGTAATTGAATACCAGATTGATCTGCTGATGAATTAATTGTATTCTAAGAAAGATTTTTTATTATTTCAATTTAAGAAAAAAAAGAAATTTACTTGACGAAGACGATTCATTTGTTCACATTCATTCGAATATTTATCACCAGCTTCTTGATAAGTTGATGTAATATACTAAAAATTGTTTTTGGAATGAAGGTTTTTTTTATAAAATTCAATAAATAAACATACACTAGGAATTTTTTCACATAGATTAACCGATTCAATTGATACTTTAGGATCGAAACCTATAGCAGGAAGTCGAGGACAACCTTTAAAATAAATTTGATTTATAGAGTTTTTTCTTTCTTTCTCGATTGAATTTACCTTCCATATTGATAACAAAGAAAAATAAAATCTAAAAATAATAATGATTTAATAAAATTATCTTTTGTTTTTCATAACATCTTACCGAATAATAATAAGATACAGATAGAATAACTAAATATAAAAGTGCTTCATTTTTTCTAATTAGTCATAAATATAAACAAAATATCATTGGTTAGTCTATCGGTACTATATGTATTCAAAAGGAAGGTGGCGTACTATGGTTGTTATAAGATGTTAACCTAAAATAAATATAACGAAGATCATAGATTCCTCTTGTGAGTTTAGATGGAATAACAAATGAATTTTTTTCTTGGAAGCTATTGAAACAAGAAATATAATATATCATCAATAATTATAGACTTAAAAAGAATACTGATGTATTACGGTATTCTAATAAACTTTAACAATTATACGGAGTCTTTTTTCTCTAAAGTTATTATCCTCCTTTATTGGTAGTATATGACGATTATTCGTTATTTATCTTTCGAAGAGCTGGAACTATTTTATGTGCATCTAACATACGAAAAACTATGAATACTTCGAAGAAAATCCCATTCTCTCCTACGATGTATACACTATAGTTTCATTATTATTTAAATCTATTAGTGATTCATTCCACCAGAAGTTTCTTCCGCAGAAGACTTAGCAGGAGTTTTGAATACGCTCTTACGAATAAACTGGGAAAGTGAATTCAATGTATTCTTAAGTAAAAAATCAATACTGGCAATCGATTAGTATCGAGCGCCCTCTCTTTTTCATGCTCAACATTTGATTAAGTCAATCATACATATAGCACGAGAGAATTACCAATCATCTTCTTCTGTCTTTCCAGAACTCGATCTATACTCATCATTATCAAAGTATGACTCATTTTCATTTTTCAATTTAAATTTAAGTATACTAATGGCTTCATCAAATAAATTTATTAAACATTTTCGAGATTTACAAGCTGGTGAAAGTGAAAAAGCTGGTGCTGCAGAAACACTTGCTTATTTAAATGGTTTATATTTAAAAAATAAATCAATTGAAATTATAATATATATTTCTTTTTAGGTGAATTATCATTTCAAGAATATGAAAAACGTGTACGTGAAGTAAATACTGATTATTCAAATGTATCTGTTGGTAAAGTTCTCAATACTCGTGAAGCTGAAATTGTAGATATTGATAAATTAATCGATGAGTTAAGTGATATTGATGATTTAAGTTTAAGTGGTTTGAGTAGTAATACAAGTGATAATTCGGAAGATTCTCAACATGATAATGAACCTCGAAAGAAAAAAAAGACTGAAATTGAATCGAAATCGAAACGTCGTCAACGAAAAAAACAACAACAACAACAAGATTCTGATGAAGATGAAGGTACGGATGATGAAAGTGAAGAAAAATTTACTGATCCAAATGAAATACGAAATAAAATGGTACAACATCTTGAAGAAATACATTTAGCTAATCAAAAAAGAAAAAGAAGTAATGAAAATCTTATATATTTTTAAATTTCATATTATTTTATATTTAAGAACGAACTAATAAATCAAAACGTTCAACAACGAAAAAACGATCTTTATCAACGGTAATTTTCTACTCAGAATTTATAATAAAATTTTCAATAATTTATTTAGTCTGAAAAAGTACCAAAAAGCCGTTTAAATCAAGAATATCAAGCATTAATGGGTGAAGCTAATATGGCTTATGTTCATGGAGATATTCCAAAAGCATTGAGAATATGTCAAGAAGTTATTACAAATGGTAAAATATTTATACGTAAATAAATATAAACTTACGTTTTATTTTCATCGGATAGTTCCAAATGCAGGTGAACCTTATATAACACTTGCACGAATTTATGACGATCAAAATGAACATGATAAAGCATTTGAAGTAATTGAAAAGTATTTACATATGTATTATGAAGTTAGATTTATTTAAGATGAATTTGGTTGCTGCTCATTGTCAACGTTCGAAAGACTTATGGATACGTATGCTTACAGAATGTCAACAACGTAAAGCAGATAATCTAGTAACAACTTGTTATAATCAAAGTAAGACATTTTTTTTTATAATAATAGTTAACTGATGATTGGTATCAAAAAGCTTTTGAGCTGAAATTTTGCACTCAATTAGGGGATACATAGACTAGAAAAAGCCTAAAAGGATATGTGCCCAAGTTGGTGTTTGCCTGAGATACGAACTATTTATTGTATTTGTCCTATAAGGCCCTGTCTGTGCCGTAAAACCGAAGTTTCGAATTTAGGCCTGAAATTTGGTCCACACGAAGACCTTAAACAGATAAGCTTGCTTACAAAGTTTCTGAAAGAGTATCTATGAGATACAAGTATGTTGGCATAAAGACGCTTTCTCATGGGTATTAGCTTTCACATGAATATTTTGACGGATTCATATCTCGGAGATAATCTGTCTAAAATTTCTGAAACTTTGTAAGAAAGCTTATCTGATTGAGGTCTTAGTGTGAACAAAGTTTCAGGCCTAAATTCGAAACTTCGGTTTTACCGCACAGATAGGGCCTTATAGGACAAATACAATAAATAGTTGATATCTCAAGCAAACACGAACTTGGGCACATATCCTTTTAGGCTTTTTCTAGTCTATGTATCTCCTACTTGAGAGCAAAATTTCAGCTCAAAAGCTTTTTGATACCTCGGGTAGTTCCGATTTATTATTAAAGTGTAAGAAAAGGAGAAAATTCGAGTAGGCTAGGTGATTATCTATACGAGCTATATAATACTAGAATCAGCTTCTCTACGATGTCTTGCATGTTCGGCTATCTGACTTAGAATGATAATTATACGACATATGCGTTAAGATAAAATGTCATTATTTCAAAATTTGTTTTCTAATTCATTGGTAATAATTATTTTATTTTGTACAAAAAAAGAACAGTTATTAGTATGCTTACAAAGAAAAATCGGAGATTAATTAATAAATGCATTTTCATAAATATGATCATGATATTGAGGTAAAGCAATCCATTGTAAAGTTTCTCCACCAAATATAAACGGTGATTTATCGATAATTTGATTGATTTTTCGTGGTTGCTCAATTGATTTATTTCGTAAGAATTTAAAATTTTTGAAAACTTTTGTAAGATGTTTCAATGAAATAAAACATGAAGATGGAGTTGTTATTGAATTTTCAATAATGTGTTCATACTGTTTTTGTATTGATTCAACATTATCAAGTACTTGTTGAAGTGTATAAATTTTCTTTTGATTTGAAGTAATATCTTTATCATATAGACATTCGTATACACTTTCCTCACGACTTGGATGATAATCATTTGCAAGAATTGGTGATAAAATATCTTTTTTTGGTGTAGAATTAGTAAAACTTTTCGTTGAAATATTAACATAAATATCTATATCAATTGGATGAATATCGTCAACATGTATGTGAATCATATTTCGTAAATGAATGAGTGAAAAAAAAAGCAGATGTGTTTAATTGAAGAAGGAAACATTCATACGAAAGAGAAGAAGAAAAAAAGAAAAGGTGCTATAATGAGCGTATGTAACAGATGGATACGTATATTCATTAGGAGAAGAAATATATCTCATCCAATTTGTCATGACAACATACTGAAAAAAAAAGGAAATAAATTTGTCTTGATTATTTAACATGATCGGTTGGTAGTCAATGATCTCCTAGTGAGAGTGTAAAAGTCAACTGAGAATACTTTTGTTAAGGTGATAAGAAGTTGTCAATGATGTATTGATTGCTCAGAATGTTAATGTAAAGATGAAACAAATTCATTGGATTATTTATCGTTTTCTCGTATGAATAAGAGAGAATTCAAATGCCTAAGTTACAATCTGATAAAAGAATAATATATGTATGATTGGTTAGTTATCATATTAGACGATCTATCATAGTCATAAATATTTGAAAGTACTACAAATTGAAACTTCATGATACTTGTATTCATTTCATTTAGATTTAGATTCTTAAACTTTCTCATAAGAATAAAAATATGCATGTTTAAAATAAATGACTATTCAATTTATAATTTTTAGTTGTTAAACTCGATCCGACCGATATCGATATGCATCTAAGCCGTATTCAACATGTTGAAAAACATGAAACACGAAAACTTTATTTAAATAGTTTACAATCACTTCTTATGGCTTTACACCCATCTGAAAAACCAGAACAAAAATCATTATATTTAGAAAAATATCGAATTCTTATACAAGTAAAAAGAAAATTTTTTTAAGATTATTATAATTCAAATTTTTCTTTTTTAGGCTATTCTTACATCCGAACGAAAAGATACTGAATTACAACCACTATTCTACAAAGGTCTTAGCGATCTCGGCACAGATTTTCCTTCTGAATGTCAGGTTTAATTAAAAATAAAATTATACGAATAAAAAAATATACTTTTTTTAGATATTGAACGTTTATTACAAATGCAATACAATTCAAAATTATATCCAGAATTACTTAAAGTAGAACAAAAAAATCGTTTTAAAATTTCTTACATATTTTATTTCCATAGAATATGATTAATTTCACTGGTGTCCGACTATCAAAATTCAATACGGAATTAGAATTGCCTGTTGATACAACTGATTTGGATGATCATAAAGAAGCAGAGTATGTTTAAAAAGACATATCAAGATATATTGTAGTATTCCTATTAAGTTAATTTCAGTACGATTCTCGTGTCTATATAAAATCTATTACTACTTTAATATGTATTGCAATTTATTCTATTAAACTATCAATTTTTTTTTCATTTAGTTTTTCATTACCAGATTTTTACCGAACAGATTATTACGCAATGTTTCTTGTTGCTATTATTGATATTGGTTATTCTGCAATCGCATTAGTAACTATCAAAAATATTCTCATATCGATAAACCTAATTTGATCGGTTTTTTTAGCGTCTTCTACCTGCTTATAAAACCAATGTACGTTCAACAGATCAATCATTATGTCTTGATGTTATGTCAGCTTTTGCATTAAATGATCATCTTATAGAAGCATGTCAATTATTTGAACATTTATCATCTTTATCAAAATTATCGGCTCCATCATGGTTTCAATATTCTGAATGGTTAGTTGCATTATCAAAATTTCATGAAGCATATGAAGCACTGGAACAAACATTAAGACTTGATCCACAAAATAATGAAGCACGTTTATCATTATCAGCATTACAAAAACAAATTGGAATGAATGAACAAAGTCAACATACATTATCTGAAGTTGTTAGTCGACCAATAAAACAAGAATCAAATGAACAAACAGATTATCATGATCAGAATGATGATGATGATGAACAACAAGAAGTAACTGTTGAAAAAATTCATTTATTAGTTGAACGTTGTATAACATTATATGATCAAAATCAATTAAATTTCTTTATTCCATGTGCTATGCAATTATTTTTTGGTTCAATTAAATATTTATTAACAGTTGATTGTTCAAAACGTTTAATTAATTGTGGTACACGAGCACGTCGTCTTGAATTAATACAGAAATTAGTTGATGAAAAACGTATTATATTAAATCCATCCTATACAAGAATAAATACAGTTTTAAAAAATCGTATTATTGATATATATGGAAAATTTTGCGATGTACTTATACATATTAAACGACATGATCTTCTATTAAGAGTGACTGCTGCTGGAACAGTTATTCCATTTCTTTATGCAAGAATCGATTGGTATAGTTATTATCTTTTTTTTAAAGAAAATTAGAATTTAGTTATCAATGTAATTCAATGAATATAAAAAACTTCTTGTTTTTATACAATGACTATCAATCTCAGTCAGGAGAAAAATTTTGTTAAAGCGATGTAGAGTTTAGTCAGTTTTCAGCTTGTATTCAAAAAATATTGAATCTAGACTTACAATAATTAGACTCGAAGAAATTTAGACATGAAATCTGTACTATATTTCTATAGAGTAATTTACACGATTTTTAATTTTTTTTAGTAAGTTTTTTGGGTGATGTCAGTAATCCGGAAAAGAAACATCCGGAATATTTTACTCGAAGTTTAGTAATGATAGAGGACATAGCAAGTGAAAGATGTAGAAATATTAGAGACAATCTGAATAGCTCTTGAGGGTGGGTGTGGGTGTGGGTGAGGGTGAATGTAAGTGTGGATGTATGGGTACGGCTACTATTCCTCCACACCCACACGATAAAATCTTTCGAGATGATTTATTTCTTTTCCAGATATTTTTCCTGATTTTGATTTTCCGGATTGCTTGACATATTCGTTTTTGTAGTGGAAAGCGGAAAGAGTTACTTTTTTTGTTTTATTTTGAATATCAGAATGAAAATAGAAGATTAAGAAATCTCAACTGATTTACGTATATCATAAATATTTCTTTCTAGGCTTGTTCTCACTGAATTTCTCCTATTTATCAGTCTCATGTTACAACAAAATGGTGATCTTGCTTTTCAAACATGTCGAGAAATCTTTCGTTGTTATTCGAAATCATTTGTTATACAAAATTTATTTGCATTAACAGCAACAATAACACCAAGTGTTCGTTTACAAAAATTTTGCGTTCGTTCATTACAAAAACGACCTAATTCTCCTATTCTTCATCATATGGTTGGTAATTTTGCATTGATTGGTGGAACATATCGTTTAGCAATTATTCATTATATGAAATTATTTCGTTTAACACCAGATGAACCACTTGTTTCATTATTACTTGCTATTTCATTTGTACATGTTGCTTGTCAAAAATATGCATATTCAAGACATCAACGTGTACTTCATGCACTTGCTTTTCTTAAACAATATAGAAATTTACGTGGTGAATGTACAGAAACATATTATAATATCGGTCGTTTAATGCATTTTCTTTCATTACATTATGCTGCTGCTTATTTTTATCATAAATGTTTAGAAACTGAATCACCTATTAATGATAGTAATGATATATATGGATTAAAATATCAAGCAGCTTATAATCTTGCTTTAATTTATAAAGCAAGTAAGAATGAAAAATTTGCTCGACATATTATTCGAACATATATGACTTTGTAATTTCATAGGATTTTGTTTTTTTTTCAAATAAATATATATGTGCATTCAATAATAAATCATTTATTTCAATAACAATGATATTTGAATGTAGATCGTGACTTTTGTTTCTCGTATGACTTTCTGAGTAAATAGCGTTCTTATCACCTGTTGCATCTATTCTGATATTCTAGAAATATGGCAACTAGAGTTTTCTTTTCTTATAACCTCTTTAATTTATTTAAGTATGTATGCTCACAGTTTCTAATGAGAAAGTCAAATGCATTCAAAAAAATCATGCTCACAACAAATCATCATGTGCGGTCGACAATATCAGGTTGTAATTTAAATAACTAAAAGTACTGCAAATATCATAAAATCTAATTATCATTAAAATAAATATTTTAATTAGATGATACAGTTACTCAAAATTATATTAAAATAGAAAGAGGAAATTAGTATCATGTTAAATTATTCATCCGTCTAATAATAAATTAGCGACTCAAAATGATAATAATTTAACAAGATTTCGTAACAAATTCTAAGTGAATTTTTGATATTATGAAAGTAGTTTCTAATCACAAGTTAATAGATTTACAAAACTAAATTAACAAGAAATACTGTATTCACTAAAATTTGATCCGAATTAACCTTAAGAGCCGGAGCGGGTTCTTGTGAAGTTCAGGTAGAATTAATCACATAAATAGAGATTTTCGGCCCTCAATATGCATTTACCGTGGTTAGAACTGCTGGGTGTGACTAAAATGTTTTTCCACCCAGATGGCCTGGGTGGAATATGACCTTCATAATTTTTTGTGCGCTTGAGCTTCTAATATGGTTCAGAATCACTGTAAGTTCATTCTCATGATATTTTAACATATATCCAATTATCTGTTGAACGAAAAGTTCACAATAATCGTGATTACTATGCCCCAAAAATGTCATCAAAATGGTACTTTTTTTATAACGTCAGAATACCTTAGTAGAAGAGTTAAAAGCGTGCAAAGTTGTTCTAAACTATAGTTTAGGGTTATTTCTAATGATATCACTCAGAATCTATATTGTATATATAAGGATATATCAATATCCGAGTAACCAATTTTGCTCGAAAAATTATACATTCTAAGAGCTAGGCTTGGGCGTTTGATAACTGTTTGACAACTGTTTTAGCATAATGTTGTTCCATCATACTTTCACTGTGACTATCTTCGTCTTCAAAAACAGTAGTTTTTGCAGAAAAGACTTTATTCCTTCGTTCTATAACGTTTATTAAGTATTTTCGTTAGATTTAGTAATTGTAAGATAAATCTAACGCAAAATAAATTCTTACAATCCTTTACACTATTTTTTTGAAGCAATTATAGAAAATATAATTCACTATGATTGATTATTGAAATCAATAGACAAATGAAACATGTGTACTATTTGTTTGATAATTTCATCATAGTATTTATTTAAAAAACGAATTATAGATACATTGTATTACATATTATAAAAAATTAACAGTTATAATTTAAGGTAAACAAGAAATTTGATAGCAATCAAAATCGTCAGTTTCATGTATATATTGATTAGCATAATGAGAATTATAGAGCAGACCGACAGTACTAGCTCCTACCATTAATCCAGCAGAATCTTCATCATTTTGTTTTAGTTGTGTTTCTTTAGCTATATAGAAAGAATTAATAAATAATTATAAATATCGATGAAAAAATATAAAACAAATCTTACGAGATTCCATCATTTCGTAATTGATACTAGCACAAGTACCCATGTATAATCACTATTATATTCTTAATTTGTCACTTTTTTGATGCTATAACACTCTGTTTTATAGTGTGAAATTTTTTGTCCTGACTTGTCATATTCTTAATTCTTTTAAGTAAATATCTATTATGCATGATACCAAGAGTAAAAGTCATATAAGTTTTTTTGACCTGATAAAGCATATATCATGCCATTGGTACTGTTTTGTCTGTTGAAAGAGTATGAAGAAAATTAAACTTGTTGTATATATATAATATATCAGGTTTCTATAAACAATATTATTGCACTTATTGATTTTCAATCTATTAATATTATCATATGTGCATACATGTATTTAATCATATAAAAACTTAAGAAATTATAATTTATATAAGTTAAGAAGAAATCATCAAATATTCTACAGTTGTTCATATACTTTGAATAATCTTGTTTAAGTAAGATTTAGAATTAAAACAAATTGATAAGTCAATCAACAATATCTTATCTGAATAATAAAATTAATTTCTATTGTCAGTGCTTTCGAAACACAATTCAATATGTTTGATTAACATCTTCAAATGAAAATGATTTTTTATTATTTGTAGAAGATTCATGCAAATAAAACGTTATTTGATGTTTCTTTCTGTTAACTTTCAACTTTTAATTAGTTTAAATCGATATCAGGTTTTACTGGAATAAATCGTATCGTGCTAATTTTTAGAAGTTCATGTTGTTTCTATCACTTTTCTTTTCGTTTTCTATGAGAAAAGTAGAAAGAGGCAGTTAATCACGTGTCGTCTTTTTATTACATTATCATGCTTCATTGAGTATGTGAAAGAAACTAACAATGATACATTGTTGATAAGCGTCAGTTTCTCATGACTTCGAATAGAAAAATAGGTGATTAGACCTTTTTTTTCATAAGGTTAATTTAGGTACTGGTAAGAAAGACAAAAAAAGAATAAAAAATACAAGCAGTTATGCTCGTATTATCATTACTTTTATTTTTTTATGCCTGAATAATCGCAGCATCGGATAAATGTTTAAATATGTGTATTTTTGTTATGTGGTGTTATTATTTACTTTTTATTTTAGTCGAATGGTAAATAACATCTAGACATTATTCAAATATGATATAGTAAGTTATTTCTTTATTTTTTGTTTTGTTCATGTACAAAATGACTGATACAGACTTTAGTTATGAGACAATATCACAAAGCCAATTTTGGTTTTGGTTGAGAAATTTATATAGATGCTACTTTCTTAAAAGCTTCTGTGTGCATTTTTGAAGAATTGAAAATAATCTTTCTGACTGAGACAATATTCTCCTAGAGATAAATACATTGTATTAATAGGATCAATAGACACTCACATTGCTTATTGTCTTTTGATTGAGTCTAGTTTTTTTTCTTGTCTAAAAGAAAAGCTACATATATATTATTTTTTATGATGAAAAGAAAAGGATATGATAAAAGTATCTATGAAAACAATATAATTTTTTCTAATTTATATTTTATTTAGAAATAAATTGGTTCAAACTATGAGAATATTAAGTGGCATTTATATACTTATAATTCTGTTTTCAATACAGAATGCTGAAACATACTCTCTCGAAGATTTTGACAACACTTATTGTCAGCGTGACGCATCAATCTTTTACATACGACAAATTTTAAAACGTATTAGATCAAATCATAATGACAATTTACGATGGAGAAAAAGTAAATAATCATACATTTTTGTGTGCTTTTAATTTTTAACTTCGTTTAATTATTCATACTTTATTCTAATTTTCAATCTATTATTTTTTAGGAACAGATACTACGCTAAAGAAGTGCAAAGAAATAAGAACAGGCTCTTATTTTACTGGTGATACTGGACTATCCATAGATGATCTTAATACATATCAAGATTGCATGAGTCAATGTGATGCATCTGCAACATGCTCCGCATGGTTATATCGAGCATCTGATAAAAAATGTCAGTTGCTACCTGTAACAAATTTCCCGCTAACGGATGCGGGCTATAAAAGTGGATCTTGTATTAGTAAGTAAACTAAACAAAAGTTATTTATAATCATTTTATTGTCTTAAATTCAAATTTGACATTATTTTAGGAAAACAAGTATCATATCCACCAATAAGTCTCGAAACATATAGACAACAAGCATTAGATCAACATAATTTTTATCGTAAAAAACATTGTGTACCTTCTCTAATAATAGATCCAGCATTGAATGATATAGCACAAACTTATGCAGAGCATTTAGCTGACACTCATGCATTGGTACATTGTGGAAATAAATTTAACGATCAGTCGATGGAAGAAAATTTATATGCGAAATCTGGTGGAATATTATTAAATGATAATGGTAAACAATCCTTGTTTTTCTTTATTTTTATTTAAAAGTTTTGTATATTCGAAGGTAAAAGTCCAGTTCACGACTAGTACGGTGAAATCCAATATTATAATTGATCACATATTACCGCTGCAGGTGATGAACATTTTACATAATTAATTTGGAAGAGTACAACTAACTTAGGTATTGGTAGAGCAGTGACAAGCGATAATAGAACCATGTATATAGTTGGAAATTATTTTCCGGGTGGAAACATGGGTGGAGCATATGAAAAAAATGTCTTACCATTATGTTTAACAATTTATTTGGCATTTCATAATTTTCATCTTATTTATAATTAACAAAAACTAACAATTTTGCCAATTTTACGCTTTTACACAAAACAGTTTCAAATAACTGCTTGTAGTTAGATAAACTTCACTATTGTAATCTAAGTAGATTGATTGAATTTTAATAAAACTATTACTTTTACTTGAAAAATAACAACATTTTATCTTGATTTTTGTACATTATTGGTAATTGCTCAAGATCTAGTTGAATGATATAAACAATGATTGAAAGTATTTGTGGTGGATGATGAACATGTATTCGTAATATTTCAGATCATTAAATTGTCATAGTAGTGTATTTAATGAAATTGTTTTGTTATTAAAAGATATTCGCACAGTAAAAATAGTTTTTACTGGAGAATTGATATTAAAACAATTTTTCGATGTAAAATATTCAAAACAATAGTGTATTGAAGGTTCACTTTATCTTGTTATTCTGGTGTTCGATGTTTTCTCCCTTGTGACATTATGATTTGAAGTAATGCTATCATTTAAACCTCCATGGTTATGAGCGAATCAAAATTGTATATAGAAATCGATAATATATTCATTTCTTATTGTCATTCAACTACATACTGTCTCTCATCGTTAAGATTAAACTATACATGTAAATTTAAAAAAGTGTCTCATTTATGGTGATAGTTTCAACTAGTTTTTCCAGTCAAGTCTATTTAATAAAATTCACTAGAAATCTCCTATATACTACTATGAAATTTACAATCAACTGAAGGATCCACTGCACCTAACATTTCTATTCACAAAAAGAAATAAAGTACGATCTCTCACTTTCTCTCTCTCGCTTTAAATTTTTTTTTTAAATGAATACATACTGTTGTAATTATTATTAGTATTAATTTACATACTAATGATACATATATATTTATATAACTGTTAAATGGATACTTTCTTAGTTTTATCTAATATAAATATCTAATTTACTTTTTTAAGAGAATATTTGTGAACGAAAGCTTTGAGTTTATCAAGCTGAACATAAAAATAATAAAAATCTTTTTTAAAGTCGATACTTACTATTGAAGAGTTTCTGATAATTTATTTAAATAATGTACAAATAATTATTTATGTGAATTTATTGTTAAGTTAGATCTATAAATGTTAAACATTTTTTTAAAAAATCTATAATAACTCTTCAAGGCTTTTACCCATCTTTATTTATACTACATCATTAATTTATTACTAATTTTATTTCAGTTTTTTCATCATCATCATCATGAGTTCATATACGAAAACAAGAAGTAAGTAATTCTTTTTCTGATTTTAATATGATGAATCCATAGTCTAATTGATATTGAATGGTTATTATCACTATTAAACTAAATCGATGATCTTGTACTCATTTATGAATAATTATAAATATTTCACCGTAATGTATATGCGACACATGTGCAAGTTTTTCATTCTTTGATTACGTGGAAAAAAATTACACAACCACGTGTAGTTATTTCAATGAATCATAAGGTGTAAGCAAACGCAATGTGCACAGCAGACAGAATATTTCCTTCAATTGAATAAATTTCATTGTGCTTTCAGATACTGAATATAAGGCATGAATACTGCATAGATAAGTAACAAATGATCATAATAAGTTAAGAAATAAAAAAGAGAGAATAATTTGTTTAAATGCATTGAGAATATTCTGGCGTGATTTTTGAGACATTGCTGGCATATTTGTTTATCATACGCTAATTCTTCTTCAAATAATCTCTTTGTAAGTTACTAATGATTAGAGAATATCTTCAAGAATTTCTTTGGCATGGATCTCCGATTTGTTATCTTTAACATAATCTAATCAAGATATATTCTCACATTTCTATGATTTGTACCTGAAGACAACAATTATCTTTAAACTTTTCCATTGTTGCTATATGATCTTTAGTCAAATCAACAACAAGAATATAATCTCGTGCACTTACTTGCATACATTTAAATCAATCTTTAATTATTAAAACAAAAAAAATTTGAATATATTAACCTTAATAATAGCATAAATAGTGTTTGTTAGAAACATCTGATAAATTTTCTAAATCAAGACAATCAGTTGTCTAATTTGTTATTTTAGACCCAGTGATTTTTTCAACCCGTTTTAAACATTCTAAAATATAACAGAATCATCCTTTTTTCATCACGTATATTCAATTATATCTATAGCTCCACAATTAACATCGTCGACAAATGATCCTACAACTGGTATAAATACTAATTCAATAGGGCTTCAATCAACTCCGTCTCCACCATCTATAACTCCTCGTTAATAAGAGATATTTTCTTTCATTATTTCTATTTATTACCTTCATGTGTCTCTCTCTCTCTCTCTTGTTCTTTATTTTTCGGCCGACTGATTTTATTCTTTTCTCGTTTCTTGTTTTATGCACTGATCTATACATACATATACATGTATATCTCATAAATATATACAAAACATCTAGTTGTTTTGCTTCAACATGAAAAATATGCGCATTCTACTTGTACTAATAATAAAGTGAAATGATCAAATGAAAAACAAAATTGTTATACAGTTTATATTTATTGAAAATGCTTTTAATTATGATAGAAAGAGAAGATACTATTGATAGTGAGTGTCTACTAGAATTCAAAATATTCTTCTCTTCCTCGATTGCTAATTGATATTCTCTTATTAAAATAAACGATATTTCAATAAATTCACAATAACTCTTTAAAACATTTATATACTCGTGCATTGCATTCCTTCAATACGAATCAATCGACAGATAAAATCAAGTATAACTGATAATTTATATATAAATCTATATGCCTTTTGAATATCTTGTTTGATGAGAAAAAATTATTGTATACAACGGCTTGATATTTTCTAAATTTTTATTTACAAACATTTGCTCATTGTACAATACATTATTTTGGGACAATACTTGAATGATGCCATTATTCACGTTATACTTATTTTACAGGTAGAATTATAAAGATATTTTCAAGATTTAATCTGTTTAATAAATGAATATAATTACAAAACAAAGCTTAGGGCAGATATTTCATATAATTTCGTGATATTAGGTGTTGCGATGAGGTTAGATTGTAGAAAAATATAATTTCTTGTGTTAACATGCATCATAATAGAGTGTATTACCGTTATCTTTAATCATCACTCACATGTAAATAATTATTCAACGAAGTGGAACGTTTTTATTTCTATGAATATTTCGATCGTGTTTTTTTCATTAGAAGAATAAGCAAGATTAAATTAAATTATCAAATATTCTACAGTTGGTCATATACTTTGAGCAATCTTGTTCAAATGAGATTTCGAATTAAAACAAATTGACAAGTCAATTAACAATATCTTATCTGAATAATAAAACTAGTTTATGTTCTCAGTACTTTCGAAGTACAATTCAATATGTTTGATTAAAATCTTCAGATGAAAGTTATTTTCTATTGTTCGTAGAAGATTTTTATAAATAAAACTTTATTTGATATTTCTTTCTATTAACTTTCGACTTTTAATAATTAGTTTAAATCGATATCAAATTTCATTGGAATAAGTCACATGGTGCAAATTTTTAAAAGGTCATGTTGAGTCCACCTGATTTTCTTGTTTTCTATGAGAAAAGTAGAAAGAGACAGAGCTAGATAAATATCGTCTCTTCTTTACATTATCATGCTTCATTAGTATTTGAAAGAAACTAGCAATGATACATTGTTGACAAGCATAAAGTTGTCACGACTTCGAGTAGAAAATAGGTGATCAGACCTTGTTTTTTTTATAAAGTAACTGTAGATACTGGTAAGAAAGACAAAACAAGAATAAAAAATACAAGCAATTATGTCCGTATTATCATTACTTTTATTTTTTATGGTTGAATAATCACAGTATCTGATAAATGTTTAAATATGTGTATTTTTGTTATGTCATGTTATTATTCACTTTTTCTTTTAATCAAACAGTGAATAACATTTGGACATTATTCAAATATGATACAGTAAGTTATTTTTTTATTTTTTGTTTCTTCGTGTGCAAAATGACCTATACAGACTTTTGTTATGAGATAACATCACAAAATCAATTTGGTTTTTGGTTGAGAAATTTATACAGATGTTATTTTCTTAAAAGTTTTTTGTGTGCATTTTTGAAGAATTGAAAATAATCTTTCTGATTTACATTTTATATAGGATTAAATTAGCTGAAATTGTGAGAATATTAAGTTGTATTTATATAATTACAACTTTGTTCTCAATAAACATTGCTCAATCATATTCCCTCGAAGATTTCGATAATAAATATGAGCAGCGTGATGCATCAGTTTTGTATATACGACAATTATTAAAACGTCTTCGATTCAATGACGATGACAATTTACGATGGAGACAAAGTAAATAATCATGTATTTTTCTATGCTTTTAATTTTATTTAATTATTCATACTAATTTTAATCATGCTTACAAAATCATTATTTTATAATGTAACTTTTTCATTTCAATATTTATTTGGTATGTTTATTCTAATTTTGAATCTATTATTTTTCAGGAACGGATGCTACACCAAAGAAGTGCAAAGAAATAAAATCAGGCTTATATTATAGTGGTAATACTGGACCATCCATAGATAATCTTAATACATATCAAGATTGTATGAATGTGTGTGAAAATGATAATAAGTGCTATGGATGGTCATTTAAAAACTCCACCAAAACTTGTTTGATTCAAACATCGCTGGCTATATTATATACTGATCAAACAATGATGGGTGGATCTTGTCTTAGTAAGTGAACTACAGAAGTGGATTGTCATCCGCTTTTTTTTCTCGATATTACTCTATAAAAGAATAGTTTAAATTCACATTCGCTGAGAAAACTAAAATAAATAAAAGAAAATTTGATAAGGTACTTGTTTTTATAATATCGTTATTAAGAACCATATAGGGAAGTAATATTTACTCTAGAAATTGTCAAAAGCTCAACAGGAATATGACTGTTTGAATTATTGACGAAAATAGTATGTAAATTATTGTTCTTATTTTTTATTTTAAAGCTCCAGCTGCAAAGGAAACGCACTGCCAGGAAGTATTATCAGGCACTTCTTACTATGGTAATAACGGTGCAACAATAAAGAAAGTGGCTACAACTCAAGATTGCATGAGTCAATGTGATGCATCAGCAACATGCATGGCATGGTCATATCGAGCGTCTGGTAAAATCTGTCAGCTGATGACTGCAATATATATCCCGATGGATGATGCACAGTCTACAAGTGGTTCTTGTATTAGTAAGTAAACTAAAAAAAAGTTATTTTTAATCATTTTATTGTCTTAAATATTTCAAATTTAACATTATTTTAGAAAAACAAGCACCATATCCACCAATAAGTATCGACACTTATAGACAACAATCACTAGATGAACATAATATTTTACGTAAAAAACATTGTGTACCTCCTCTAGTATTAGACCCAGCATTGAATGATATAGCACAAAAATATGCACAGAAATTAGCTGACACTCATATATTTGCACATAGTGGAAATACATTCAATGATGAATGGATGGGAGAAAATTTATATATGTCAGGTGGTAGCTCATTAATGTATGAGAAAGGTAAACAATCTTCGAATTTTTTTATTTTTATTTGAAACTTTTTTATCGTCGAAGGTGCAAAGCCAGCTGACGCTTGGTACGGTGAAATCAAAGATTATGATTGGACAAATCCTGGCTTTGGAATGAATACTGGACATTTCACACAATTAGTTTGGAAAGATACAACTAGAGCAGGTTTTGGCAGAGCAGTGACAAGCGATAATCGCACCTTGTATGTGGTTGGCAATTACTTTCCAGGTGGAAATATAGAAGAAGCATTTGAAGACAATGTCTTACCATTATGTTGAACAATTTACCTGGCATTGCATAATCTTTATCTTATTTATAGTTAACAAAACATTTTTTTTTCTCAAAATCGAACTTTCATTTTTAAAAATATGTAATTAACAAAAACTAACATTTATATCATTTTTATGCTCTAACACATAACAATTTCAAATAACTGTTTGTAGCTAGATTAACTTCATTATTGTATTCTAAGTAGATTGACTGATTTCTAATAAAATTATTACTTTTACTTGAAAAATAACAAAGTTTTATCTTGATTTTTGTATATCATTGATAATTGCTCATGATCTAGTTGAATGATCTAAACAATGATTGAAAGTATTTGTGGCGAATGATGAACATGTATTAGGAGTATTTCAGCTCATTAAACTTTTGAGAGTAGTGTATTTAATGAATTGTTTTCTTAATAAAAGATACTCATATAATACAAATGATTTTCATTGAAGAATTGATGTTAAAACAATTTATCTATGTAAAATATTGAAAGTACTATTCTCCTGTTGAGTTTGATTGTCAGTACAACGGGCGAAAAGAAAAATGTCAAAAACAAAAATAATACAAATATTGATCGATGTAAATATTGAAAGCAATAATGTATTGAAGGTCTATCTGACATCGTTGTTTTGGTCTTCGATATTTTTCCCTTATGACATTTGGATGTGCGTTAATTCTATCATTTAAACCCCGATAGTTATGAGTGAGCCAAAATTGTATGTAGGAATCGATAATATATTCATTTCTCATCGTCAAAATTAAATGATATATGTAAATTCAAAAAAGATGTCTTATTTATGGTGATAGTTTTAACTAGATGTTCTAGTTAACTGTATTTAATACAATTTCAAAAATTTACTAGAAATCTCCTATACAGGTTGATTACATTGTTTTTAATAGTTTTGTGTAATTTTTTGTATTTATGTGGAACATTGGAAGTTTCTTATTTTGATAGAGTTGGGTTGAGCATTGACTACTCTGTTGAATTGTATTGTTTACATTTTACGTCCTTTGGTTTTAGGCTGAAGAATTTATAAATCTTAGACAACAACTAGAAAATAATTATTAAACAGCAGCTATTAGATGAGAGACAGACAAGCGGGAAAAGCGAGACTTCATCTACTTTAAAAATTTTGGAAGTACGAGGGAAGTATGAGAAAAGTACATCGAATTATTGCTTTTCCCCTTTGTAATATACACTAATTGATGACATAATATTTATTGTATAGGATGGCTGGAAATGTTAAGAGCAATAGATGTTCGATTTTTTTTTCTGTACAATATTTAGTGTTTAAGCCAAGGTAAACTGACAACCTAAGCAGCCAATGGAGTTCTCTCTATATATTAAATTCTATCGATAAAATATGAGAGAAAGATTTTCTGCCAAATAAAACAATATTATCGAGATCTATGACAGTTTTCTTGTTACAATCAGTTTTTTGATGATACCTGCAATGTTAAAAAGTATAAAAATTATACTTGAAATGCAACACTATTACGGCCGTTACAACCTTATCTTAAGAACTTATAGATTTCGTAATAAATAAAGAAAAGTTATGTTTTTTCAAGATACATTAAGACACAAGACATATTTTACACTGCTTATAAATGATCGAATAAGGATGTTAGAAATATCCTTGAATAGTAATTGTTACAGATCTTTCGTGGATCTGAATCAATTTTATAACAAATTCTATGATTTTTTTTTTTCATGACTTGGATATGTTTTCAAAATTAGTGGATACAAAACTAAAAGATAAGTGATACAATTAATACAACTCGAAAGCATACTCCTTTTTTTATATTGATTAACGTTGTACGAGAAAGAAGAGATAGGAATTTTTGATTTTATTTTTCAAAACTTTCATATTCATATAAAACAAGATGACATACACGAGTCGAAATTTTAACGAGATATTAAGAACCTAAACTAGTATACGTCGAAAGAACGTTGATGATTTAATATCTATCATTAACTATGATTTCAGCTGTAAAACGTTTGTTAGAAGAAAATGGGATCTAACTTTTTCGTTTTAATTATCTCAGCGATAATAATCATCTAAAACGTATTTTTTCGCAATTTCATATATAAAAACTAAACCATGTTTTCGGCATCTCTAAACGTTTCATTCTGGTTCAGACTGGAAATCATATTCTCGTGTTTAAACAGAATATTTGATGTTCCGTTTCGAAGATCACCGTGGCGCAAATTAACACAATTTTTTATGTATAAGTCTAGCAATTAGGAAAAAAAGAAAAAGATTCACAAAAGGCTACATACATGTTTTGCTTCGCATCGCATTAACTAAATCATTTAATTGAATCAATACATTTTCTTCTTTATATATAATAAGCTCATTGCGACGAATTATCATGCGATATAATAATTAGTTACCATGAAATACTATAAATCAACTTGTTTTAAGACTATATCCATAAAAATCAAAAGAATCTTCTTTCATGATAAGAAAAGATTTATGTATTTCGTTTAATAGAGAATTATTTTATATATGTTATATTAAAGTTAAGGCTCAACGTGATTTCGACATTTAATCGTTATACAATTTCCTGTAGAGCTATTTTCTAAATAAAAAAACAAGAGAATTTATTTTATCGAAAGAAAACTTTGTACTCTTCTTTGAAATTTATCTCTGATATCAACACATATATTTGTTTATTTACTCACGAAAATCATGATGAAAGAGTTGCCTTGTTAAAGTATTAACAGGAAATGATTTGGCAACATTCAAATAGCAAATAACAAGACTTAACTTATCCAAAAATAATTTATTAGTAATTCTATAAATAACAAATGAAGGTAAGATCTTCGCACTGTATTAAAATGATTGTTATTGAACGGTGAAGTGCAGAGTTAAAAAACTAATTTATATTGTCTAAGAGTGTCATAATTTTAAAATAGGAAAATCGATAGTTTTGCCTTGAGAATTGATGGCAGGGGTGGCACGACCAGGGGGTGTCGGGAGTGTAACACCCCACTCTCAGTCTTCGGAAATTTCTATTTTTTACTCAACAAAATCGGCAAATCTTCTTAGATTTTTTGCTAAAGATAATACCACAACCCTCAAAAATTCAAAAAAACATTTCGCTACACCCCCACAATGTTGGCTGTCTCGCGCCACCCCTGATTAATAATGTTACGTACTATGATAAATGTCTGATAACAAATTCACGTTTAATATTTAGATGAGTCTATTGTGTGTTTAAGAGCTTGTAACTTCATTATTTTACCCTACGCATTTTTCTAGTGTAATTAATGAAATTACATTAAATATTTTTCATGCAGATGTTCACATACATGATCTTATTTTCGTCTGAATACTTGTTCTTCATAGAAATTTCATGGACAAGTCTTATAAATATCTTAAAATCGATATATGAAGTCTTAATAAAACTTTTCGATGTTTTCCTCAGGTTTAGAAAAATTCGTGGCATTCTATCAGATGATTATTCAAAACTTTACATGATTTTAATTTATTTGTTTAATTAAATAAGAAGAACTTTCTAAATAATTCTTTTCTTAACACGATCTTCGTATAGATGGCACTACTAGTCAATCCATAATTTCTTTCGTCTGTATTCTATCTTATTTATAACAAAATAATTATCACAAAGAAAAACATTTTCTAACGTATTTATATATCTTTCAATAGATAAACAGTTAGATGAGTTCATACGAAATTTATGACTCATATCTAAGCAAACAAAACAAACAGAGATATTCATACATACATTTTCCTTCAGACACAAATATTTCATATTCACTCACATGTTATTGAAAGAAAAAACAAATACCAATAATGAAAACATGATTTTTCGCGTATTTTTATATAACTGACTTTGAAATACATATGTAAATATATGTTTATTTAATCAAATGACTTTCATTTATTCTTTATTTTAAATTAGTTAACTGACCTTGATATTATATTTATTATTTATTTTTAGAAAAAGCATTTGTCTATTAAAAGACTATGTCAGAATTAACTCAACGTCGTAAACGACCGGCGACATCAACGACTAATAATAGTGGAACAGTTAATGATTCGGCTAGTGATGGTATTTCTCAATCAAATGAAAATGATCGAGATAGAGATGATGAACGTGACAATGATGATGATAAAGAAACACGTTTAACACTCATGGAAGAAGTACTTTTACTTGGACTTAAAGATCGAGAAGTTTGTTAATAATTCTTTATAGAAAAAAGAATGAAAGAATTTATTATGTTTATTTATTTTTTTCTTAGGGTTATACATCATTTTGGAATGATTGTATTTCGTCTGGTCTACGAGGATGTATCCTAACAGAATTAGGTTTTCGTGGTCGTGTTCAACTTGAACAAACTGGTGCACGTCGTCGAGCAATAGCTAATCGAAAAGTAATGTTACTTGATGATACACCTACAGGTGACGTTTTACTTAATGAAGCTTTACAACATATAAAAGAAACCCAACCACAAGAAACAGTACAGAGTTGGATCGAATATCTTAGTGGTATGTAGATGAAAAGTTTTTATATGAATATATTTAAATAGATTTTCGATATGATATTAGAAAAAGAGTATCGTTCATTCTTTTTCCTTGGCCATAGATTTTGAGTTAACTATAGAGTTAGATAATCGCTAATGTTATGTATAATTAGAAGAATCATTCAACTATAAGTGGCTTCCTGTTATAGAGTTATTGAGTGTAAAACATCCTTTTCTTTTATTTATGGTTAAGTACAACACGAGTCTTCTCAGCTAAATCGATTTATAATTGTCTTTGACATCATTTAAGCACACTAGAACTTCTACTAAAAATACTTGACAATATTCTTCAAGGATAAAATCGATCGTTTTCATTTTTGATCATTCTATTTATATTTATAGACTCAAAATTAACTCCTAATATATAGCGATCTAAATAATTAAAGTTTTGTGAACAGTTCTAGTATATCTTGTCAGAAATAATCACCTATACATGCTACTTCAAATTAAGATTTTAGTCAGATCAGTTGCACTCTCTGCGAGAATTAAATAGGGCTAAAAAACGAAATCTTATTCTATAGTTTATTACTTTTCATCATTGAACTAAATATATATTCCTTAAATTAGAAAAGCCATTCATCGGTGAATAAGAAAATGACCATTTCAGTTTTTAATTATTCGATACTATCTTTATTGGTATGGGGGCAAATGAACGAAAGGCTTTTTCTTGATGAGGGTATGGACGAAAAGTGAGGGTGAGGGCGAATGGTGCTTTACAGTTGTGACCTTCGCGTATTTATTTTCTCTAAAAAACCCATTCGCTGATATGGTTTTCGCTCAACGGACACCATATCACAAATTCAATTTCTGTAAAACGCTAGTTGTTTATTAGCTAACGAGATTAAACTATTTTTAATGACGTGAAATCTGTATCTAATATTATTTTCTTTGTTTTTAAGGTGAATGTTGGAATCCATTAAAATTAAAATATCAATTACGTAATGTTCGTGAACGTTTAGCAAAGAATCTCGTTGATAAGGGTATATGTAGTACTGAAAAACAAAATTTTTTTCTTTTTGATATGACAACACATCCACTCAATGATAACGTACACAAAGTGAAATTAATAAAAAAACTTCAAGATAGTGTATTATCACGCTGGCCAAATGATCCACGTCGTATGGATAGACGTATATTAGCATTGATCTATTTGGCACATGCAAGTGGTAAGATATTATATATATGAAAACGAAGGTTATATCTATTCAATTTAAATTTTCTTATAGATGTTCTTGAAAATGCATTCACTTCATTATCAGATGAAGATTACGAAGTAGCCATGAAACATGTACGTGAATTGCTCGATCTTGATCCAGATCAAGAATCAAGCAAATATGATCCGAAAATGGAAACTATGTGGGCTGTTGTATCAGCATTCAATAAATAAACTATTTTGATTTCTTGATCATCGATCTCTTGCTATATTTCTTTCTTTCTTTCTTTCTTTCTCTCTTTCTTTTATCGCGATATTCCAATAATATAAAACTGGGCATTATTGTCGTCGACCATCCACAAAAGGATTGATTTCATATTAATATTTTTTTTTTGCTCTGCTGCTATTTTTTTTCTTTTTTTTTTCAAATAAAACATACAAATATACATATTCATAATTCACATTATTTTTTCTTCTACAGTAAACTAATTTTCTATATATGGGGGGAGGTCTGGTTCATTTCTAACAAATTGTACACTTGATAACTCTTATTCTATGTTTAGCACTACATACAAATCTTTTTTTTTTCGTTTGTGTTTTTTGTATGCGCAGGTTAATTCTATATCTATAAATATATATATGTTTTTCTTCTTCCTGTGATACATATACACAAGATGTATAAAATAAAGAAAAGTAAAACAAGTGGAATAAATACTATTGTCTTTGTCTGTAGACCATCGGAATCATTCACGATAAAAAATTTTATTCGTTCTTCTATTGCTTAGTAACGAAGAAGAAACATGTGACAATAAATTTATCTCGATAATAAAATTAAGATTATGTTGTCTAGCCTTTTATTTCGTATATATATAAATAATGATCTATGAAAGCTTAAAAGATGAATGACGTCATTTCATATAAAGATTTTAAATTTTATGTAAATAAAACATACAAATGTTATGACAACTTCAGTAACTTAGAGAGAAACAAATAATAAAAAGGTAGTACATACAAAGAGAGAAAAAAAAGCCAGTAGGAAGAAAATATTTTTCGGCGATGTTATGAAGAATAGAAGTGAGAAGAAATATATATATATATAAAATGCATGTAGATGGTACTCATATTACATTTGTTGTTGTATCCAAAAAAAATTTAACATCTTTTTATTTATTATTGTGATTATGGGAAATCTTCTGTCTTGTGCTAATATACAATTAAAGCCTCGAATAAACGAACCTATCGAAGATTATACTAAAAATCATCATAAATGTCGTAACTGTGGTGAAAAATGTGATCCATCAAGTCCTTCGAATGGATGTGTTAATGCAAAATATACACGTACAGGTACAAGAGATCAACCAGCAGTAATCCGGCCAGTTGTACCAAACGATAAAGTATCATGGTCATCACAATTTAATTATCAACCTATTGAATTTACATCACCAAAAGTCCTACAATCAACTAAGGAATATGTTGATCGTGATCCGCGACAAAATCCAAACGTTGTAATACCATGGAATTTAGATGATCGACTATGTGATCGACGATCATATCATGGAGATTATAAGATTGTCAAAGGTGTACCACAAAATCCATGTGGACGAACAGGACTTACTGGACGAGGACATCTTGGTAATTTTCAATATTCTAAAGAAAAACAAAATCATATTTTTATTTTTCTCAGGTCATTTTGGACCAAACCATGCAGCTGATCCTATTGTAACACGATGGAAACGTGATGAAAATGGTGCTAAAATTCTTAATTCAAATAGTCAAAAACCAATTTTACAATTTGTTTGTATACGTCGACGAGATACAAATGAATTTGCTATACCAGGTGGTATGGTCGAGAAAAAAGAAAGAGCAACGGAAACCTTACGACGTGAATTTCATGAAGAAGCACTTAATTTTCCTAATTTAGAAGAATGTAATAAAGATGAATTATTAACAACAATAAAAGACATCTTTGAAAATGGTGGAACAAAAATTTATTGTGGTTATGTTGATGATCCAAGGTATAGAATTTGATTAAATTGTAACTTCTAATAAATTTTAATGATTTATTTTAAAGAAATACAGACAATGGTTGGATGGAAACAACAGGTACGAATATTTATTTAGTTCATAAATAATTATAAAACTAAAGTTGAAAATCTTTGATCATACGTTTGAATTATGCGTTAAAGGATGGTAGAATTAAATTTTGACTGAAAGGAAATCGTACATGTTCACAGCAAATATATAAACAGTGGATCAAATTTGTTTACAGTAAAAGTTAATTATAAACTGATTATAGTAAAGATTAATATCAAACTCATCGGAGAAATATATAGAGTGTGCTAGTTAGGAATAAATAATCCTTTACAATCTGGGTATGCACCAGTCCTTCAAGTCATTTAAATTCTGTATCAATCAGACTATACAACGCTATTGTTAAACTTTGAAGAATTAGACGGGAAGAAAAAGGACTGAGGGTGACTGGTAAAAAAAACGCAAATTTTCGATTTTTTACCAGTCACCCCCAGCCCTTTTTCTTCCCGTTTAATTCTTCAAAGTTTAACAATAGCGTTGTATAGTCTGATTGATACAGAATTTAAATGACTTGAAGGACTGGTGTATGCCTATTTACAATTGCCTAAATAAATAATTCATAATGACTTGTTGATTATAATTAGATCATTGTAATCCTCAAAACAAATTTATATTATATAGACTTCGATTTTGCTTGTCTTTCATTTTATTCACCTTGGCAAGTAAATAATAATAAGATTTTAGTATTTACGAAAAAACTTGTATGAAAAGTATCGTACATATTCTAGACTACTATCACAGCCTTCAGATGCCATCATATATCTTGACAGACAATGACGTCAAATAGACTAATAAATAAAATATTCCTTTTTTTTTTTAGTATACAATTTTCATGATGAAGACGTTAAACATCTTGCATTAATACATCTTCAAGCTGGTGATGATGCAAAAGATGCTTTTTGGGAAGATCTTGATTCCAAACTACCATTATTTGCAAGTCATGCAGATTTTATTAAACGTGTTGCTATGTTACACAAGGCACATTGGTAAAACAAAGCTAGAATTTGATTTCGAAATGCAATACAAACAACGATTTTACCAATCATGATGCAAATCTTGTCGAACATCTTAGTATCGAATGAATAATAATTAAATTAGATCGTTGCATTATTTTACTTTGAAGCATTTATTATACAGGAGAATTATGTTAATTTTTTTTATATTAATAATTTTTTATTTATATTGAAACGATAAACTAATGTTGATGAACATATAGACAATGATTTGATTTTTGAAAAAATAATTCAATAGACAAAAAATAGAAATCTATATTGTATAATTGATTGATTATGCATCGTGACGTTATGTATATGCCTTTTTTTTATTCTTTCGTTATGCTCTACATTTTCGCCAAATGAATTCATCCAATAAATAATCGTTTCAATGACTCATACTTTTCAATTCTTTGTTTAACTGTTCGTTCGATGAACAAACAAAACATCGAAATAGCACAAGAATTCAGAAAAAAACAACAATTACAACGATATGACAAATATTGGAATGTTGACACCAGACCGGTTCCATATGGAACGAAGTAAACGAATTTCAAATTCTTATTTAACAAAAAAATCTCATCATTTTCTTTCCTAGGTCATAGTTTATTTGATTTTCCCCGACGATTATTCTTAAATCCATTAGAGATTGATGATGACGACGATAATAATAATAATAATAATAGAGATTCACCATTTACTAATCGATTTGGTCCATGTGATGAACCAGTATCTTCAGCGAAGAAAAAACCAAAAGCATGGTCAGTACGTGCACGACGAGATATACCCAATCTTTTACGTGGAGATAGGTAAGATGAAATTTTTTGAAATAAATATGTGACTAAATCTAGAACTAAACACTTGTTTTATGAGACAATATTTTTCATCATCCTGAGGGTGGGTGTGGTTATCTTCATTTTCAAACCACACCCACCCATAGCTATTTATTAAATATATGTTTATATATCATAGATTTATTCCACGTCGAATCGATCTTGACTGTGATTATGCACTTGATTCACTTGTATCACAAAATCTTCAAATATCCTCACGTGTTGTATCATCTACTAATGGACAAACAGTATCAATTGAACAACAACAATTAATACGTCAACAACGTCGTGCACAAAAACGTTCAAATCAACAAACGCAAACAACTTCATCACGAAAAACACTTGAATTACTTGAACATTTTATGCCTCAAAATAGAAGAATTTATAATTTTGGAGTTAAAACACTTAAACCACGTCCTATAGGTATTAATCATTTTTATACAAAATAATATTTAAACTTTATAATTTCATTTCAGATCCATGTGATCTTGCTCGTCAAATTGAAGCATTAACAATAACTTCAAAAGAACGATATATTAGTTCAACACCAGAACGTATTCTCGATGCACCTGATTTAATTGATGATTTTTGTATGTAAAATCAAATTTAATCCTATTTAGTTTTTATTTATTTAAATAGATTTAAATTTAATTGATTGGGGTAAACCAACAAATATGATTGCTGTTGCTTTAATGAATTGTGTATTTCTTTGGGATGATCAATCTGGTAATGTTACAAAATTACTTGAACTTCAAACATCAAATAGTACAAATGATGAATATGATGATGATGAACAAGTACATTATGTATCAAGTGTTGCATGGCATGGTAAATCACCATATTTAGCAGTTGGAACATCCTATCAACAAGTTCTTATTTATGATGTTAATCAACAAATATGTAAACGAAAATTAATTCCTGAAAATATGCTTGATGATGATGATCGAATACCATGTTTAGCATGGAATCAAAATATTATTGCTTGGTATATAAAAATAGAGTTTTATAGCACACTTTAAAATCTTTTATATCACATGAGTGACTAATATCAATACATATTTGTCAAGAACGGAATGAGTGCAAATATCTTTGAACATACTTTTCTTCTTGTTAAGAAAGAAATAGGTCAATGATGTTTATTCTGAATTGCATCCACTTCTCGTTAGAGTAAAAACTTCGTAGAATTAAAATCCCCCTTAAGTTCTTTTTTACTTCTACTTATGATAGTAATCATAAATGAAAGACTTCTACGTAATAGATAATTCATTTCTTTATAATGATAATTGCTACTTTCTTATATAAAAAAAAAACTTGTCTTTGATCTTACGGAAACGTGAAGTCCTTTTTTTCTTCTAGTGGAACACGTAATTCAGGTGATATTCTTCTCTATGATGTACGTCAAAAAGATTGTATCATTAGATTTCAATCACATCGTCAAGAAGTTTGTGGCCTTAAATGGTGTCCGAATGGACGATATTTAGCAAGTGGCAGTAACGATAATACAGTTTGTGTATGGGATTTTCATCAATGGTATTCAACTAGTGGAACAGCTGGTAGTTTTTCATCATTGTTACCACCAGCTGATGGTGGTGTAATAAAATCGAATACTCCAACAAAACCTCTATGGCATTTTAAAGATCATAAAGCAGCAGTTAAAGTAAATTTCAATCTTTTTTTGTACCAAAAGATTTATTTCGTTTATTATTAAGGCTGTTGCATGGTGTCCATGGGAAGGATCAAAAGTATTAGCAACTGGTGGTGGGCATTCAGATGGTTATTTACGTTTCTGGAATAATAGTAATGGAACATGTCAACAAGCTATTAAAACAGATTCACAAGTATAAAAATCAAGGATAAAATTATTCTCAAGCAAAATCTTTTTTGTTTTTAGATATCATCCATACTTTGGTCAACTGATTATAAACAAATTGTCACTGGTCAAGGTCATCCAAATAATTTTATACATATATGGCATTATCCATCAATGGAAAAATGTCATACATTGCATGGTAAAAAGAAATTGACTTGATTATTTCTAATTTAGAAAAATATTATTTTTATTAAGGTCATACATCACGTATTTTATCCTTGATAATGGGACCAAAAGGCAATCCAGTTGTAAGTTTATCAGCCGATGAGACAATACGATTTTGGAATTGTTTTCCTGTTGATGTACAACGTAAGAAAAAACTTGAAATGACACGTACAAATTCATTTCCAACTAAACTTAATTTCAATTGTCGATAATTATTTTTCTGTAATACTTATTTTTTTTTTCTTGTCAAAATAGATTGTGAAATAATAACAATATTATTAAATTTATTCAATATATATATTAAGATTTTTTTACGTATACACAAAAAAGACAATATGTCATCTTTTGCATTGAATGATCTTGTAAAACAAAATATGAATATAATTCGAAAAGAAATCCGCCAAGCGTATCTTATATGATTATCTAAAATGACATATGGTAGTAGTTTCTATGAATATACAAGTATCATTCTACTACGAACATAAAGAATGCCAGACGTGAGTACGTGTCTGATGAGTTAAGTCATGACGTTTATAATTGACATTAATTAATATATGTATATAGATACCGACATTATATTTTCATTAATATAGTCAAATAGTAGACGATCGTATGTGTATTTTTTATTATTATTGATGAATCAACAAATAAAATATAATAAATCATTTCCGTAGTATGTTTTTTTTGTATGCTAGGAAAAATGCATTAGTTCATTTTGATTATATTACGTAAAAATTCTCCACATAATCATGAATAATAAATGTTCACCTTGATAATCATCAATTGTGATGTTCTAAAAAACAAACAGGAAATAAGACAAACTATATAGTCGATCAACAGCTGGCTTACATAATAGAACGAATATAAACATTATTGACGTCGATCGATCTTGATACGTCATTCATTTTCTACGACATACACTCTTAGAGTTCTTTTTTTTCCAATCATTATTACTAACTAAACAATTGCAGCCGTTCCATAGAAGTAAGTGTATACTTATTTAAATAAAATTCTATATATTTGAAAAAGATATAATAGATTTACAAATATTTTATGCTCTTACTGTTAGTTAACAGATTGTTATCAATAGTTTGATAAAATATTTATTTTTGTGGCTTGTCATTTTAGAAAAACTAATGTCGGTTATTATCTTAGATATTTCTAGATGACCGCAAATGATATTCTGTATTGCTGTTGTTTACGGTTGACGATTTTAAATAACCGTAACGAACTTTTTTGGTATACAAAACATCACGACTATATTTTATCATCCCTATACGGGTAATAATAGTTGAGAAATAGCGTATATCGGCACAGGATAGTAATACATTGTGACTGTATTGATGAATTATTAACTTAAAACTTGATGAACAAGTGAGATTTTATATTTTCATTTCAAAAGACAAAAACAACAATGTCCGTTTCCGTTTTTTTAACGAACAAACATAATTAATATTTTTTCCCGTCTCTCTTTTTACATACTCAAAAAAAATCGCTTACTGTTCTTTCATCAATTGAAGACTATTCTTTTCATGTGTTCTACTTGATCATCCCTCTTTAAAACGCCCATGTTCTATTTTTATCGAATCATTCTTATAAATTTAATCTACTAGTATTTAAATAATGAGTTAAAACGGATATTAAGTTGGGGGTTGAAGAGTTTTGTTTCTAATCATAGAGTTTTTTCTCTCTGTCTAAACAATAATGATTGATTAGAGCTGATATGAAGAGAACAGACGATAATAATCATAGTATTAAGAAAAGAATCTAGGATAGTTTTATAAAGCTTTTTTTAATGATATTAGTATCTTGTCTTTCTTTTTTAACCCATATTTAGCATCTATAAACAGAAAGATAATGTAAAAATAAGTATTTCTTTTTTTTTCAAACTTATTTCACCCAGTGAATTATTATTATAGGTAGATTTTTATTATGATAACGAATATACAATTAATAATAAAAGTGCTTAATTAGTTCTTTTTTAAAACAAACATTTTATCTTTAGGAATAAACGAAACATTTATATATATCGACGAAAAATGCCAATAGACCATTAGTTCTTAGAATGTAATAATACCTGGGAAAGAAGAAGAGTATCTGATTTCGATTTTCTTTTTGCTTTTGTCGATTAATGAGAAAAGCGAAACAAAATGTATATATTTTAAGATATTAGATTGATTAAGCAAATGGTGATGTATGCTATCTTTTTTTCTTCGTGATAGGAGTGGGAGGATGATGATGATAATGTTGAAGAGATGCATCCTTACGTATGCCAATGAAGAAAAATTCATTTGTTCTATTATACGTTCTTTTCTCTATTACATTCTTCGACTCCATCACGCGTCTACATTTTGCTTTCTCTACGATCTTGTTAGAGTTCAAATACAACAGATGATTGAGAAATAGAAAAAAAAGATAAGTGTATATATAACTTTTTTCTTCTCGTTATAGATTATAAAATTTTCTTGACATCTGTCTTCTGTTATAATTACCAATTATTAATTTTACAAACTTTAAAAAACGGAAAAATATTAGTTGTCTTACACTAGTGATAATTAAAGAGATAAAACAAGATATTGTACCGAATGAATTCTTCAACTTCTACACAAAATTTATCAAATTTTCAATGGACATGGTCATTAAGAACAATTATTGTACTTATTATATGTGGTCTAATAACTATTGTTACTATATTAGGTTAGTTAAAATTTAATTTTATAAATCTTCTTACATATAGATATATTTCTAGGCAATGGTCTAGTATTACTTTCAATTAAATTTCGTTTACGTGCTCGTTCTTATTCGGATTATTTTATTGTAAGTTTATGTTTAGCAGATTTTTTTGTTGGTCTATTTGTTATGCCGCTAATGACATTACATTCAATTCAATTAAAATGGCCATTTCATTATCATTATTGTTATATATGGATGTCAATTGATTTTACTTGTTCTACAGCATCTTTTTTAACACTTGCTTCTATGGCATTAGATAGATATTATGCATTGACTGGTATTTATTAATTTTTAATAATTATATGTTTTATATATATTTTTTTAGCACCATATTTTCATTTACGCAATCGATCACGTACATCAGTTTTGATATTTATTATAAGTTCATGGGTTATTCCATTTGCTATATGGCCAAGTTCAATAGTTATTGCACATTATTTCAATCCTAAAAAAACAGAATGTAATCATCCAGCACATCCATATATTATTGTTATATTATGTACATTTTTTTATTATATTCCACTTTTATTTATGTTATGTTGTTATTCGAGAATAATAGTTAATATTAAAAATATTGAAGTTATGGTAAGTAATATAAATATCTATTGCGTAGTTTTTTTTATTATTTTCTATACAAAATAATAAATAATTCGATTGATGAAAATATAGAGATTATTAATAGAAAAGACTAATTATATCAGTTGATTAATTTTATTCAGAAAATTCTTTTGATGTAAATCATACAATAGATTCAACGAATTAGTACATTCTAGTTAAATTCATATTCATAGAAAAAATAATTTTTAATAAATTGTTTGTTTTTTTCTTTTATAAAAGTGCTTTGAGTATGACATGCATAAACTATCTATAATATCTGATCTATTGATAAAAGTTATTGAAACCTTGAAAGAAACGAACATTGTTTTTAATTAAATACAAAAACAAGGGTTGTTTTAACCAAATAATACTATCCCACTGAGAATTAAGAAATCACCATATTATATCAAGTTCATGACCTAAGAATGACATGAATCTTCTTGTTATTTGAGATATATGAAAATTTAATAAAAAAAAATATCAAAATTTAAATTTATATAGATCAAAGGTACTTGGGGCACAATTAAATATAATCCAACTGATTATGATTATACAAACAATGTAACAAATCATCATGATTATGGTCCAACGAATGATAAACATAATCATACAACAACGTCATCATCACAATCAAATTCATCCTTACGTTCATTAATTGTAAGATATTTTCAACGAAATTCTTCTAAACCTCCTTTTCAAAATCCAATCATATCTGGTAATGATAGTCCATATAATCTATCAACGAATCGTTCTACTAGAAGAGGAACTTTAGTTAATAATAGTCTAACATCTACTAATTTATTACCTATTAATGTTCATCGTTCAAATCGTCAAACAACAACAGCAACATTCACAGGACAAAAACGTTGTTTAACTGATGTTATAGAAGAACATCGATCAAAAACTGATTTATTAATAAATCAAGAAGAAGAATTAGTTCGTACACGTTTAAGTACTCGTACATCATCATTACCAGCTGCTCGTTGTGTATCTTATTATTATTCACAAAATCAAACAGTATTACAAGCAAAAGTTTTTGATGATCAATCACGTTCACGATTAAATTCTATATCAAATGAACGAAGTCGTTCTCAATCACATTCATCTAGTCAAGGTATGGCAAATGGTGGTATAATAACAACTGATATATCTGATCATAGTTCATCATATGATAATGTTCTTGATGAAGATCATCGTCGACTAAATCGACGTAATCAACAATCAAATGTATCGACATCATTTAATTCAAGTCGTTATAGTCAACGTGCTATAGCACAATTTATGCATGAAAGAAATAAAGCAAGATTAAGACGCAATCAAAAAGCAAGTCGAATGTTAGGTATGGTTCTTTTTTTTGTTTATTATTATCTTAGAAACTAAGGGCATTTTCTTTCATTCTATTTTTACTCTTCCTTTTTTTGGAGAAGAAGAAAAAAGAGATCCATTTGAGCCTTATGAACTTATCCAGGAAATGACGTCAAATCGTTAGTACATAAGTGACAATAACAAGAATCGTCTTAAGTATTCATTATAATTCAGTATTTCCAAAAATAATCTATAATCGAGAATATTCGACGCCTCTATTAGAAACATAACATTAGATAATATTCTTTTGATCTAAACATATAATTTACTCTTTTTTGTTTTTATATTAGGTATTTTACTTGCTGTTTTTCTTATTTGTTGGCTTCCATTTACAATATCATATCCTACAATGATGTTTTTTCCTCAATTTACTGAATTTGCTCCGCAATTTGAAAGTATTATATTTTGGCTTGGTTATGTGAACTCTTTACTCAATCCATTTTTATATGTATATAGTTCACGGAATTTTCGTAAAGCTATTATGGAAACATTATGTTGTTGTACTCGATATAAAGCAAGAGAACATTTACGATATCAATGGTCAGTTCGAAGTTAAATTATGTCATTATAATATGTATATATATATAAAAATTTCTTCTTCTTATTTTTTTTTTGTGTCGATATTTTATCACAATAAAATAATATTTTTTTTAAAGAGAATTAATTATTGAATATAATAAAAAAAAGAAACATATATTACTAAAACTAATTACTATACAATAAATAACTACGTTTGATATAGAAGAAATGCCGACCTTCATGTTGCTCTAAATATATAATGAAGTTAAAGAATAGATTATCGTGTTTGATGTCTCAAATTTTCTATTAAGCTTAATATACAAAGTATCCAATTGAATTCTTTATTTATTTAGTAAAAGAATATGTAACCTTTGTGCTTTTAATCTATTTACCTTTAGAAAACATACAAAATCATGAAAATTTGCCATTGAATAGAACTAATCAATAATATCGTTTCATCATATATCTCTTAGAATGACAAATACTATAATCAATTCCATTGAAAAGTTCATAATAACAGAAAAAATAAAAACATTATCATTTGTAGACGGAAATTGTATCTATTTTACTAAATATTATTAACGACTTATATATGAGCACGACCAGCTAACGCTTCCCTTCCATCGTGAAGGTTAGAAATCAGTAATATATAGAAGATTTGTTTTTAAAAGAGAGTATGATCTTGAAGTATTATTAAGTTTGTTCTGCATTCTGAGTTACTCAGCTGACATATAAAACTAATATTACTTGTCTTTCTTACGCGTTTAAAAACGTGAATATTTATGAAATTTTGAAAAAAGATGAACATGAACTATTCCAAAATATAGAAAACAATATTCTTAATCGTTACAGAATGAAAAAAAGTTAGATTTCATAGTTAAAATTATCATAAAAATGGCACTAAATTGTCCCTCATAGAAAAACAGTGAAATTCTGTGACGCTCAATCTTTCAAGTCGTCTTATTTAAAGAGAATGTTCTACAGAGAAAAGGACATGAGCTTATGAAAAGCTGAACAATCTATGTATGAAACGTTCATATATGAGACACTTAATTTCGAAGGGAAATGTTAAAATCTGAGTCCTCTCTCAAAATTTTGTCCATTTTTGAAAATCCATAATGAACGATGTTTCTCATATAACTCCGTTATGGCTCGCAACAAGTCAGTGAAATTTTTAATACTAGTACAGCTAGTTAATCTTCATATATCATAAAAATTTTACGAACATCTCTCTTGTTATTGAGGAGATACATGTCTCACAAGTTGAAAAAATGCAATTCCGTAACGCTTGGCCGTGTCCATATAATACGAGATATCTATTTGTGTTTTAGAAAATATTTAACTCTAAGACAGAATTCAATCTATTAATAAAGAACTTTTGACATTATTAAGAATAATTTTCATAGTTCTGAAAATTTCTTAAGCCTTTGTAAATATTAACATAAAAAGTCGGACAACAATTATTAAAAGAAAGAGTTCCGGTGTCCATCGTCTAGTGACTCGAAGAAAGAGGGCGCTAACAATGATACCGATAAGTTTGAGAGCAAACCAATACATAATTTATGCGCATATTGTATACGTTCGTTTTCTAAGAGTACAACGTCTGATAATTATAGAACAAATAAATGGAATCTAATTAATAATAATAATAACAGTAACAATATGAGTGAATATAATGCTGATATCCGGCACGATGAATGTTGTGGTATGTCAATAAATGATAATGAGGATGATGATATATTTGATGATGTAGATAATATCAATGATTCTGAAGTATTTAAACTTTTCATAGACTTAAAAGATTCTAATTGTTTTCTTTCCAAAAAAAAACTAATCTAGGAAGATCATCGTGTTATTACTGTTGGTATATGTGCTCAGTGGAAGAAAATTAAAGCAAAACCAATGGAAGAAATTTTACATCGTTTAGAACACTTTGAATCTCTTCGTATAGTTATATTTCCTGAAACAACTATACATGAAAAACCTATTGAAGAATGGCCATTTTGTCATGTTTTAATTAGTTTTCATAGTAAAGGTTTTCCACTTGCTAAAACACAAGAATATGCACGTCTTCATCGACCATATCTTATTAATGATCTTGATAAACAATGGTGTATTATGGATCGCGTTAAAGTACATGAAATACTTGAAGATGCTGGTATTCCACAACCTCGATATGGTGTACTTCGAAGACATCTGAATAGTGGTATGAAAAGATTTGTATTTAAAGAAATCAAAAGAACAATACACAAAATTTTATCTATTATTTATAGATGGTACATGGACAACCTTATCTAATGTTATTGAACAAGATGATCAAATTGAAATTGATGGTGAAATATTTCATAAACCATTTGTGGAAAAACCTGTATCAGCTGAAAATCATGATGTCTACATTTATTTTCCTTTATCAGCTGGTGGTGGATCACAGAGATTATTTCGAAAGGTAAAACAATAGATAGACTATCGTCAAAATTAAGTTTATATAACTCATAATTGAAACTGAGAACATATATATAAGACTATTTCGAGTGAATGAAGAAGTATGTATCACTTTCCGTTCTTGAAAATCATCATTTTATTTCGATGAAATTCATTTAAAAAATTCTTATCATTCTGTAATAGACATGTGTCAGTCAGCTGACTCTTCTAACCTTTCCAAAACATTCTTAATTTAACATCTATACTAGATAACCTTTGTTTCACCAAAATAAAAAACAATTTCTGTACTTTAATTATTCAATTAAAGAATGATATTAGATAAGAACAGAATTAATTGAGAAACTTATCTAATTTTTCATGGACGGGAAATTAAAACGAGACTAAATATACAGTAAGGAACTGCAAAATCACTTTTTTTGGTCCCGGTCCCGGTCTTGATAAAAACTTAAGGATAATTCTGGTGTTGTCTTCATCTATGCAAGAAAAATATGAAGTTCACGAAAATTCTTGCTTTTTTGATTGTAAATTCAATCTATACGGTTTTTCTTGAACTATATAATAACACATTTGTCAATTCTTAATTAAATGAAAAAAATAAATAAGAAAATATCTAGTCTCATACTTGATAAAAACATTGAGAAATTCTCTGACAATTTTAGTCTTGGTCCCGGTCCCGGGACCACTTTGCAGTTCCCTAATATACAGTCTTCTTGTATTTTTTTTATAGATCGGTAGTCGAAGCAGTGTGTATACATCAGAGAATAATATTCGTAAAGATGGTTCCTATATTTATGAAGAATTTATGCCAACTGATGGTACAGATGTTAAAGTATGTATTCGAGTTTTCTATATAAATAATAATTTTTTCTTTTCTTATAGGTATATACAGTAGGTGCTGAATATGCTCATGCTGAAGCAAGAAAATCTCCTGGACTTGATGGTAAAGTTGATCGTGATGAATTTGGTAAGGAAGTACGTTATCCAGTTATATTACGTGCTGATGAAAAATTAATTGCAATGAAAATATGTTTAGCATTTAAAGTAAATGAAAAATCGAAAAATGTTAATTTGAAAACATTTATTTTATCTTCTAACTTAGCAAACTGTATGTGGTTTTGATTTACTTCGTGTGGAAGGGAAATCTTTTGTATGTGATGTGAATGGATTTAGTTTTGTTAAAAATAGTACAAAATACTATGATGATTGTGCTTCCATTCTTGGGTAGAGAAAATTACTTATATTCTGAAGCAAAACAAAAAACGCGTTTTTTGCATGTTTTTTAAGACATATGATAATGCGTGAATTAGCACCAACATTATCAATTCCATATCCATTAGCTTATCAACCAGAAGATCCACCATTTGTACCAACTGCTTTTGGTACGAGAATGGAACTTCGATGTCTTATTGCAGTTATTCGACATGGTGATCGAACGCCAAAACAAAAAATGAAAATGGTCGTTTTACATCCATTGTAAGATATAAAATTATTCTCATATAAATTAATATTATTCATTTATTTATTAAAGGTTTTTTCAATTATTTGAAAAATATAATGGACCGAAAAATGGTCATCTTAAATTGAAACATCCTGGTCAACTTCAAGTTTGTTGATTGATTTATTATTTAAAATTTTTATTGTTCAATTTTAGGAAGTTCTTGATATTGCACGAACATTACTCAAAGAATTAGATGATAATCGATTAACTGTATAAGAAAATCCAATTATTTTTTTTTTCATATAGAAATATGTTTTTCTATTAGAAATTTCCAAATTCACCTGAAACAAAAGGAAAATTACTTCAACTTAAACAAGTACTCGAATTATACGGTCATTTTTCTGGTATTAATCGTAAAATTCAATTAAAATATTTACCAAAAGGTCCACCGAAAAAATCCAGCAGTGAAGATGGTAAGATTTTATTCATATCAATTAATTTTAGATACTGACCTTATATTTATATACAGACTATAGAAAAAAATAAATTTCAGATCGTAAGCACATTGGCTTTAATATCCTTGAAGTATCCTTGTACGCAATGTATTTGTTCTCTCGACTTACGCTATTTTATTTATATAATAATCAATTATTTTAAAGCAAATGTATTCTTTATTTAGAATTTGATGATATACCATGTCAACCATCATTACTCTTAGTAGTTAAATGGGGTGGGCAATTAACTCAAACAGGCAGAAATCAAGCCGAAGCACTTGGCCGAGTAAAATAATTTTCAGTTTTTCTTTTATATATTTATTTCATTTGATATTTCTATTAGGCATTTCGTAAAATGTATCCAGGTGGTCAAAGTGCGGGTGGTGATCGACCGGATGTGGGTCTTCTTCGTTTACATTCAACATTTCGACATGATTTAAAAATTTATGCATCGGATGAAGGGCGTGTACAAATGACAGCTGCAGCATTTGCAAAAGGTTTATTAGCACTTGATGGTGAATTAGCACCCATTCTTGTACAAATGGTTAAAAGTGCGAATACAAATGGTTTACTTGATAATGATCTTGATGCAACAAAAGAACAACAAAAAGTTAAACAAACTTTACATGATCTTTTAGGAAAAGATCGACAATTTACAAAAGAAGATTATGATAAAGTTAGTTGAGATAGTTTGATAAAAATTCTATTCTTATATTTTGTTTTTATTTAACTAGATAGCACCAACTTGTTCACGTTCATTTCTAACATCAATGGATTTTATTAAAAATCCGGTTGTTATTTGTCGAAAAATTTTTGAGTATATTCATGAAATGACTGTGCTCATTCGAGATCATTTACTTAAAGGCGGATCAGGTATATTTCGAGAAAAAAAAGTTGCGTTATAAAATAATTTATTTTTAAATAATAGAAACTCTCTTTCATTCTGAAACATTGGATCTATGTTTACGACGATGTAATTATTTATTTATTTGAATTAACGTATATATATATATTTGGTTTTTTATAAAGGGTTAAAATTAGAAAAAGATTTTTATAATGTTCAAAAAGATAAATTTAATATATCAAAAGTTCCTGATATATACGATTCAATAAAATATGATTTATTACATAATAAAAATAATCTTCAATTTCCACATGCAGAAGATTTATATGTATGTTCAAAAGCATTAGCTGATCTTGTTGTACCACAAGTAATAGAAATATTCATAGTTAAAAACCTTTTTTTAATTCTACAAATAAAATATTTCAGGAATATGGAATGACAATAGAAGAAAAATTAAGTATTGCTCGTGGAATTGTTACACCATTACTTCGAAAAATTCGAGCAGGTAAAATAATATTAATACTCCTTTAATACGATAAAAATAATTGATACTAATGTGTAACAGAGGCTTACTACCTCCGCGCCAGTAGGACATTCACCAATTGGTATAAGTCCAGATGCGATTTGGCGTAAGTTAAGTGGATTTTTGCCAACTTTAATAACACAAGATTAGTGTAAAATGCATGTGATATATTATCCTGATATTATTAGAATAAGCATATTATAGTCTAAACCTCTCAATATAGTTACCAAGAGCTATTTTTATACATATGCAATCACATAATACACTGGCGAATTTCCTATAAGTTGGCGTAAGTGCTCTGGGCTTTCGCCAATTAATGAAATTCTATGGGTTATATTGGCCAAAGAATAGCGAAAGTCTTATTGGGAAAATTCTGGAATCGCGTAACAGATGATAAGGGAAATAGACATACTATTCTTTTCGTGCTTTGTAAAAGATGAATTGTTTAGTTATATTTACAGTTGAATATGTATCTGTCAAGTAAATTAAGTGACAATCTGTCTAAGATTTTGGATTGATGCTCTTGACAGATTATTATTATAAATTGTGACAAAACTAATTTATTACAGAAAAAATAAATGAAGCTAGGGTTTTGTTTCTTTTTGAATCATTCATGTTTGCCTAATGAGAATTAGTTATCCATGAGAAGATGTATTCATTCTTAGTTCAGATTTTCGACACATACTTAGATTATCTGACACATTACATTTGTTTCGAACTTTGAATTTGAATAGAATTATAGAAAGAGAAATAATAAGATATTACATTATTTCTATCACATGAATAATTGATAAAATAATTTCTACTTTTCTCTCTCTAGATCTTCAATGTAATTTAACCGGTGTTTTAACTCATGATGAACATGTTAATAAACTAGATCCTAGGTAAATAAATAATATTACTTTACTCACAAAAACCGAAATAATTGTAAAAATTAATTGTTATAATTAATTTATCATCCCTTAGATATTTAAATCAATTTGATTCAGATATGATCAGGTATTCTCTTTGCTTTGATTAATTTAAAAAAAAAACGTAGACGAAAGGAAAAAGGTTTAATAATATACATTCGACTATATGCATAAATATTATTATTATTGATAAAACTATAGATTCAATATATTGTTTTCTTTTCTTTAGCTATTCAAAAGGTATTCAAACACCAGGTCGACATGTTCGTACACGATTATATTTTACTAGTGAATCCCATGTACATTCTCTTTTAACAATAATTCGTTATGGTGGTTTACTAGATGTAAAAATCAGACTTCTTTTTTTTACTTTTTATTAAAAATCAAATCAATATTTTCAGACATCAACAGATGAACAATGGAAACGTTCTATGGATTATCTTGAAACAGTTTCTGAATTAAATTATTTAACTCAAATTGTTATTATGTTATATGAAGATTCGAGTGAAGAAGAAGATTCAGAAAAACGATTTCATGTTGAATTACATTTTTCACCCGGTGCATATGGCTGTTTTGATGTACCACCTGAAGTAATTAAAAATCTATTTTAAATAATTTAATTCGAAACAAACTTTTTTTATTTTCAGATTGATTCTGTGACTTCAGATGTAAATACTATTCGTACAGTTTTACCAAAGAGTCATCGAGAAGCAGCACATAGTCCACCAAGACATCAAACAAAACCACCTGTATTAGAAACATTACCAGAAACAACGAATAAATCCTTACCACAAATAATTAATCCGGTACCAACTATTGTCACATTCGATTGTACTTCACCACCCATGAATACTGAAAAGACAAATCCAAAAATGATTACAGAACCATTTCCGGTAAAAACTTATCATAGAAAAAGTGACGGAATAATAACAAATTGTTCATCGCAACCGATTGATTCGGAAGAATTACATTCAACTTCTGTACCACGTAAGTTTACTTGACTAATTATCTAGTCCTTCTAAAATGAATGTTGAGTGACAACGGGTTACGGTAAAGGGCAAATGTTAGTATTGACAACAAATTAAATTCATTGTTATATTGATAGATAACTGTAGCAGGGCAAAAATTCAGGGACATATGTGCGTGAAGTGCAAACATCTGAGGCACTTTACATTCAGGGACATTGGACATTGTGTCAAGGATAAAATATTAGCGGCAAGTTTTCATGAAAAGAGAAATTTGTAGAATAGTCGTTAAAGGTCATTCTAGGATGTTTTTATAGAGTGAACAATTTGGGTTTTTTTCTTCATTCAAAGAAATAAAACATGAATTTTTTGTTTAGGATCATCACACTACGACAATTATATGTTAAAACCAAAATCTCTTGACACTAATGAATCAAAATTACACCGTAAGTTTGTATTTGAACTATTTCTATATCTATATTATTCTTTAGCAATTGTATTATATGAAAAAGGCAAGATTTTTTATTTTCAAATCATAGTTATTTAGATGGGATATAGTCATATTTTCTAACATTTGGATATGTTGCTTAATATTCATACTTCTAGAATTAACCGAACAGAAATTCGAGAAACCTTCTGTATTCTCTAATGGAATACATCAGACATCAAATACAATATTTGGTCTTTGTCCAACAAAAGCTCAGAATCAATTTAGTTTATTATCTGCTCCTGAACTTTCACGTCGTAATTCGGGTACACTATCCCGTGTGTGACATGTACATAAAAGATAAACAACTGTGTTTGATTAACCCTCACCCTGCTCATTTATTTAGAATGAATCTTTTCGTTTGATACACGCATAACTATATTTTGTTAGCCCATATAAGTGATTATCAGTTTTATTTACCTTACTAACTGCTAATACATATATAAAAGGATTGCTTATGAAAACTATTTGTTTGTTATTTTCATCAAATATTTTATACAATTTTTTTAGAATCGATATTAACACATAATTATTATAATACAATTCATGGTGGTGGTGCAGATAAAAGACCTTGTATGTTTAATTATTATGATAATCAATAATTCAATATTTTTTTTAGTTACTTATATGCCGTTATCGAGTATATTCAGTACAAGAGTTATTAGTGGTGCAAAATCAACACCAGATCTTAATAAATTACTCGAACGAAAACAAGCTGGATGTATGTTTATATAACAATAAAATTGCCTTGAAGACAGTTAATAAAACTGTATGAGATTTCATAAAGAATACTTTCTAATGTCTTTTAAACAACGTTACGAGAAATATTCTGACTAGTTGAAAGCTATTCGCATCGATTATATGAGTACAGGCTAATAGAAATATTTCACAAAGTTGTAAATTAAAAAGCTCTTAGGGTTAAACAGTTTCAATAATTATTCTCATGTTTATAATTAATATCAATTCTAGTAATATGTCCAGAAACTGCTGTTCTTGCTCCATTAGAAACGTTAAATACGAATTTAAATTATAAAATTCTTGATGATTTTATTGGTAAAATGACAAGTTCAACATTTAAATTTTTATCGAATGATATATCCACTGTTTCACTACCATTTCTACTTCCAGACGGTTAGTTTTTTTTTGTTATTAATAATACATCTCATTTCTTTGTTTTGTAGCATCGATAAACCGTTTTAGTGTTGAATCTGTTGATACAACGAATAGTATTTATGGGAATGATAAAAAAGTTCGTCTAGGTTATATTAAATCACCACAGTATTCAATCGATACAATCAATGAATTACCAGAACGAACAATTGATGAAGAACGTTAAAGGTGCTATAGTTGTAAATTATCTAATAGTTCTAAACATTGATTAACAAACTTACTTCTTTTTTGATTCTTTTTTTCAAATTCTTTTTTTTTATTAATATGATTCTCTATTTTTTTTTCTGTGTATTTATATAAATATATTTAGTAGATAATATATTCTAAACAATTAACGAATATAATCATTTTTTAAAAGAAAAATAATTTCATGTTTTATATTTTATTAATAGATATGTATTTTTAGAAATTACTAAAGAATTTTTTGAATAGAACGATAGAGAGTTTTAATGTATGATTATGTTCGGACAAGGTCTTTTATCGTAGCGAAGTGAGAAAGGAAATAACATTGATGGTGTTTTTCCGAACAACAATATTCAAGTAAAATCTATTTTCTTCATAATTGCAGAAGATACCTGAAGAAAAACAAAATCTAAAGTCATAAAGGAATATCTATCGAACCGTATATACACATAACTGTATGAATTTAATTACTCATCTGGAATAATTCGATTAATAAAATTTCGTTTTGATTTATTAAACAAAAAAAAATCTATGTGTTACTTGTAACAAATCTTTCTTTTTCTCATTGCTAATTTACATTCAAAATTAAATTTAATCATTCGTTGAAGTATACTACTTAAATGATGCAGACTATTGCAATATTAAAAAAATTCGAATAAAACAAAATCTAATCGATTATTCAATCATGTAGAAATGATGTCTTTTGATCATTATTTATAATGACATTCAAGGTTATTATAATATGTAATATAATTCTAGATGAATTCTTATACGAATAGTATAAGATTAGGTCAACGATATTTGAAAAATTTTCATCGTCAATTATCAATTAGTAAAAAATCTTTTCAACGTCCTGAAACATTACCAAATGTATTTGATAGGCAAGCTAAATTAAAACAACGTGAACGTACATGTCTTGATCCTGAATATAATATTTATTCATATGTACATGAACGTGTTGCACAAAGTCTTGTAGATAGAATATTTGATATTAAACGGTACAAAATATCTAATAAATATTAATAATTTTTATTGTGTAAAATCTTTTTTTTTTCTCTTCTATCTAGAACATTTGAATCTGCACTTGATATTGGTTGTGGACGTGGTTTAACAGCAAGTGAATTAACAAAAGATGTTATTAAACGTTTAACTATGATTGATAGTTCATCACGTATGCTTGAACAAATACGTTCTCCAGTTGACGACAATGGACATGATGGAATAGAAATTTTAAAAAAACATCAAGACGAAGAACAATTAACTGGTGATGAATCATCATATGATCTTGCATATAGTTGTTTAAGTCTTCATTGGATTAATGATCTTCCTGGTGTATTTCGTCGAGTTTCACATTTATTAAAAAATGATGCACCATTTATTGGTAATAACTTTAATCTGTTTTTATAGATATATCATTTATTACCATTATTTGTTAATTATCTTCTTAAGATTAAGCTTTACGAAAAAAAATTTTCCGTCTTATACTAATTGAAGATCATTAATAAATCTCTTGATATTTTTAGGTGCCATGTTTGCTTCCGACACTTTATATGAACTCCGTGTTTCACTGCAATTAGCTGAAACAGAACGTGAAGGCGTAAGAAAAATATTTTCTTTTCCAATAAAATTCTACTCATTTATTTTTAAGGGCTTTTCTCCTCATATTTCACCATTTGTTGAACCGCCTGATGTCGGAAGTCTTCTACAACGTACTGGTTATAATATAGTAACATTAGTGCGTAAATAGAACTTTTATGATTCTTTTTTTTTTGCTTTCACATAATACTTCTACATTCTAGTAGGATCTCGATGAAATTCATATTAATTATCCTTCTATGTTTGAATTAATGTTTGATCTCAAAGGTAAAATCAATAGTTATTAATTTAAATTAAAATTTCATTTTTAGGTATGGCAGAAAATAATTGTAGTTGGAATCGACGTTTAACATTAAAACGTGAAACATTACTAGCAGCTCAAGCTATTTACCAAAGTAAATTTAAGAAGAAAAAAAGAAATATTTAATCTTGATTTATGATCTCTATCATATATAATTATGTGTTTATTACTTGCATACTTTAAGACAATGTCATAAAATTTTATATATGTACATAAGATAACTATGAAAAACAAGTTGTTGTTTTTTGTTATATAGATATGTATGGTAATCAAGATGGATCAATTCCAGCAACATATCGTATACTTTATTTTATTGGTTGGAAGCCAGATCCCAGTCAAGTAAATTGTTTTATTAGCTTATCAAATAATAAAAC